GTACGTATGTTCCGAATAGAAATTTTTATTTCTGAACCGATTGGGACCGAACTTTGCACCATACACTTCGGGGCAGGGATCGTGTCACAGTCCACTTTTCGTTATCGATCGATGTCGATTTTACCGATTTTCTGCAAAATTTGAGCTAGAGGGCTAGGATTTTGCACAGGGGGGTAATCGAGCATGCTGATCACCCCCTTCTGGGTGATCAGCATGCTCGATTACCCCCCTCTGCCAAATCCCAGCCCTCTAGCTCGAATTTTGCAAAAAATCAATAAAATCGATATCGATCGATAACGAAAAGTAGCCTATGACACGCTCCCTGCCCCGAAGTATACGTGTGCCAAGTTTGGTCCAAATCGGTTCAGAAATAAAAATTTCTGTTCCGCACATACGTACAGACATACATACAGACAGACAGACAGACAGACATTCAGCTTTATATATAAGAAGATGGGGCCCGGAGAATGCAGTACTGTTTCAAAATGCAACCGCATTGAAACCTCGCACTAGAAGAAATAACGTTCGTGTAGAAAGAGGCGGAAAAATAATATTAAAAGTTGGGGATAAATATCAAAAGGTATGAAAGTGGTAGCAAGCAATTGATAAAACTTTAAATTACGGTAATCGATAAAACTTTAAAATGTACGAGAAATCTTTTATTTGATGCATAAAACAAAACTAGAACTATCTACAGACGATTATGTTTCAAACAATGCATCCAAACGCGTAACTGCAAGGGTTTTTCAGAGTGCCGCACTGAAGGCAGCAGACTGCAGCAGACTGCAGCTGACCGAACTGACTGCAACGGCCGCAGCGGCTGTAGCCTAATGGTGGAGATGATGAATAGTTGTGGCTCAAACAAACAGCAATCTTATATCTTACTAGTGAACCAGTAATCCAAAGGCACTATTTGGAGGAGAGTTCGCTCCGGGACCGCCACGCGGTTTCCCGCTAGTTGCATGTTTTTGAATTGAGTTAACGATTCTTTATATGGCTGAGGCGCCCTCCAGCAGGTCTCCCTTTACCTATTAGCATTGTACATAGAGGCGTACCAACTGCTGGCAAGTGGCCTAGTGGTATGTGATTTTGCTTGATAAGGAAAGCATCAAGGTTTCAATCCCATACGCATGCAACTTTGTCGCAATTTTTGCAGAATTGAGCTTTTAAATAGCTTCAGAGCCCTAAAGCTTGGAATTTTATTATACTGATGCTAATCGAGGTTTGGAGTGTTAAAAAAACTAACGTAATACGAGTATTATGAAGCTTATGGTAATCTTCATTCAAATTACTTAACTAGGCCAAACCAAAACCGCTCCGCTGCTGGAAATTACAGATTTGGAATCAGTGTTTCAAGCGCTTCAAGACGATAAATGTCCCATCCGGATTGGTGCTTTCGACTAAGTATCCTCTCTTTGTAAGTAAAACCAAAATGACAGAAGAATTGTGGTGGAACTTATGATCTTCTTAGGCGTAAATCACGCTGTTTTGATGTCGCGGTTTTTTCTTATGAAAAGATGCAACGACCGGTGCGGTCAGTGCGGTCAGCTGCACAGCTGCAGTCTGCTGCGGTCAGTGCGGCAGTCTGAAACGATCCTAAAAGCGGTGCACATGCGCCGCTCCTCGTGGAATCTTCCGTCTAATCCAAAATGAACTCGACTGTACACTTCAAATGGTGCCCGCAGCCCAAAGCATGCTGATTCCTCAAGCTGTCGTACTTAAAATTGCAGCCACGAGGGAGGGCGCACAGCCGGGTATATGCCAAGAATAACGATAGCTGGCAATAGTGGCACCCTGAGTGCCCGGGTGTCAATAAACGGTGCACAGGTAGCACCGCTCCAGCAGCGGACGAGCTCACGCAGGCACTACATTTTGTAGCAGTAAATGCCCGAAGCGTTGTTCTTTTTTATTTATGCATCATGTTAAGGTTTCTGATACCTTCTAATGAATGATGGAAATAATCAGCATTCACATCGCCATAAAATGCGATGGAAATGTTTTGAACTCAATTCAGCCTGCGCAGTATGTGTAAGCTTCTATGCTTGATGTAGGAGACGAACTTCATCGATAATAACTGAAGTTTCAGTCATTTTTCTTAATTTCATGAATGAGTGAGGATGGGCTGTTCTGCGAGCGCGAGCAGCTGGCAGCTAGCGGCTGGCAGAGCTATCGTTATTCTTGACCGCCACCCCGCACAGCCATTGCAGGAACAACATAAACAAAAGGTTCCATCCTCGTGTGCTCTAACCTTCATGAGTAGAAGATTTGTCTGAAGTGTCAATATAATCAAGAATTCAGCTGTTGAAACTTGCCTGAACTTATTGTACGATGGCCTCTCTCAGGAGTAGCCGCATTGTCTCAGCTTGGTAGAAACATAAGCCTAGATGCAATTTTTTGCGCTTTGCACTGCGCTTTCAATGTCTCGAAGATCGAAACGTTTTCTGCGTATAACAATGATGTAAAATTTCCTGAAAGCTTTAAAATCTTTCCGATAAATAATGTACCCTAAATCTACGCCTATAAGACGCACCTTTTTCGATTTTTCAAACGAGCCGCTCAGGCGCTCCACTGCATTTCTTAAATCCTTATGCCGCACGATTTTCTCAAGCATTATACAGCACTAAGGAGGGTCCAATGGTTGCGGAGTCTTTTGGCGTATCTGGCTGGTCGATTTTGGTGAAAAACTCCCGCGGCTTGAATGCGTAAGATTACGGCAATGATGAGCATCCAGAGAGACTGTATTCAGTGATGATCCCCTCGAGGAAGACGTATGATTTCAGCGACATGTAGTAACCATATGTGATGGGAAAACCATCTTTTCCGAGGAAATATTTGATGCATCAAGGTACAAATTATCCTGCTGATGGCAGCAAGGTGCAGCCGCACTAAATCCTACTGAAATGTTAAGTTTGAAAAGCAGGAAAGACAGTGGCAAAAACAAAGATGAAAACTTATAACTGCTATCAAAAAAAAATTACCATCTCTGAGGAAACTTTCGGAAGCTGCGCTGCAGTTCTTTCATCCTGTTAATGACGGCAAAGTGCAACCGCACTAAAATCGTACACTGAAAATAATGCTAACGTTGAGATGCAGCAGAAGACAGCAATAAAAATGAGGAAATTTCATATCTGACTGCATATCAGAAGAATTACCTTCCTGGAACTTTCCACAGTTGCGCTAAGTTCATCTTATCCTATTCACGGCGGCAGAGTGCATTGAAATCTCACACTGAAAAAAACATTGACTTGGACAGGTAGGGGAAAACAGTAATAAAAAACCAAGTTAAAATCTCATATCTAATTGCTTATCAGAAGAATTACCTTCTCGGACAAATCTTTCGTAGTTGAGTTCAAATTTATCATCTCCTTGAGGTGACAATGTGCAACCGCACCAAAATTCCACACTGAAAAAATAGTATATGTGAAATGAGAGGAAACGTGTCACAAAAGGTGAAGTTATAATGATACTAAACGTTTTCAAAAACAAATTCTCAATATCGCATGAAAATCTTTTATAACGAGATATTTTTCACAAACAGCAACCAAATAAATGTAGTAAAACGAGATCTCCTAAAGGCAGTGATATAGGTATTCTTCACGAATCGATGCAGCCAAACATGAAGTGGTTCAAAAGTTCGTGCCGTTTTTTTGACCTATCCTTAAACATTCAGAGAACCGATAGACAAGCATTCTAAGCATTGTCCTATGCAGAATCTCGATCTCTTTCCAGCTCTACGTACCCTAACTTCAGCTAGTTTTTGTACTTTTCGTTTTGGACTTTTGAAAACGCTTTGATGGCAGTTGACAGAATAGACAAATTGCAATGTAACACATTTGGCATCAACAGCTAGCTATTCAAATTTTCTAAAAGTATCATTTTGATGCTACCAAATTAGATATTTATCCATCCCAAACTTCGTAAAACATCAGACGGCAAACAGCTAGGGTGTCATTCAATGCACCATCACCTTCTCTTTTTATTAGATGTTTTTTACTGATTTGTAGTCCTCGAGTTAAATATAATTTTGATTACTTGATGAGTGTCAAGCTGCACTCGAAAATTTCAAAAATTAATATTTCGAGGTAGTAACTCACTAGTTTGATGGAATTAGTTTCAAACATAATCCATTTTTAAAGTCCCAATTTGCTACGATTTCACAGTGTTCGGAGCGTTTGTATGTTGTACGTTTTTCTAAAAAACGGCACGAACTTTCGGACCATCTAATAAATGCAATAAATTCCAATGATAACTCTAATGAGATATTCCAAAAATGCAATAATGAAGATATTCTTCAGAGATCGATGCAGCTAAATAAGTACAATAAATGGAAATTCCAAAAATGCAATAATGAAGATATTCTTCAGAGATCGATGCAGCTAAATAAGTACAATAAATGGAAATTCCAAAAATGCAATAATGAAGATATTCTTCAGAGATCGATGCAGCTAAATAAGTACGATATTTGAAACATGCAAGAAGGGTGGTGAGCAAGAAAAACGATAGCGTTGGATATCGCTAACCAGCGTATTTTTTCCCTCATTTTCGTCCATTCGAATGCAAGAATTCAAGGCATAATCTCCTACGCTTTCATCTAGATCGAAAAGTTGAATCAATTTTGTTTGTTTGATCATGTGGTGTAAATGAACGTCGAGACAACAAGATAGGCGTTTCGAAACTTAAACTATAAGCATTTCGCGGTTTTCCTTGCGATTTCATCAGAAAGAGTGCGCTTATCATCGGCCCTCGTGCAATATTCATTGAGTAAAGAATTTATCACAACATTTCTCATTTTCAATGAACCTAAAATCCGTGATTCGTAGAGCAAATAGTGCATCGCTATGCGATGGAAACAGCGGCTGTCAACTGTTATCGCTACTCTTGCACCACACCCATGGGAACCATCTTCGACTTTAGAGAAGAAAAAAAGAGACTTCATCTAGAGGGAACAATTCAAAAAAGACAACAGTCAATGGAGAAAAATATCCTTGTAAGACGAGTTCTTACGAATTCTGCAAAGCTTGTTCTCTCTCTTCTGGTGACATTTCCGCCATTTGTTGACGAGAAAGCCCCGTATCATTGGGTGTTTTGCATTTCTAAAAGTGAGCATTGATGTTTCAAGATAATAAAGCAGTGAAAAATCACCTTGGGAGCGAATAGATGGCCGCGGTGCAGGCGGTAGGCACGGATGTCCTCTCTGTAAACAAACGCCAAAATTACGTCATCAAAACAATAAACTGGGGTCAGTGGCGGACAGAAGGGAAAGGGCGAAGTTTTTGAAATTTGATTACATGTTATAAAAATGTGGAACTGACTCCCCCCATTTCTAAGTTAGGGGTTATGTACTCGCAGAAATTTCGAAAAGCACTCCAAAAATCTTTTTGAAAGAATGTTTTTCACCTTGATTTAGAAAAAATTCCCCTTCTTGGAAGGAAATCCTGCGACAGCCACTGTTTGGGACAAATATATAACTTAACTTACAGGGATCGCGTCATACAAGTTTTACAGTTGTCATACCAGGTCGTCTTCGCCCTTAAGAGTTGCTTGAAGCGTTTTTCTCTATTCTCTTCGGTGTCGCCAAGGGCCAACCAGAACCTGTACAGGTGACAGTGGGTAACTCAAAAAGTCTAATCTAAACAGGAAAGGTATATAAGTCGCAGTGCAGCTTGCCTATGAGAAGTAAATCAGTCGAAAGGTCTTTGAGCGTCTTTGAGCAAAAAACCCTCTATACATGCTTGCTATGCGATCATATACTTTCCTTGTAAGCATATTGATGCGAACCCGTCCTCGGAATTTCTCAGGTTTGCGAGTGTTCCATGGATTATATAAGGATGGGATAGGCCTACGGCATCAATTATGAATTCTAAAAAAATTCGATAAATACTAACAATAAGACAAATTTTAGGAAAAAAAGCGTCACCTGTGATGGTGCCACTGATGCCTTCCGGCAAATTAATCAAACTGTTTTCTCCTCGGGGAGAATTTGTGGCACGGTAGGTGTATTTCCATATTTCGTATGGCGGATCACAAATCTAAAAGGAATCATGAAAAGACTGACGCAATCTTGTTCACTCACACACCTCTTTGAAGATGTTTCGCAGAAAATCCGTAACTTGTTTGACTGCGCAACCCGCCGATCGTTTCGGAGCAGTGTAGTGACAGAGGGCTTCATTTAAATTCACCTTCTTGATAAGAAAGAAATTAATTCACTTTCCTCTCCCCCCCCCCCCCCCTTTCTGCACACCTTAAATGGTTTTTGATAGCTCAATATATGATTTCCGGCAAGATTTTCGTATTTGAACTCTTGTACATCTGTGAAAGGCGAAGAGATATCTTGGGAACGACGCAGATGACTGATTTCCTCCTTACATTCCAGAATAATCGTGAGGATGAGGTTTGTCTGAAAGTGTTAATACTAGTCTAGAATTCCAGCTATTGAGACTTCCCTGGACTCGCTGGGCTACGTGATTTTCCGCTAGTAGCCGAAGTGTTTCAGCGTGGTCGTAAATTGTGCCAAAGCGCGATCTTTCTGCGCTTTGCACCGAGCGCATGACGTCTCGGAAATCAAAATACTTTACTGCGCTTGAACAATGATGTAAAACTTGCTGAAAGTTCCGAGATCTTTTTAGAAAGTAGTGGTGTAACGGTATACCTCTACAGAAACCCGACTTAACGTCGACGATTCCTTCGAGAAAAAAGCATACAGCACTGAAGCGAAGTCGGAAGTTCCCTCAGGCTTTCCAAGGGATTCTTTAATAGCTTCTAAAAAGAATACTACTCTATACCCGCTGCATACAGCGCTTCCTAGCCTCAGTTTCACTAACCAATAGGATCTCTAGTGTTCGTCAAGCGTTCACCGACCCTCGGCTGTTCGCGAATGTTGGGAGTCATTACCTCAGGAGCTCAAACCACCAACTACAGCAATGACCTTGAAGCAAAATTTAACTTACTTGTCGTGTAGTGCGATGACATGCTCGTCTCCGGCGTTAGGATTCCCGATACTTCCCCTGCATACGGATTTGATAAAACCGGGAACCCAGAGGTCTCTCTGTTTGCATAATCCTATAGAATCACTCACATCAACTATAAATTAAACCTTTTTCAGCTTTTCTTTTCAACTTTCTTCAGCGTCGATTGAAAAACATTGAATTCACCTGATTTTGAGGTCTTAAAGGGCGTAATTCTGCGTATGTAGGCGGAGACTTTAGTCTGGAAGTTGATGGTTGCGAAGTGGCAGCGCCAGCAATATTCTCGTTGCCTGGATCTGAAAATCACAAACTTCAAATTAGATTCCCTGTTCGAAAATCTGAAAAGGTAGTGCTCACTTTGTGACATTCTCCTATACTTCGGCAGTTTTCAAGAGACCGGCTCGCCTGCACTGCGTTTCCTAGCCAGTAAACAAACTTCATGAGAAATATAAAGGCAGGAAAGATAAAGGCATGAGAGGATATCCTCTTCCCTTTAACATGAGAGATATAAACAGCACTTTATTCACATCTAAGATTTACGAAAACATATACGAATTAAATTTTCAATGCAAACATTCGAGATCTCATTTCCACACACACAGCTGGTCTAATTATATCTGTAACGTTAATCCACTTTACGCCTGCGAAGGACAATTCATGAGAATGAGATTTTTTTGGGAGAAGAGGTGCATGAGATTTGAAGCAGTATCACTGTTCGGACGGGAGTGCAAAGTTTCTACAAGATCAAGAAAGGGATTTGAGGCTGTGTAATGTTGGATAAGAGCAAATGAACTTCGCGTACATTCATGAAAACTAATCAAGACTAGTTTCCCGTATGAGTAGATCTGTGTAACGCCATCTTCCGTAGCTCTTATGCAAAAAGAAGAAGTATCCGTATCGCACACTCTCTGCCAGTCTATTCGAGCAAAAACCTTTCCATTTACGACAACACGTGAACTAAAAAACATGGCTTTTGCATATCCGCTCATTATTATTGCAAATCAAAGCTTTTGCAGAACACGCACTACAATTTAACACTGCTCATCCCTCTATGGTGTTGGTAGAACATCATCCGATGGTCTTCTGTTAAAGTGTTTATGGCCACTTCGCTGTTGTCGGCTACATAATAGCCGGCCGCCAGTTGCACCTTCAGGGGGAATCTTAACCGAGACATTCACTCAAAACAAATAAAAGGATATTTTTGCCTATACACGATAATTTTCGCTCGCCTTTCGCTTCGTTTTTCATAGCGCCTAATAAACTTTCGAATCTTCCAGAATGGTTTCTCAGAAAGGCTTCTTCCATGAGCACCGCAAGCTTCTTCATTTGGACACACTTAAAATTTACCTATTGAAATCACTTCGTACCTATTAAGAATTCTGTCATTGGAGTACGATACATACTGATTATGCGGAACTTGCAGAATGCGGTGAATAAATTCGAATGGGGCTGCGCTCCATACATAAGGACTGCCGTATAGTTCAACTTCTTCGAGAACGCAATGGTCAAATAGATTCTGGAAGTGCCTAATTTCTCAATCCCTTGCAGACCTCCAAAAACCCACATGTGCTTTTAACGTAAACATGATGTTTGACATTTCATGCCAGAGTTGCTTGACAAGACACATAGCAGTTTGTACGAACTTGACGTTCACGGTGGTAAGATCTTCTACAGCTTGCAGTTCCTTTATGCAATACCAGTACCCGACGAGGGATGCAGTGCATAATGGAGATGGACAGAGAGCGGCGGCTCCGACTAGAGGGAAGATGATATTTGCCAGCTACAAAACGCCACGTCATACTTCAGACAACGGTTGAGACATATCAGGAGGATCTTATACCATGTCAAACTCTGCTCCAGTCATAGACGGCAGGTCCTCGAACCCAAGGATGAACTTCGAACTATAGGTACCTATAATTTCTTACACCCGCTAATACCCACCCCCCGTTTCCTAATTACTTACACCGATCAAACTGCATAGACCTTTGAGGTAAGAAAAGCCTACTAGAGATCTTTCACAATCATAGGTGCGGCATACAACCCCCTCCCCTAACAAAATTACTTGCTATAAGTAGCTTGAAAGAGGCACACAAACTTACGTTGATCGAGTCCGACTTTCGAATCCAAGTCTTCGAAGGCTGAGATGTGCAACCGCACGCAGCATGGGTTACTGAAAAAACATCTTTGAGTGGGTATGCTAATCGCTTATTATAATGCGTACTAAAGAATTACCTTTTGAGAAAGTACGTTCTGGAATTGAGCGCTAGTTACTAGTTGGGTCCCAGTAACTACAATGCAAAGTATAACATGTGAAGAGTGAGAAACTCACAATGAAAGACAAAAGTACGACAATGATATTATACATGATAACAGAGTCTCCTCTATCATACATAAATTCTTTATCATTAAACAAAGAAGAGGTAAATGCAAATCAACTTTTAACAAAATATATACCTCTGCTGGACAGTCAATAATGCAGGCGATATAAAGCAAGGTAACAACTTTCGATGAAGAATTGAGACAGGTGCTCAAGTCAGGCATGAGAGAGCAGTTAAAAATTAGGAGAAGATTACCATTATTTGAGATACTTTCTTATAAGAAAAAATATTCACAAAGATTATTGATCGACAGCAATATGTCAAGAAATTTTGTACGGGAAAAGGCTAAAAGGGGAGCAACTTTTCAGCGTGCACCGCTTCCGTCAAGGGCACCGCCTCCCTCAGTGTCAGTTGTCTCCACGCATCAGATGTCATTGCTTTCTTATCTTTCTTATGTTTTCGTCTATTTTGTACATACATGGCATTATCACTAAGTTCGTGCGGCTGCTTGGATGATACAACAAAAATTGTTGGTAAGCTATCCGTCCTCAAATTTATGTCCGTATACCTGTGTCCTTTATATAAGGGTATGCATCGTCTAGGCTCAACCAAGATGCGCGAAGCTATCGAAACTGACATTTTCGCATACGAACAGCGTGTTTTCAAGTAGTAGTTGCTGTTGCAGGTTTGCTTTTCTTGTCGCTTTCCTTTTCTTTGTCTACGATATATATGGTTTTTTTCCGAGATAATGTTAGTCTGCTTAGAGGCTTCTTTTGTAATTACCAGTCTTGCGCTCACCTAATCTTTTTAGGAGAGTTCGAAGCTGAGAACTTCCATGGAATTGAGGAGAATCGGAATCGATCGGATTCAATAATCGGAAAGAGAATGTGCTCAAGCTGTGGAATTACCTCTTCCAGGTAAACAAGGAAATCTGTCATAATGGGTGGGAGACTGTATCTGCAATCCTCTCTGTTTACAGCAACCACAAGTCGTGTTAAACTGGTTATGCCTAATCATGCGCTCATCTGAATACTAACTCTGTCATATGTATGGCTGCCGCACTACATTCAAACGTTCTTTAGCAATTTTGCTGTTTTTGGAAATCTCTTGCTTTTGTTTTTTTTTCAACGTGTGTAGCAGTTTGACATATGCCTCAGTGCAATATTTTCTTTTCAAATGTCTTTGTTCACTTGTATTCATTGCCACTTTTGATCAGGTTGCTTACTTGCTCTATCTCATATCCTCTCCTCTTTTCTCTTCTTTAATTACTAATCATGATATTTTGTAGCTCATGACACCGAGTGCTTATAACTGATATAATCTCTGTTGTTATTTTACCTCATTTTTTTTTGTGTGCCGGCAACGGTTGCCTGTGGTGCATTAAGGACGAAAGCAATTGCCAGCCGCTAATGCATACGTACGGCGATGCGCTGTTCTTCTCACCAAGCGCAAATTTCAGACTCAGTGAAATGAGTAGAGTTGAAATACATTCTATACTGAGTAATTTTTGCATGCAACCCGGTGTGAGGGCAATTCGGTAATTCTACTGCAGAGAAAAACCTGAAATATTAGAAGTTTTACCTTTGAAACCTTTTTTCACTATTTGCATATTTTTGCAACTTATTTTTATATTTTCAACTCTTCTGTGTAATTAAAAAGATGAAACGAGGGAATCCTGTAAATTTTCACCTACTGATGGCCAGCAATCAGGGAAAGAAACGCGCAGGTTATTGACACCCTCCGCGTATCGTTCCTGTAGCTTGCCACCCCGGTTGCCGATGTTGCTGGGGAATAAGAGAGCGCTCAACACACGGAATGCACATTGAGGTTTTGAAACGGCTGGCAATTTCGGCAACAGTTGCCGGCAACTATGTCTTTGCGTAGGTACGGCATATAACCCCCTCCCGAAACAAAATTAATTGCTATAAGTAGCTTGAAGAAGGCGCACAAACTTATGTTGATCGATTCCGATTTTCAATCCAGGTTCTCGAAGGTTGAGTTGTGCAACCGCACGCACTATGGGTTACTGAAAAAACGTCCTTGAGTGAGGTATGCTGATCCCTTATCAAAATGCATTCTAGAAAAATCACCTTTTTAGATGTAAGTTTTGGAATTGGGTGCCTTTGATTTGGCCAGTCACAGGCTGGGTCCTAGTAACTACAATGGAAGGAATAATATGCGAAAAGTTAGAAACTATTACAAATGATAAGAGAGTCCCTTCTACCATACAAAAATTCTTTAGCTTTGAACAAGGAAGAGGTACAAGCAAATCAACTCGAAAAACCAAAAAAGCAAATTAAAAAATAATATGAAGGCAGAAGTATGATGATGTTACCAATAATGATTATGAGAGAACTTATGATGGATTTCAAAGAAACACGTATGTCGATGGTTACATAGTGCAACCGCACGAGCAATTGCTGGATTTGAGTAGACGTTTATTTTGACCTTGAAGAAAATAGAGCTTTTACGTGTGCTAAGCGCCTAACTGCGTATTAGAAGAATTACCTTCTTGGATAATCCTTTCTGTCTTGAGTTAATGCAGTTTGAAATTATGTAGTTGAACCTTAATTTATCCTGCTGATAGTGGTGATGTGCAACCGCACTGGAATACACCGAGTCTGAAAAAAAATAGAGAGAGATCAAAAGACAAACGTATGGTAATGAAACAGAACATAGTGCATGTCAAATTTCTCAGCTAGAAGCAGCGCAGCATCGCTAGCTATAGCGGGTCTGATTCGCACTGGCTGCAGCAGTTTGCAGCAGCAGCGTCGCCTGGCGTCAATCGATACGCACAAAAGGCGTTGCTGCTGGCAGCGCCTTATCGTCAGCTATAGCGACCCATCGTCAGGTATATCTCAAGCCTAAGGCTTCATTCATACCTGACGATGGGTGGCTATAGCTGACGATGTGTCGCTGCTAGCAGCAACGCTTTTCATGCGTATCGATTCCAGCCAAGCGACGCTGGTGCTGCTAGCTGCTGCAGCCAACGCGAAACAGACCCGCTATAGCTAACGATGCTGCGCTGCTTCTAGCTGCTCCCAACTGCTCCCAACTGCTCTCAGCTGCTCCATGCTGCTATCAGCTGATTTTGCTCGGATGTGCCCCTATTAACCATTTTTTTGTGTTTTCAAAGGATTTCCAAAGCATTTGTTGCGGCAAGAGTACGACAATTTTGCGAGACTATTAAAAAGACAAATGCATAGGTGAGCAAATCAATCTGAACAAGAGAAACTCTACAAGATCTTTAGAATCAAAATAGAATATGAATAGAGTACGATGAACAGCCAGAGGCAGATATTTATCAAGGAAAATAGTGGGATGTCGCTTGCCCACTTATGCAATACGGCAGGGAATAGACCTAGTTTAATTGTTGCCTCAAGAACACCTAAGGTTCATGTGTGACATTCGAATTAGCCTGTCAAATTATCTCAATTTCTTTAGTAGATACAGCATTTGTGCGCTGCGTGCTTATTATAAAAGAAACTTTATAATGACAGTAGTGTGCTATATTTCATGATTGATGGATTCCAGCGATGAGATTCATGAATTCATTTCTCCGTTAATCTAGATCAGCTGACAGGGCTGATAATACTTTACTGCTGCACCTAAAATGCACCCATGAGCAGCACCTTCAAGCAGCTAGAAGCAGCGGAGACAGCAGCGATTCGCCAATACCCGCTATACCTCTATCGTCAGGTATGTATGAAGCCTGACCTCCCAGCAAGATCGGCAACCGGGGTGGCAATCAATCAATCAATCGCGCCGCCTCCCTCAGTGTCAGTTGTCTCCACGCTTCAGGTGTCATTGCTTTCTTATCAGCCCATCGCAGACCATCCTCATCACCATTCTGTAACAAAGTGACCGATGTTGCGCAGTGATGATTAGAATGGGAGCAAACGAACCACTTCAGGGACCAAGCGTCCTTCACACATGCAATAGCCACGAACATCCTCTCTAACAATAAAGATTATTCAATGCTGAAAGCACAAACCAAACATAGAAGTGAAGGCACTCACAGTGCTTTTGCTATGCACGATTTCGATATTCGGACCCAGTTAAGTTTGGCTTTCAGAAGACGTTTGAATTCGCGTTCTCGCTCCTCTTCACAATCGGCTAAGCTCAGCCAAAACCTAAACATTTTTATTATGACGACCGACGCAGAGACATCTACACAAACACATACGCGTTATCAGAACACTTCAGACCTTCAAACCTCCAACTACTGAGCTCTCGTTGACCTAGCCCCCTTGCTTCCACTATGAAATCTGAAAAGTAAGACTAATGCAACGAATGTGATGTACAGGATCACCAATCAGTGTATGAAGGATTGTCCCCGGTAATTCTAATAGGCCTTTGAATGCCCGATGTGAGTATTTCCAAATGTCTGATGGGTCGGGGTAGCATATCTGGAATGAATCATATGAAAAACTGATAACATAAAATAACATAAAATGATAACATAAAAGAAATAACATAACATAAAATAACATAAAACAGCAACTGATAAAATAAAATTTAACTTACTTGTCGTGTAATGCGATGACATGCTCGTCTCCGGCGATAGGATTCTCGATACTTCCCCTGCATACGGACTTGATAAAGCCGGGATCTCATCGTTTGCATAATCCTACAGAATCACTTACATCAACTATAAATCAAACCTTTTTCAGCTTTTCTTTTCAATTTTCTTCAGCGTCGATTGAAAAACATTGAATTCACCTGATTTTGAGGTCTAAAAGGGCGCAATTCGGCGTATGTAGGCGGAGACTTTAGTCTGGATGTTGATGGTTGCCAAGTTGCAGCGCCAGCAATATTCTCGTTGCCTGGAGCTGAAAATCACAAACTTCAAATTAGAAATTCCCTATTCGAAAATCTGAAAAGGTAGTGCTCACCTTGTGACATTCTCCTATACTTCGGCAGTTTTCAAGAGACCGGCTTGCCTGCACTGCGTTTCCTAGCCTGCAAACAAACTTCATAAGAAATATAAAGGCAGGAAAGGAAAAGGCATGGGAGGAGATCTCATTTCCACACACACAGCTGGTCTAATTATATCTGTAACGTTAATCCACTTTACGCCTGCGAAGGACAATTCATGAGAATGAGATTTTTTTGGGAGATGAGATGCATGAGATTTGAAGCAGTATCACTGTTCGGAAGGGAGTGCAAAGTTTCTACAAGATCAAGAAAGGGATTTGAGGCTGTGTAATGTTGGATAAGAGCAAATGAACTTCGCGTACATTCATGAAAACTAATCAAGACTAGTTTCCCCTATGAGTAGAGTGTAACGCCATCTTCCGTAGCTCTTATGCAAAAAGAAGAAGTATCCGTATCGCACACTCTCTGCCAGTCTATTCGAGCAAAAACCTTTCCATTTACGACAACACGTGAACTAAAAAACATGGCTTTTGCATATCCGCTCATTACTATTGCAAATCAAAGCTTTTGCAGAACACGCACTACAATTTAACACTGCTCATCCCTATATGGTGTTGGTAGAACATCATCCGATGGTCTTCTGTTAAAGTGTTTATGGCCACTTCGCTGTTGTCGGCTACGGGTTGAGCCAGACTGCGCGGCGTACACGACGTACGCAGCGTACGCCGCATATGCTCCTATGATGAAATATACCGAGCGTACGCTGCGTACGCCGCGTACGCCGCTTCCCCGCGAAGTCTGGCTCAACCCTACATAATAGCCGGCCGCCAGTTGCACCTTCAGGGGGAATCTTAACCGAGACATTCACTCAAAACAAATAAAAGGATATTTTTGCCTATACACGATGACAATTTTCGCTCGCCTTTCGCTTCGTTTTTCATAGCGCCTAATAAACTTTCGAATCTTCCAGAATGGTTTCTCAGAAAGGCTTCTTCCATGAGCACCGCAAGCTTCTTCATTTGGACACACTCAAAATTTACCTATTGAAATCACTTCGTACCTATTAAGAATTCTGTCATTGGAGTACGATACATACTGATTATGCGGAACTTGCAGAATGCGGTGAATAAATTCGAATGGGGCTGCGCTCCATACATAAGGACTGCCGTATAGTTCAACTTCTTCGAGAACGCAATGGTCAAATAGATTCTGGAAGTGCCTAATTTCTCAATCCCTTGCAGACCTCCAAAAACCCACATGTGCTTTTAACGTAAACATGCTGTCTGACATTTCATGCCAGAGTTGCTTGACAAGACACATAGCAGTTTGTACGAACTTGACGTTCACGGTGGTAAGATCTTCTACAGCTTGCAGTTCCTTTATGCAATACCAGTACCCGACGAGGGATGCAGTGCATAATGGAGATGGACAGAGAGCGGCGGCTCCGACTAGAGGGAAGATGATATTTGCCAGCTACAAAACGCCACGTCATACTTCAGACAACGGTTGAGACATATCAGGAGGATCTTATACCATGTCAAACTCTGCTCCAGTCATAGACGGCAGGTCCTCGAACCCAAGGATGAACTTCGAACTATAGGTACCTATAATTTCTTACACCCGCTAATACCCACCCCCCGTTTCCTAATTACTTACACCGATCAAACTGCATAGACCTTTGAGGTAAGAAAAGCCTACTAGAGATCTTTCACAATCATAGGTGCGGCATACAACCCCCTCCCCTAACAAAATTACTTGCTATAAGTAGCTTGAAAGAGGCACACAAACTTACGTTGATCGAGTCCGACTTTCGAATCCAAGTCTTCGAAGGCTGAGATGTGCAACCGCACGCAGCATGGGTTACTGAAAAAACATCTTTGAGTGGGTATGCTAATCGCTTATTATAATGCGTACTAAAGAATTACCTTTTGAGAAAGTACGTTCTGGAATTGAGCGCTAGTTACTAGTTGGGTCCCAGTAACTACAATGCAAAGTATAACATGTGAAGAGTGAGAAACTCACAATGAAAGACAAAAGTACGATAATGATATTATACATGATAACAGAGTCTCCTCTATCATACATAAATTCTTTATCATTAAACAAAGAAGAGGTAAATGCAAATCAACTTTTAACAAAATATATACCTCTGCTGGACAGTCAATAATGCAGGCGATATAAGGCAAGGTAACAACTTTCGATGAAGAATTGAGACAGGTGCTCAAGTCAGGCATGAGAGAGCAGTTAAAAATTAGGAGAAGATTACCATTATTTGAGATACTTTCTTATAAGAAAAAATATTCACAAAGATTATTGATCGACAGCAGTATGTCAAGAAATTTTGTACGGGAAAAGGCTAAAAGGGGAGCAACTTTTCAGCGTGCACCGCTTCCGTCAAGGGCACCGCCTCCCTCAGTGTCAGTTGTCTCCACGCATCAGATGTCATTGCTTTCTTATCTTTCTTATGTTTTCGTCTATTTTGTACATACATGGCATTATCACTAAGTTCGTGCGGCTGCTTGGATGATACAACAAAAATTGTTGGTAAGCTATCCGTCCTCAAATTTATGTCCGTATACCTGTGTCCTTTATATAAGGGTATGCATCGTCTAGGCTCAACCAAGATGCGCGAAGCTATCGAAATTGACATTTTCGCATACGAACAGCGTGTTTTCAAGCAGTAGTTGCTGTTGCAGGTTTGCTTTTCTTGTCGCTTTCCTTTTCTTTGTCTACAATATATATGGTTTTTTTTTTTCGAGATAATGTTAGTCTGCTTAGAGGCTTCTTTTGTAATTACCAGTCTTGCGCTCACCTAATCTTTTTAGGAGAGTTCGAAGCTGAGAACTTCCATGGAATTGAGGAGAATCGGAATCGATCGGATTCAATAATCGGAAAGAGAATGTGCTCAAGCTGTGGAATGACCTCTTCCAGGTGAACAAGGAAATCTGTCATAATGGGTGGGAGACATTCGATACGTAATTTACAGCTCCTTCTTGCTCATCGTGTTGTCTCGAACTTTCTATGGCTATTCAACGCATTTTCCGTGGGGCTTCTTACTCTTGATCTTATGGCCGACATCGAGGTAAGAGAGAATAATCAACTTGACAGTCGTCTCGTCGATAAAGTAAGTTTGCTTTGAGAGAGCGCGAAAATCTTCTTCTCGGGTCACGCTCTATGTATAAGATTCATCTTGTCGGGGACGTCTTCTTTCCGATGATCTTGGAGCTCATCTTATGGATGTCAAAGACATGCTCCAGAAGCACGCCCACTCTGTGGAAGGGGGCGGGGCTGGAGGAAATTTGAAGCGCATTTTTCAGGACTTAGCGCATGAATTGGCAAGTGGGGTTTGGACCACAGGGTACTTGGGGGGGGGGGGGGGTCTACTACCGAAACACACCAAAATTCGAGAAGGGTCCATTCTGCTGATCCACTGCAAGTTTTGCCAAGTGAATAAGCGACTCGGATGCTTTGTAGCTTTCATCTGCCATTGTATTTAAAACCATATTCCTGTTGATGCTCCGTGCTTACAGCTACTGGAATATTTGCTAAATTGGAGTTTACTCTGGACGATACTCAACGCAAGGTATGATTGTGGATTTGTGAGAAAATTCTTTCTCGCTCCTGTCTCAGAAGCTCATATTTGTTTTCCAGGAATAGCTCCTTTCGGTCACTTATTTGAACTCCCCCCTGAAATCATCGAATTTGTTCCATGCACTCCGCTGAATAAAGGACCCAAACTCCACTTAAGTTTCTTGACTCATTGATGTGAATAACTGTATCTGCAATCCTCTCTGTTTACAGCAACAACAAGTCGTGCTAAACTGGTTATGCCTAATCATGCGCTCATCTAAATACTAACTCTATCATATGTACGGCTGCCGCACTATATTCAAACGTTCTTTAGCAATTTTGCTGTTTTGGGGAATCTCTTGCTTTTGTCTTTCAACGTGTTGTAGCATTTTGACATATGCCTCAGTTTGATATTTTGTTTTCAAATGTCTTTGTTCACTTGTATTCATTGCCACTTTTGATCAGGTTGCTTACTTGCTCTATCTCATATCCTCTCCTCTTTTCTCTTCTTTAATTACTAATCATGATATTTTGTAGCTCATGACACCGAGTGCTTATAACTGATATAATCTCTGTTGTTATTTTACCTCATTTTTTTTTGTGTGCCGGCAACGGTTGCCTGTGGTGCATTAAGGACGAAAGCAATTGCCAGCCGCTAATGCATACGTACGGCGATGCGCTGTTCTTCTCACCAAGCGCAAATTTCAGACTCAGTGAAATGAGTAGAGTTGAAATACATTCTATACTGAGTAATTTTTGCATGCAACCCGGTGTGAGGGCTTCGGTAATTCTACTGCAGAGAAAAACCTGAAATATTAGAAGTTTTACCTTTGAAACCTTTTTTCACTATTTGCATATTTTTGCAACTTATTTTTATATTTTCAACTCTTCTGTGTAATTAAAAAGATGAAACGAGGGAATCCTGTAAATTTTCACCTACTGATGGCCAGCAATCAGGGAAAGAAAGGCGCAGGTTATTGACACCCTCCGCGTATCGTTCCTGTAGCTTGCCACCCCGGTTGCCGATGTTGCTGGGGAATAAGAGAGCGCTCAACACACGGAATGCACATTGAGGTTTTGAAACGGCTGGCAATTTCGGCAACAGTTGCCGGCAACTATGTCTTTGCGTAGGTACGGCATATAACCCCCTCCCGAAACAAAATTAATTGCTATAAGTAGCTTGAAGAAGGCGCACAAACTTATGTTGATCGATTCCGATTTTCAATCCAGGTTCTCGAAGGTTGAGTTGTGCAACCGCACGCACTATGGGTTACTGAAAAAACGTCCTTGAGTGAGGTATGCTGATCCCTTATCAAAATGCATTCTAGAAAAATCACCTTTTTAGATGTAAGTTTTGGAATTGGGTGCCTTTGATTTGGCCAGTCACAGGCTGGGTCCTAGTAACTACAATGGAAGGAATAATATGCGAAAAGTTAGAAACTATTACAAATGATAAGAGAGTCCCTTCTACCATACAAAAATTCTTTAGCTTTGAACAAGGAAGAGGTACAAGCAAATCAACTCGAAAAACCAAAAAAGCAAATTAAAAAATAATATGAAGGCAGAAGTATGATGATGTTACCAATAATGATTATGAGAGAACTTATGATGGATTTCAAAGAAACACGTATGTCGATGGTTACATAGTGCAACCGCACGAGCAATTGCTGGATTTGAGTAGACGTTTATTTTGACCTTGAAGAAAATAGAGCTTTTACGTGTGCTAAGCGCCTAACTGCGTATTAGAAGAATTACCTTCTTGGATAATCCTTTCTGTCTTGAGTTAATGCAGTTTGAAATTATGTAGTTGAACCTTAATTTATCCTGCTGATAGTGGTGATGTGCAACCGCACTGGAATACACCGAGTCTGAAAAAAAATAGAGAGAGATGGTGATCAAAAGACAAACGTATGGTAATGAAACAGAACATAGTGCATGTCAAATTTCTCAGCTAGAAGCAGCGCAGCATCGCTAGCTATAGCGGGTCTGATTCGCACTGGCTGCAGCAGTTTGCAGCAGCAGCGTCGCCTGGCGTCAATCGATACGCACAAAAGGCGTTGCTGCTGGCAGCGCCTTATCGTCAGCTATAGCGACCCATCGTCAGGTATATCTCAAGCCTAAGGCTTCATTCATACCTGACGATGGGTGGCTATAGCTGACGATGTGTCGCTGCTAGCAGCAACGCTTTTCATGCGTATCGATTCCAGCCAAGCGACGCTGGTGCTGCTAGCTGCTGCAGCCAACGCGAAACAGACCCGCTATAGCTAACGATGCTGCGCTGCTTCTAGCTGCTCCCAACTGCTCCCAGCTGCTCGTTGCTGCTCTTCGCTGCTAAGCGATATGAAGCTCACTGTTTGTGAGCTTCTCTCAGCTGCTCCATGCTGCTATCAGCTGATTTTGCTCGGATGTGCCCCTATTAACCATTTTTTTGTGTTTTCAAAGGATTTCCAAAGCATTTGTTGCGGCAAGAGTACGACAATTTTGCGAGACTATTAAAAAGACAAATGCATAGGTGAGCAAATCAATCTGAACAAGAGAAACTCTACAAGATCTTTAGAATCAAAATAGAATATGAATAGAGTACGATGAACAGCCAGAGGCAGATATTTATCAAGGAAAATAGTGGGATGTCGCTTGCCCACTTATGCAATACGGCAGGGAATAGACCTAGTTTAATTGTTGCCTCAAGAACACCTAAGGTTCATGTGTGACATTCGAATTAGCCTGTCAAATTATCTCAATTTCTTTAGTAGATACAGCATTTGTGCGCTGCGTGCTTATTATAAAAGAAACTTTATAATGACAGTAGTGTGCTATATTTCATGATTGATGGATTCCAGCGATGAGATTCATGAATTCATTTCTCCGTTAATCTAGATCAGCTGACAGGGCTGATAATACTTTACTGCTGCACCTAAAATGCACCCATGAGCAGCACCTTCAAGCAGCTAGAAGCAGCGGAGACAGCAGCGATTCGCCAATACCCGCTATACCTCTATCGTCAGGTATGTATGAAGCCTGACCTCCCAGCAAGATCGGCAACCGGGGTGGCAATCAATCAATCAATCGCGCCGCCTCCCTCAGTGTCAGTTGTCTCCACGCTTCAGGTGTCATTGCTTTCTTATCAGCCCATCGCAGACCATCCTCATCACCATTCTGTAACAAAGTGACCGATGTTGCGCAGTGATGATTAGAATGGGAGCAAACGAACCACTTCAGGGACCAAGCGTCCTTCACACATGCAATAGCCACGAACATCCTCTCTAACAATAAAGATTATTCAATGCTGAAAGCACAAACCAAACATAGAAGTGAAGGCACTCACAGTGCTTTTGCTATGCACGATTTCGATATTCGGACCCAGTTAAGTTTGGCTTTCAGAAGACGTTTGAATTCGCGTTCTCGCTCCTCTTCACAATCGGCTAAGCTCAGCCAAAACCTAAACATTTTTATTATGACGACCGACGCAGAGACATCTACACAAACACATACGCGTTATCAGAACACTTCAGACCTTCAAACCTAAAATAACATAAAACAGCAACTGATAAAATAAAATTTAACTTACTTGTCGTGTAATGCGATGACATGCTCGTCTCCGGCGATAGGATTCCCGATACTTCCCCTGCATACGAACTTGATAAAGCCGGGATCTCAGACGTCTCATCCTCTGCATAATCCTACAGAATCACTTACATCAACTATAAATCAAACCTTTTTCAGCTTTTCTTTTCAATTTTCTTCAGCGTCGATTGAAAAACATTGAATTCACCTGATTTTGAGGTCTAAAAGGGCGCAATTCGGCGTATGTAGGCGGAGACTTTAGTCTGGATGTTGATGGTTGCCAAGTTGCAGCGCCAGCAATATTCTCGTTGCCTGGAGCTGAAAATCACAAACTTCAAATTAGAAATTCCCTATTCGAAAATCTGAAAAGGTAGTGCTCACCTTGTGACATTCTCCTATACTTCGGCAGTTTTCAAGAGACCGGCTTGCCTGCACTGCGTTTCCTAGCCTGCAAACAAACTTCATGAGAAATATAAAGGCAGGAAAGGAAAAGGCATGGGAGGAGATCTCATTTCCACACACACAGCTGGTCTAATTATATCTGTAACGTTAATCCACTTTACGCCTGCGAAGGACAATTCATGAGAATGAGATTTTTTTGGGAGAAGAGGTGCATGAGATTTGAAGCAGTATCACTGTTCGGACGGGAGTGCAAAGTTTCTACAAGATCAAGAAAGGGATTTGAGGCTGTGTAATGTTGGATAAGAGCAAATGAACTTCGCGTACATTCATGAAAACTAATCAAGACTAGTTTCCCGTATGAGTAGATCTGTGTAACGCCATCTTCCGTAGCTCTTATGCAAAAAGAAGAAGTATCCGTATCGCACACTCTCTGCCAGTCTATTCGAGCAAAAACCTTTCCATTTACGACAACACGTGAACTAAAAAACATGGCTTTTGCATATCCGCTCATTATTATTGCAAATCAAAGCTTTTGCAGAACACGCACTACAATTTAACACTGCTCATCCCTCTATGGTGTTGGTAGAACATCATCCGATGGTCTTCTGTTAAAGTGTTTATGGCCACTTCGCTGTTGTCGGCTACATAATAGCCGGCCGCCAGTTGCACCTTCAGGGGGAATCTTAACCGAGACATTCACTCAAAACAAATAAAAGGATATTTTTGCCTATACACGATAATTTTCGCTCGCCTTTCGCTTCGTTTTTCATAGCGCCTAATAAACTTTCGAATCTTCCAGAATGGTTTCTCAGAAAGGCTTCTTCCATGAGCACCGCAAGCTTCTTCATTTGGACACACTCAAAATTTACCTATTGAAATCACTTCGTACCTATTAAGAATTCTGTCATTGGAGTACGATACATACTGATTATGCGGAACTTGCAGAATGCGGTGAATAAATTCGAATGGGGCTGCGCTCCATACATAAGGACTGCCGTATAGTTCAACTTCTTCGAGAACGCAATGGTCAAATAGATTCTGGAAGTGCCTAATTTCTCAATCCCTTGCAGACCTCCAAAAACCCACATGTGCTTTTAACGTAAACATGCTGTCTGACATTTCATGCCAGAGTTGCTTGACAAGACACATAGCAGTTTGTACGAACTTGACGTTCACGGTGGTAAGATCTTCTACAGCTTGCAGTTCCTTTATGCAATACCAGTACCCGACGAGGGATGCAGTGCATAATGGAGATGGACAGAGAGCGGCGGCTCCGACTAGAGGGAAGATGATATTTGCCAGCTACAAAACGCCACGTCATACTTCAGACAACGGTTGAGACATATCAGGAGGATCTTATACCATGTCAAACTCTGCTCCAGTCATAGATCGGCAGGTCCTCGAACCCAAGGATGAACTTCGAACTATAGGTACCTATAATTTCTTACACCCGCTAATACCCACCCCCCGTTTCCTAATTACTTACACCGATCAAACTGCATAGACCTTTGAGGTAAGAAAAGCCTACTAGAGATCTTTCACAATCATAGGTGCGGCATACAACCCCCTCCCCTAACAAAATTACTTGCTATAAGTAGCTTGAAAGAGGCACACAAACTTACGTTGATCGAGTCCGACTTTCGAATCCAAGTCTTCGAAGGCTGAGATGTGCAACCGCTCGCAGCATGGGTTACTGAAAAAACATCTTTGAGTGGGTATGCTAATCGCTTATTATAATGCGTACTAAAGAATTACCTTTTGAGAAAGTACGTTCTGAAACTGAGCGCCTTTGATTTGGCCAGTCACAGGCTGGGTCCCAGTAACTACAATAAAGAGTATAACATGTGAAGAGTGAGAGAGACGCAATGAAAGGCAACAGTATGATGATGATATTGGATAAAAGAGTTTCCTCTATCATACAAAAATTCTTTAGCTTCGAACAAAGAAGAGTTACAAGCAAATCAACTCAAAAAACCAGAAAGCAAATTAAAAAATAATATGAAGACAAAAGTATGATGACGTTACCAATGATGATGATGATGAGAACTTACGATGGACTTCAAAGAAACAGGTGTGTCGATGGTTACATAGTGCAACCGCACGAGCAAATGCTAGATTTGAGTAGAAGTTTTTTTTTTGACCTTGAAGAAAACAGAACTTCTATCTATGTGTGCTAAGCGCCTAACTGCATATAAGAAGAATTACCTTCTTGGATAATCCTTTCTGTCCTGAGTTAATGCAGTTTGAAATTTTGTAGTTGAACCTCAAGTTATCCTGCTGATAATGGTGATGGTGATGTGCAACCGCACTGAAATACACCTAGTCTGAAAAAAAAATTGAGGGGGAGAGAGAGATGGTGATCAAAAGACAAAGGTATGGTAATGAAACAGAACATAGTGCATATCAAAATTTCTCTTTAACATACGCAAAATACTTCATTATGAACCAAGCATTCAAGAAATATGCACGCAAGGACATAGTTGCCGGCAACTGTTGCCGAAATTGCCAGCCGTTTTAAAACCTCACTGTGCATTCCGTGTGTTGAGCGCTCTCTAATTCCCCAGCTATATCGGCAACCGGGGTGGCAAGCTACAGGAACGATACGCGGAGACTGTCAATAACCTGCGCGTTCCTTTCCCTGATTGGCCATCATTAGGTGAAAATTTATAGGATTTTCTCGTTCCATCCTTTTAATTACACAGAAGAGTTGAAAATATAAAAATAAGCTGCAAAAATATGCAAATAGTGAAAAAAGGTTTCAAACGTAAAACTTCTAATATTTCAGGTTTTTTTCTGCAGTAGAATTACCGAATTGCCCTCACATCGGGCTACATGCAAAAATTACTCAGTATAGAATGTATTTCAACTCTACTCATTTCACTGAGTCTGAAATTTGCGTTTGGTGAGAAGAACAGCACATCGCCGTACCTATGCATTAGCGGCTGGCAATTACTTTCGTCCTTAATGCACCACAGTCAACCGTTGCCGGCACACCAAAAAACGAGGTAAAATAACAACAGAGATTACATCAGTTATAAGCACTCAGTGTTATGAGCTACAAAATATCATGATTAGTAATAAAAGGAGAGAAGAGAGTAAAGTACGTTAAGTACGTTCTGGAATTGAGCGCTAGTTACTAGTTGGGTCCCAGTAACTATAATGGAAAGTATAACATGTGAAGAGTGAGAGACTCACAATGAAAGGCAAAAGTACGATAATGATATTATACATGATAACAGAGTTTCCTCTATCATGCTAAATTCTTTTTCATTAAACAAAGAAGAGGTAAAAGCAAATCAACTCTTTCGAGCTAGAGACTCACTAGTTTGATGGAATTAGTGTTCAAACATAATCCATTTTTAAAGTCTCACTTTGCTAGGATTTCATAGTGTTTGGAGCGTTTGTATGTTGTACGTTTGTAAGTGCCGTTTGCCGTTTGTGCCGTTTTTCTGAAAAACGGCACGAAGTTTCGGACCATCTAATAAATGCAGTAAATTCCAATGATAATTCCAATGAGATATTCCAAAAATGCAATGAGGAAGATATTCTTCAGAGATCGATGCAGCTAAATAAGTACAATAATTGAAACATGCAAGAAGGGTGGTGAGCAAGAGAAACGATAGCGTTGGATATCGCTAACCAGCGTATTTTTTCCCTCATTTTCGTCCATTCAAATGCAAGAATTCAAGGCATAATCTCCTACGCTTTCATCTAGATCGAAAAGTTGAATCAATTTTGTTTGTTTGATCATGTGGTGTAAATGAACGTCGAGACAACAAGATAGGCGTTTCGAAACTTAAACTATAAGCATTTCGCGGTTTTCCTTGCGATTTCATCAGAAAGAGTGCGCTTATCATCGGCCCTCGTGCAATATTCATTGAGTAAAGAATTTATCACAACATTTCTCATTTTCAATGAACCTAAAATCCGTGATTCGTAGAGCAAATAGTGCATCGCTATGCGATGGAAACAGCGGCTGTCAACGGTTATCGCTACTCTTGCACCACACCCATGGGAACCATCTTCGACTTTAGAGAAGAAAAAAAGAGACTTCATCTAGAGGGAACAATTCAAAAAAGACAACAGTCAATGGAGAAAAATATCCTTGTAAGACGAGTTCTTACGAATTCTGCAAAGGGTTGCTTTGTATTTCTAAAAGTAAGCATTGATGTTTCAAGATAATAAAGCAGTGAAAAATCCCCTTGGGAGCGACTAGCTGGCCGTCGTGTATGCGGTAGGAACGGATCTCCTCTCTGTGAACAAACGCCAAAATTACGTCATCAAAACAATAAACTGGGGTCAGTGGCGGACAGAAGGGAAAGGGCAAAATTTTTGAAATTTGATTACATGTTATAAAAATGTGGAACTGACTCCCCCCATTTCTAAGTTAGGGGTTATGTACTCGCAGAAATTTCGAAAAGCACTCCAAAAATCTTTTTGAAAGAATGTTTTTCACCTTGATTTAGAAAAAATTCCCCTTCTTGGAAGGAAATCCTGCGACAGCCACTGTTTGGGACAAATATATAACTTAACTTACAGGGATCGCGTCATACAAGTTTTACAGTTGTCATACCAGGTCGTCTTCGCCCTTAAGAGTTGCTTGAAAGGTTTTTCGGTGCATCTACTCGGTGCATCTGCACCGGTACATAAAGACAAAGTTGTTGACATCCGAATCGCGACCACGAAGGGGGGGGGGAGGGTTTCTTACATGCATGAGTCATCTCTAGCGCTTTATTATAGAGAGACTCCTCCGATAACGCGAAGGCCTCAGCGGATGCGGCATTGCGCCACGTGAGAGATCCATGCGAGTCGGTTCGCAGGAACCTGAGACACGTTAACCGTGACACTCAGATTGAAAGCCCCTGTACCTTGATATAGTCCGGAGAATTAAGGCTGCTTTATAAGGTGGGAAAGTGCAACCGCACGCGCCAGCAATGCTGAAAAAAAAACACTTTCCAGTGAATGGTAATCTCATCTCTAATCGTATATGAAAAGATTACCTCCTCAGACGAAACGGTCTGAAATTGAAAAGAAGTTCACGCCAGCTTTATGGTGGTGAAGCGCAGCCGCGCTGGATCTTACACTGGAAGAAAACTTTGTAAAAACTAAAAGGCAGAGTCAGTATAAAAGGCAAGGGTCGAAAATGATACAGGCAAACGTAAGTAAACGGCATGTAAGGCAAATGTATAAAGATGATATTAAACATAGCTGATTATACATAACGTTCTGACACGTAAATAAATCCTTCATTACGACCAATAAAACTAGATCAGACCTACTTAACGATAGAAAATGAGAAAAAGTAGTCAGAAAAACTATTAGAACTAGAGTATATCAGGTGATTACTTCAATAATGTGAAAAAAAGGACATTACAAAACATGGTCCTCCGAGAAATAGTTGAGAGAGATAAGTATGTATCTATGTGATTAAAATGCATAGTGGAAACGGTCACAGGGCATTCGTTGTGGGACCTGTCGCATTTTCGGAGCATCGTGCGTATTTACGACTCTTTCAACATTAAGCTTGAAATTCTCAGATTTACAAACTAAAATTCCGAGATTGAAATAAATTGTTTGAAATATGTACTTGCCCGTACTTGCATCTATTCGCACCTCTTTGAATCTTCTATCTACCTCACTAGACAAAGCATTCTTTTTAATGGTGCTCTTTCATCCATTTCAAACTGATTTCTCATGGCTAACTCTGTCTTTTTTCATCCTTCGTCTCATTTTTTGTTGTAAACTTGCTCTGGATCGCTAATATGAAATTATCGAGGGATATCAACGGCATAATTCGGATTTGTTAACAGTGCGATGGAAGTAGTACTTGAATTCGAAACAAATGCCCTGATTCAGTCGAGTAGCCGACAGGTGATGTTTCTGGGAATAGTGGAATATTCAAATTACTGCATGCGGCCCTGAGATCAAACTCTGCTAAAACAATATAGAATGAGTATGATGCAGGGCGAACACTCAGCAAAAATTGCAAAAAACGTCCACTGATCCGGCAACCAGTAGGAGAAGGGATAAGGATAGGATATCCTGCAGTTCTTTCATCCTGTTAATGACGGCAAAGTGCAACCGCACTAAAATCGTACACTGAAAATAATGCTAACGTTGAGATGCAGCAGAAGACAGCAATAAAAATGAGGAAATTTCATATCTGACTGCATATCAGAAGAATTACCTTCCTGGAACTTTCCACAGTTGCGCTAAGTTCATCTTATCCTATTCACGGCGGCAGAGTGCATTGAAATCCCACACTGAAAAAAACATTGACTTGGACAGGTAGGGGAAAACAGTGATAAAAAAACCAAGTTAAAATCTCATATCTAATTGCTTATCAGAAGAATTACCTTCTCGGACAAATCTTTCGTAGTTGAGTTCAAATTTATCATCTCCTTGAGGTGACAATGTGCAACCGCACCAAAATTCCACACTGGAAAAATAGTATATATGAAATGAGAGGAAACGTGTCACAAAAGGTGAAGTTATAATGATACTAAACGTTTTCAAAAACAAATTCTCAATATCGCATGAAAATCCTTTATAACGAGATATTTTTCGCAAACAGCAACCAAATAAATGTACTAAAACGAGATCTTCTAAAGGCAGTGATATAGGTATTCTTCACGAATCGATGCAGCCAAACATAAAGTGGTTCAAAAGTTCGTGCCGTTTTTTGACCTATCCTTAAACATTCAGAGAACCGATAGACAAGCATTCTAAGCATTGTCCTATGCAGAATCTCGATCTCTTTCCAGCTCTACGTACCCTAACTTCAGCTAGTTTTTGTACTTTTCGTTTTGGACTTTTGAAAACGCTTTGATGGCAGTTGACAGAATAGACAAATTGCAATGTAACACATTTGGCATCAACAGCTAGCTATTCAAATTTTCTAAAAGTATCATTTTGATGCTACCAAATTAGATATTTATCCATCCCAAACTTCGTAAAACATCAGACGGCAAACAGCTAGGGTGTCATTCAATGCACCATCACCTTCTCTTTTTATTAGATGTTTTTTACTGATTTGTAGTCCTCGAGTTAAATATAATTTTGATTACTTGATGAGTGTCAAGCTGCACTCGAAAATTTCAAAAATTAATATTTCGAGGTAGTAACTCACTAGTTTGATGGAATTAGTTTCAAACATAATCCATTTTTAAAGTCCCAATTTGCTACGATTTCACAGTGTTCGGAGCGTTTGTATGTTGTACGTTTTTCTAAAAAACGGCACGAACTTTCGGACCATCTAATAAATGCAATAAATTCCAATGAAACTCTAATGAGATATTCCAAAAATGCAATAATGAAGATATTCTTCAGAGATCGATGCAGCTAAATAAGTACAATAAATGGAAATTCCAAAAATGCAATAATGAAGATATTCTTCAGAGATCGATGCAGCTAAATAAGTACGATATTTGAAACATGCAAGAAGGGTGGTGAGCAAGAAAAACGATAGCGTTGGATATCGCTAACCAGCGTATTTTTTCCCTCATTTTCGTCCATTCGAATGCAAGAATTCAAGGCATAATCTCCTACGCTTTCATCTAGATCGAAAAGTTGAATCAATTTTGTTTGTTTGATCATGTGGTGTAAATGAACGTCGAGACAACAAGATAGGCGTTTCGAAACTTAAACTATAAGCATTTCGCGGTTTTCCTTGCGATTTCATCAGAAAGAGTGCGCTTATCATCGACCCTCGTGCAATATTCATTGAGTAAAGAATTTATCACAACATTTCTCATTTTCAATGAACCTAAAATCCGTGATTAGTAGAGCAAATAGTGCATCGCTATGCGATGGAAACAGCGGCTGTCAATTGTTATCGCTACTCTTGCACCACACCCATGGGAACCAACTTCGACTTTAGAGAAGAAGAAAAAGAGACTTCATCTAGAGGGAACAATTCAAAAAAGACAACAGTCAATGGAGAAAAATATCCTTGTAAGACGAGTTCTTACGAATTCTGCAAAGGGTTGCTTTGTATTTCTAAAAGTAAGCATTGATGTTTCAAGATAATAAAGCAGTGAAAAATCCCCTTGGGAGCGACTAGCTGGCCGTCGTGTATGCGGTAGGAACGGATCTCCTCTCTGTGAACAAACGCCAAAATTACGTCATCAAAACAATAAACTGGGATCAGTGGCGGACAGAAGGGAAAGGGCGAAATTTTTGAAATTTGATTACATGTTATAAAAATGTGGAACTGACTCCCCCCATTTCTAAGTTAGGGGTTATGTACTCGCAGAAATTTCGAAAATCACTCCAAAAATCTTTCTGAAAGAATGTTTTTCACCTTGATTTAGAAAAAATTCCCCTTCTTGGAAGAAAATCCTGCGACAGCCACTGTTTGGGACAAATATATAACTTAACTTACAGGGATCGCGTTATACAAGTTTTACAGTTGTCATACCAGGTCGTCTTCGCCCTTAAGAGTTGCTTGAAAGGTTTTTCTCTATTCTCTTCGGTGTCGCCAAGGGCCTTCCAGAACCTGTACAGGTGACAGTGGGTAACTCATAAAGTCTAATCTAAACAGGAAAGGTATATAAGTCGCAGTGCAGCTTGCCTATGAGAAGTAAATCAGTCGAAAGGTCTTTGAGTGTCTTTGAGCAAAAAAACCCTCTATATATGCTTGCTACGCGATCATATACTTTCCTTGTAAGCATATTGATGCGAACCCGTTCTCGCAATTTTTCAGGCTTGCATGTCTTCCATTGAAAATACAAGGATGGGATAGACCTACGGCATCAATTATGAATTCTAAAAAAATTCGTTAAATACTAACAATAAGACAAATTTTAGGAAAAAAGCGTCACCTGTGATGGTGATACTGATGTCTTCCGGCAAATTAATCAAACTGTTTTCTCCTCGGGGAGAATTTGTGGCACGGTAGGTGTATTTCCATATTTCGTATGGCGGATCACAAATCTAAAAGGAATCATGAAAAGACTGACGCAATCTTGTTCACTCACACACCTCTTTCAAGATGTTTCGCAGAAAATCCGTAACTTGTTTGACTGCGCAACCCGGCGATCGTTTCGGAGCAGTGTAGTGACAGAGGGCTTCATTTAAATTCACCTCCTTGATAAGAAAGAAATTAATTCACTTTCCTCTCCCCCCCCCCCCCCTTTCTGCACACCTTAAATGGTTTCTGATAGCTCAATATATGATTTCCGGTAAGATTTTCGTATCTGAACTCTTGTACATCTATGATAGGCGAAGAGATATCTTGGGAACGACGCAGATCACTGATTTCCTCCTTACATTCCAGAATAATCGTGAGCATGGGTTTGTCTGAAAGTGTTAATACTAGTCTAGAATTCCAGCTATTGAGACTTCCCTGGACTCGCTGGGCTACGTGATTTTCCGCTAGTAGCCGAAGTGTTTCAGCGTGGTCATAAATTGTGCCAAAGCGCGATCTTTCTGCGCTTTGCACCGAGCGCATGACGTCTCGGAAATCAAAATACTTTACTGCGCTTGAACAATGATGTAAAACTTGCTGAAAGTTCCGAGATCTTTTTTAAAGTAGTAGTGTATCGGTGTACCTCTAGAGAAACTCGACTTAACGTCGACGATTCCTTCGAGAAAAAAGCATACAGCACTGAAGCGAAGTCGGAATTTCCCACGGGCTTTCCAATAGATTCTTTAATCTTATATATAAAGTTGAATGTGTGTATGTATGTATGTATGTCTGTCTGTCTGTCTGTCTGTACGTATGTGCGGAATAGAAATTTTTATTTCTGAACCGATCGGGACCAAACTTGGCACACATATACTTCGGGGCCCCCCGAAAGGGGTGATCAGCATGCTCGATTACCCCCCTGTGCAAAATCCTAGCCCCCCAGCTCAAATTTTGCAAAAAATCGGTAAAATCGACATCGATCGATAACGAAAAGTGGGCTGTGACACGCTCCCTGCCCCGAAGTATATGTGTGCCAAATTTGGTCCAAGTCGGTTCAGAAATAAAAATTTCTATTCGGAACATACGTACACGGGTCTAGCTGGCAGGCCCGGCGGAGCCGGGCAAGCCAGCTAGTAGCTTCTAAAAGAATACTACTCTATACCTGCTGTATAGAGCGCTTCCTAACCTCAGTTTCACTAACCTACAGGATCGCTAATGTTCGTCAACCGTTCACCGACCCTCGGCTGTTCGCGAATGTTGGGAGTCATTACCTCAGGAGCTCAACCAACCAACTACAGCAATGACCTTGAAGCAAAATTTAACTTACTTGTCTTGTAATACGATGACATGCTCGTCTCCGGCGATAGGATTCTCGATACTTCCCCTGCATACAGACTTGATAAAGACGGGATCTCACAAGGGAACGATCCCAACTTAAGATGGCGAATTGGAATGAACCGCATAACATTAGATGCGTCTTGATGAGCTGATTGCAAATCTACCTTCCATATCTGCGACAACGTTATCTGGAAGAAGTTATGAAATGTTAAAAACGTGAAGTAACGGGGGTTTTAGTGCATAATTCCCTTAAAAATCCAACTTGGGAGTGTATGACTAGCATGATATTGAGTGTACTGATTTCAAGGAATGCTCTCACTCTAAAGAAACACAAATAAGTGTTTTGGAACAACTAATTTTCGAGGTGTTGCGCTGTATACAGGGTGTCCCAAAAAGATGTGCACACTGTTTGATCGTTAATAACTCTCTTGCTTTCATGTCTTTTGCCGAGCTTGAGGTACCATTCTATAGAGCGAGGATAAACTTAGATTTACAGCATGGAGCGAATCACCAATCGCTCTTCGTTACTGTAGGACTACGGTATGAACTTTCAGCATGTGGATCCATTGTAAAATATGCCTTTTGACAAAATTTATTCCAAAAAATCTGAAAAATCGTGTACTAGGGTTTTCGAGCACGCTGATTCCACTACACAACTTTTTACGAGTGTTTTTGGCTTTTTTGACGGTGCAATAACATTTCTGACGAATGCTGGAAATTCAGTTGTTACCCTAAATCTGATATAACTCATGAAAGAAACAGTGTACTGACGTGCAATTTTGATATTTAGAATTAGCAACTTCGACTGACCCAGTTTATGAGTTTCTGGCTTGTTTGGCTTTTTTCTGAGGCAAAAAACTGCTTCCAATGGCTCAAAACTCTTTCCGAAATTCCTACCGTAATCCTACAGTAATGAAGAGCGATAGATGATTCACTCCATATTGTAAATCTAAGTTGAACCCCGCTCTAAAGAATGGTACCTCAAGCTTGGCAAAAGACATGAAAGCAAGAGAGTTATTAATAATCAAACAGTGTGCACATCTTTTTGGGACACCCTGTATTTGCCAAATATGGACTTTTCATTGCTCATAGCTTTTCCAAAGAACTTTAGTTGTTTTTTAATTGTTCAAAAACGATTACTTGTGTTTATTTTGAATGTGAGCATTCCGTGAAATCAGTACACTCAATATGATGCTAGTCGTGCACTTCCAAGTTGGATTTGCAAGCAAATTATGCATCAAAACCCCCGTTACTTCACATTTTTAACCTTTCATAACTCCTTCCAAATAACGTTGTCGCAGATACGGAAGGTAGATTTGGAATCAGAAGACATGAAGAAGACGATGAAGAAGACAAGAAGAAGACATGAAGACGCATCTTATGGTATGCGGTTCATTCCAATTCGCCACCTTAAGCTGGGATCGTTCCCTTGTCAGACGTTTCATCGTTTGCATAATCCTACACAATCACTTACATCAACTATAAATTAAACCTTTTTCAGCTTTTCTTTTCAATTTTCTTCAGGCCCGATTGAAAAACATTGAATTCACCTGATTTTGAATTCTAAAAGGGCGTAATTCGGCGTATGTAGGCGGAGACTTTAGTCTGGATGTTGATGGTTGCCTAGTTGCAGCGCCAACAATATTCTCGTTGCCTGGAGCTGAAAATCACAAACTTCAAATTAGAAATTCCCTATTCGAAAATCTGAAAAGGTATTGCTCACCTTGTGACATTCTCCTATACTTCGGCAGTTTTCAAGAGACCGGCTTGCCTGCACTGCGTTTCCTAGCCTGCAAACAAACTTCATGAGAAATATAAAGGCAGGAAAGGAAAAGTCATGGGAGGAGATCTCATTTCCACACACACAGCTGGTCTAATTATATCTGTAACGTTAATCCACTTTACGCCTGCGAAGGACAATTCATGAGAATGAGATTTTTTTGGGAGATGAGATGCATGAGATTTGAAGCAGTATCACTGTTCGGAAGGGAGTGCAAAGTTTCTACAAGATCAAGAAAGGGATTTGAGGCTGTGTAACGTTGGATAAGAGCAAATGAACTTCGCGTACATTCATGAAAACTAATCAAGACTAGTTTCCCGTATGAGTAGATTTGTGTAACGCCATCTTCCGTAGCTCTTATGCAAAAAGAAGAAGTATCCGTATCGCACACTCTCTGCCAGTCTATTCGAGCAAAAACCTTTCCATTTACGACAACACGTGAACTAAAAAACATGGCTTTTGCATATCCGCTCATTATTATTGCAAATCAAAGCTTTTGCAGAACACGCACTACAATTTAACACTGCTCATCCCTCTATGGTGTTGGTAGAACATCATCCGATGGTCTTCTGTTAAAGTGTTTATGGCCACTTCGCTGTTGTCGGCTACATAATAGCCGGCCGCCAGTTGCACCTTCAGGGGGAATCTTAACCGAGACATTCACTCAAAACAAATAAAAGGATATTTTTGCCTATACACGATGACAATTTTCGCTCGCCTTTCGCTTCGTTTTTCATAGCGCCTAATAAACTTTCGAATCTTCCAGAATGGTTTCTCAGAAAGGCTTCTTCCATGAGCACCGCAAGCTTCTTCATTTGGACACACTCAAAATTTACCTATTGAAATCACTTCGTACCTATTAAGAATTATGTCATTGGAGTTCGATACATACTGATTATGCGGAACTTGCAGAATGCGGTGAATAAATTCGAATGGGGCTGCGCTCCATACATAAGGACTGCCGTATAGTTCAACTTCTTCGAGAACGCAATGGTCAAATAGATTCTGGAAGTGCCTAATTTCTCAATCCCTTGCAGACCTCCAAAAACCCACATGTGCTTTTAACGTAAACATGCTGTCTGACATTTCATGCCAGAGTTGCTTGACAAGACACATAGCAGTTTGTACGAACTTGACGTTCACGGTGGTAAGATCTTCTACAGCTTGCAGTTCCTTTATGCAATACCAGTACCCGACGAGGGATGCAGTGCATAATGGAGATGGACAGAGAGCGGCGGCTGTGACTAGAGGGAAGATGATATTTGCCAGCTACAAAACGCCACGTCATACTTCAGACAACGGTTGAGACATATCAGGAGGATCTTATACCATGTCAAACTCTGCTCCAGTCATAGACGGCAGGTCCTCGAACCCAAGGATGAACCTCGAACTATAGGTACCTATAATTTCTTACACCCGCTAACACCCCCCCCCCCTCCCGTTTCCTAATTACTTACACCGATCAAACTGCATAAACCTTTGAGGTAAGAAAAGCCTACTAGAGATCTTTCACAATCATAGGTACGGCATACAACCCCTTCCCCTAACAAAATTACTTGCTATAAGTAGCTTGAAAGAGGCACACAAGCTTACGTTGATCGAGTCCTACTTTCGAATCCAAGTCTTCGAAGGCTGAGTTGTGCAACCGCACGCACTATGGGTTACTGAAAAAACATCTTTGAGTGGGTGCTAATCGCTTATTATAATGCGTACTAAAGAATTACCTTTTCAGAAGGTACGTTCTGAAACTGAGCGCCTTTGATTTGGCCAGTCACAGGCTGGGTCCCAGTAACTACAATAAAGAGTATAACATGTGAAGAGTGAGAGAGACGCAATGAAAGGCAACAGTATGATGATGATATTGGATAAAAGAGTTTCTTCTATCATACAAAAATTCTTTAGCTTCGAACAAAGAAGAGTTACAAGCAAATCAACTCAAAAAACCAGAAAGCAAATTAAAAAATAATATGAAGGCAAAAGTATGATGACGTTACCAATGATGATGATGATGAGAACTTACGATGGACTTCAAAGAAACAGGTGTGTCGATGGTTACATAGTGCAACCGCACGGGCAAATGCTAGATTTGAGTAGAAGTTTTTTTTTTGACCTTGAAGAAAACAGAACTTCCATCTATGTGTGCTAAGCGCCTAACTGCATATAAGAAGAATTACCTTCTTGGATAATCCTTTCTGTCCTGAGTTAATGCAGTTTGAAATTTTGTAGTTGAACCTCAATTTATCCTGCTGATAATGGTGATGGTGATGTGCAACCGCACTGAAATACACCGAGTCTGAAAAAAAATTGAGGGGGAGAGAGAGATGGTGATCAAAAGACAAAGGTATGGTAATGAAACAGAACATAGTGCATATCAAAATTTCTCTTTAACATACGCAAAATACTTCAAAAGTACGATAATGATATTATACATGATAACAGAGTTTCCTCTATCATACTAAAATCTTTTTCATTAAACAAAGAAGAGGTAAAAGCAAATCAACTCTTAACAAAATATATACCTCTGGACAGTCAATAAAGCAGGCGATATAAGGCAAGGTAACAACTTTCAATGAAGAATTGAGACAGGTGCTCAAGTCAGGCATGAGCGAGCAGTTCAAAATTAGGAGAAGATTATCATTGTTTGAGGTACTTTCTTATAAGAAAAAATATTCACAAAGATTATTGATCGATAACAATATGTCAAGAAATTTTGTATGGGAAAAGGCTAAAGGGGAGCAACTTTTCAGCGTGCACCGCTTCCGTCTAGGGCACCGCCTCCCTCAGTGTCAGTTGTCTCCACGCTTCAGGTGTCATTGCTTTCTTATCAGCCCATCGCAGACCATCCTCATCACCATTCTGTAACAAAGTGACCGACGTTGCGCAGTGATGACTAGAATGGGAGCAAACGAACCACTGCAGGGACCAAGCGTCCTTCACACATGCAATAGCCACGAACATCCTCTCTAACAATAAAGTTATTCAATGCTGGAAGCACAAACCAAACATAGAAGTGAAGGCACTCACAGTGCTTTTGCTATGCACGATTTCGATATTCGGACCCAGTTAAGTTTGGCTTTCAGAAGACGTTTGAATTCGCGTTCTCGCTCCTCTTCACAATCGGCCAAGCTCAGCCAAAACCTAAACATTTTTATTATGACGACCGACGCAGAGACATCTACACAAACACATACGCGTTATCAGAACACTTCAGACCTTCAAACCTCCAACTACTGAGCTCTCGTTGACCTAGCCCCCTTGCTTCCACTATGAAATCTGAAAAAGTAAGACTAATGCAACGAATGTGATGTACAGGATCACCAATCAGTGGATGAAGGATTGTCCCCGGTAATTCTAATAGGCCTCTGTATGCCCTATGTGAGTAATACCAAATCTCTGATGGGTCGGGGTAGCATATCTGGAATGAATCATATGAAAAACTGATAACATATCATTTATTAGTGGATAATTCACCTGAGAAAAGAGCGATCGTAAGAAGCAGGTAATTTCATCGAAGGCATCCTTTGCTACTTTCGCTACCTGTACGTGATGGTGCAAAAACAAGTTCAAATTCATACTCTACAAAAAAGGCAGTCAAAATCTTTTTGCAGATGACCCCGTCATTCATACCTTGAACGGCTTGCGGAGATCCAAAACATATACTTTTTCCAAATTCTCATAATTCAGAGCCCACCGTACTTGATTAGAAACAGTGGGCGCACGGGTTTTAAAGGCTTTGATCAAGCGCACCTCATTCTGAAGCCCAGCCAATTCTTTTAGTAGCAAGTTCTTCTGAACCGTAGCTTATATAGGATCCTAAGTCTACGTTGACTGTGGTACCTGAAGCCTATGAGCGATGCGGACCCCTGCTAGGGAGCGAATAGCCTCGGCCTGGTTAGATGATGTGTTCAGTTGAGATGTTCTTGCCATATGTTGAAGGTCACTCATGTCGAATTGAATTTCGTGGAGACACTCACAGGTAATTCGCTGGAAAAACAAACTCAATTTGTTTTTAGTGAGGCACTGCTCGCATTTGTACCTCCAGATCGGTGCTACTGAGCATGCCCTTGGCGACTTGATCATATAAATTCCTTGGGAAATCGCTAACATCAATGACATTTCTAAGGCAGGTTCTCACAGTTTCTGAAGCAACTTTCTCCCGTTGTTTTGATGAGTGTTATTTGTTTCGTGAAAAAGATACCTGGTGAGTCGGGCAACGTGCTTGATGGAGTTTCGTTGCGCACTGTCTGACCCTCGTGCTGCTGCTCCTCGGGCACAAAATGCTTCTCGAGCATTATTGGCTGTTCCTTGCGCATTGGCTGCTCTTCGAATGTTACTGGGTAGTTCGAAGGTAACGGCTGTTCCTCGTACATAGGTTGCTTTTCGCGCATCGACTGCTCCTGCTCCTGTTGCGTACGCAGCTCCTCGCACATCAGTTGCTTTTCGCGCATCGGCTGACAAACCTCGTCAGCTTCCGCCATCCCAGCGCACCGTTCCTTCTTAGGTGTCCTAGTGATGAGATGAGAAAGTAGAGGAAAACGTAAGTAAATGCAAACTAACGAGTGATACACAGGTGAAAATGACGACGAACATGAAGAGCGCTTTCGTTTCTGATCCTTGTGCACAGGCTTCCCTTCGTGCAATAACTGCCCCGGCTGCCTTTCCGATTGTTGTTGTAGTGCCAGCAAGCACTCGCTTCCAAACTTCTGAATGAGGATAAAATTAAGAAATTAGAGTTGAAATACATCGGTCTGTGATGAATGGGAGATAACATGAAAAGAACGGGACAAGACCTCTTTGACTTCTACGATTCTTTCCTCAGTGCATTGTTTTTTATGAAAGGGAAGTGTCTCAGCGAAGAGGTGAGGAGGTACGTGACGTTCAGATGAAGACGACGGTGATCTCAAGCGCCGTTTCGATCCCCTCTTCTTGTGATCTCCTATCACTCTTTCAGGCTCATCTCGACGAGAAGGTACATTGATGTTCTCTCGACTTGCCTCCTCCACAAGTGAAGCTGTAATATAAAAATACCCATTACCAAACTATGAAACCTACAGCCAAAATGATTGACCTAGCGAACTAGAAGATGAGTTTTCTTCCCAAAGAAAATCCGCCTTGTCAAGGAAACCGTCCTTTAGATGAAAATACTTGATAATGGTATCCTTCGACCAACCTTGTATGTTTATAGAAGGAACGCTCTAAAGTCCATATTTCTAACACTTTAACGCAACAGCCATCATGTCACGATAAATCGTAAGTTGTATATTTGCAGGCAGAATCGTACCTGTTTCGTTTCTACCGCGGCGCTCGTACTTAAAATCTCTTTTGCTTCTGCGGTGCTTGCACCTGGAAGTTCTTCTTCCTTCGTAATGGTGCTTGTACTTCTGGTGTTCCCTCCCTGACTTCCGTATCGCCGTGAGTTGCTGCAAATGAAATCTTCAAATCACTTCAGTAGAGCCAACAGCTTGGTTGGTAATAAAGTCTATTTGAGAAGCGGGCAGACTCCTCACGTTAAAGAAACTGGAAGGTGGGGTCGCGTGGGGTCAATGGCGCTGGTTGGCACGGTGCCTGCTTTGATCTTATGATCGTCCTGGAAAAGAAGCGACATTGGTAACTTGGGAAAATGTACACACTAGAAAGTAGGAAGATGGAAAAGCTAGTCCTCTTCAAAGACATTGATTTTACCTTTTGACATCGTTAATCATACACAGACAAATACCTCGACAACTTCAATCCCGTATCTTCCCATTTCTCCTTGCCGTGGTCAATCCTGATTGACTTATCAGTTGTGTATTGAGAAGAGATAGACTTATTGGAGAGGCTAGACTTATTGGAGAGGCTCGGAGAATGCAGTACGGTTTCAAAATGCAACCGCACTGAAACCTTGCACTAGAAGAAATAACGTTCGTGTAGAAAGAGGCGGAAAAATAATATTAAAAGTTGGTGATAAAAATCAAAAGGTATGAAAGTGGTAGCAAGCACGGTAATTGTTAAAACTTTAAAATGTACGAGAAATCTTTTATTTGATGCACAAAACAAAACTAGAATTATCTAGAGACGATTATGTTTCAAATAATGCATCCAAACGCGTAACTGTAAGGGTTTTTCAGAGTGCCGCACTGAAGGCAGCAGACTGCAGCAGACTGCAGCTGACCGCACTGACTGCAACGGCCGCAGCGGCTGTAGCCTAATGTTGGAGATGATAAATGGTTGTGGCTCAAACAAACAGCAATCTTATATCTTACTAGTGAACCAGTAATCTAAAGGTACTTTTTGCCTCCAATACTCTACGGCAAAACCTCTGTTTCGCATTTCGCAACAACGCGGGGGGTGAAGGTTCATTCGTCAGCTTACGTACAATAATGGGATTGTTCCCAACACAAGCAAAACACTGAACACGATTGCATACAGTAATAGGATCATTCAAACACAATTGTTCAGATAATACAACTGATTGTATGATTACACGTATTGAGGACAAAATTAGCAGGGTAACGTTATCCCTGGCGACAAAGTTCTCAGGAGAGTCCAGTAAAGTGAACAGAATAACAAGGAGAAGCTTATGAAACAGAGCTGCTTGCGAGTCAATTATACAACGCAACTATCAATCAATCAATTCTAAACATGTACACTAAACATGTGTTGGTAGACGATGCTGACCATACGATGGGCGCCATCACTGCCCATTTTGAATGTGGACCATCTCCTAGGGGTGGAAAGCCATGCCATGTTGCACTCTGCCTGACGTCACTTAAGTGATCCTTCCATCGTACATCCAAATCGCCTCTGTGGCTCCGCGGACCTGAAGAACCTGAAATGGAATTTTGCAATTTCGCAACACGGTTGTTGTGCCAAGCACGCGGGGCGGGGTTTCCGTGAGGCGCGTGCTTGGCACTGTTTTGACCATTCCGGTCTTTCGTCAGCTAAGGACCCTCCCACCCACCCGGAGTTGGGACCGCTGACGTCACGGGCAGAAGCCGCATGATTAGGACTTGGAGATCCTTGCAGGAATGTCAAAAATAGTCTGACGATTGGATAGCAGCGCTGTCGAGAAGAAATGGGCAAGTCGCGCTGAGCCGCTTTCCAGAAGAGAAGTCCGCCAGAGGACTCGTGATAATTCCGAGAAACGCGTGCACGCGTTATGGTATTCGTTTTACGGACTTTTACCGCTTTCATCCTCGGGGTTGAGCACTACTCTGTCATTTATGACTAAAGAGTGTAGTCCCTCGAAGGGCCGAATATTTTAGGTTTTGGATAACTGATCCGACTATGGTTTGGCATCGCGTGGCAATGCGATATACAGACAAAGGATCCCACGACGACCCACTTTCAACGAGTTGATGCATCTGTGAGATGGGCAAATGGCGACTTTGCATAGGCACTCGTAGATGAAGCTTTTTATGTACTCCGACCATGACGTGTAGTCTATCACGCATACTTGCCACCACCGAACGCATTGATATGTTAGCGATTCCCAGTCTTCCGGTAATCCCTGTGGTTACTGAAGGAATGATTGTTCAAAATGTTTCCGAGTTGGGTCGTTATCATAATGTTCTGACTTGTTACTGAATATCTATGTTTGTTGGTTATGCAGTGGTGCAGTGGAGGCAAAAATTCTATTTTGTTGTCCCTAAGGGACCTTCTACGATTTGTAGCAGCTGAGGGCTAAGCAAGGGTGAGTGGGTGGGCCCTCAGCTGACGAAAGACCGGAATGGTCATCCAAAGGCCAAGCACGCAGCTTGGCTCAAGCTCAGCCCCCTAACGCGTGCTTGGCCAACTGCCAGAGCACGTCGCGAAATTGCAAAACTCCATATTTGGAGGAGAGTTCGCTTCGGGACCGCCACGCGGTTTCCCGCTAGTTGCATGTTTTTGAATTGAGTTAACGATTCTTTATATGGCTGAGGCGCCCTCCAGCAGGTCTCCCTTTACCTATGAGCATTGTACATAGAGGCGTACCAACTGCTGGAAAGTGGTCTAGTGGTTTGTGATTTTGCTTGATAAGGAAAGTATCAAGGTTTCAATCTCCTTCGCATGCAACTTTGCCGCATTTTTGCAGAATTGAGCTTTTAAATAGCTTCAGAGCCCTAAAGCTTGGAATTTTTTATTATACTGATGATAATCGAGGTTTGAAGTGTCAAAACCAAAATAATACGAGTATTATGAAGCGTATGGTAATCTTCACTCAAATTACTTACCACTAGGCCAGTTGCCACCAGATGGTACTCTTCTACAGTGCTCATAGATAAGGGGAGACCTGCTGAAGGGCGCCTCAGCCCCAGAGGGAAAACCCCTCATAACTCCCACAAAACCGCTCCGCTGCTGGAAATTACAGATTTGGAATCACCGTTTCAAGCGCTTCAAGACGATAAATGTCCCATCCGGATTGGTGCTTTCGACTAACAAAGGAAGAATACTAACTTAGATTCTTCTTCTGAAATGAGACACATATTTTTGGAATCAGCTTAAAGGCAGCGTCCAGGCAGATCTGGACCTATGGGGCTTTTAGGTGGGAAGTACTTTTGGGGCCCTAACTAAGGCACTGCCCAAGCGGCAGCTCAGGTAGTGCTCTAATGGCTGAGTATTTCCCTCGAAACTGGCCCCCGCGACCGTATTTCGCATGGATTCATGGCAGTTTCGCGCCAGGATCCACGCTTTGCGCCATGTATCCATGCGAAACACGGTCGCGAGGTCCAGTTTCGAGGGGAATATCTCAGCCATTAGAGCACTACCTGAGCTGCCGCTTGGGCAGTGCCTTAGTTAGCGCCCCAAAAGTGCTTTCCACGTAAAAGCCCCATAGGTGCAGGTCTGCCTGGACGCTCCTTTAAAACGCTGATTTTAAATATGCTATTTCTAGCTGCTTAGCATTATTCTAAAGCAAGTTGTGGTCTCTTTTCTATGCAAAGTTTGCGTGCTTCTTGACCTACAGATGCTACGATGTCGACGTCTAGGTGGTTTTATAATTGTATAATGCTACCTTTCAAGGTCGAAAGAATTAATCTGATGCTAATTTAACATCCTAGCACTTTTTTCGAGCAGATTCTTATCTACACGCCGCCTTACGACATTCAGAAGTTTGTTAATTACTCACAACACCAAGCCCATAACTCGCTCCGGAATAATGCTAAGCAGCTAGAGGCAGCATATTTGGAATCAGCGTTTAAAGCTGATTCCAAACATATGTGTCTCATCTCAAGAGGCGAATCTAAGTTAGTATCCTTCCCCTGTAAGTATCCTCTCCTTGTAAGTAAAACCAAAATGACAGAAGAATTGTGGTGGAACTTATGATCTTCTTAGGCGTAAATCACGCTGTTTTGATGTCGCGGTTTTTTCTTATAAAAAGATGCAACGACCGGTGCGGTCAGTGCGGTCAGCTGCACAGCTGCAGTCTGCTGCGGTCAGTGCGGCAGTCTGAAACGATCCTAAAAGCGGTGCACATGCGCCGCTCCTCGTGGAATCTTCCGTCTAATCCAAAATGAACTCGACTGTACACTTCAAATGGTGCCCGCAGCCCAAAGCATGCTGATTCCTCAAGCTGTCGTACTTAAAATTGCAGCCACGAGGGAGGGCGCACAGCCGGGTATATGCCAAGAATAACGATAGCTGGCAATAGTGGCACCCTGAGTGCCCGGGTGTCAATAAACGGTGCACAGGTAGCACCGCTCCAGCAGCGGACGAGCTCACGCAGGCACTACATTTTGTAGCAGTAAATGCCCGAAGCGTTGTTCTTTTTTATTTATGCATCATGTTAAGGTTTCTGATACCTTCTAATGAATGATGGAAATAATCAGCATTCACATCGCCATAAAATGCGATGGAAATGTTTTGAACTCAATTCAGCCTGCGCAGTATGTGTAAGCTTCTATGCTTGATGTAGGAGACGAACTTCATCGATAATAACTGAAGTTTCAGTCATTTTTCTTAATTTCATGAATGAGTGAGGATGGGCTGTTCTGCGAGCGCGAGCAGCTGGCAGCTAGCGGCTGGCAGAGCTATCGTTATTCTTGACCGCCACCCCGCACAGCCATTGCAGGAACAACATAAACAAAAGGTTCCATCCTCGTGTGCTCTAACCTTCATGAGTAGAAGATTTGTCTGAAGTGTCAATATAATCAAGAATTCAGCTGTTGAAACTTGCCTGAACTTATTGTACGATGGCCTCTCTCAGGAGTAGCCGCATTGTCTCAGCTTGGTAAAAACATAAGCCTAGATGCAATTTTTTGCGCTTTGCACTGCGCTTTCAATGTCTCGAAGATCGAAACGTTTTCTGCGTATAACAATGATGTAAAATTTCCTGAAAGCTTTAAAATCTTTCCGATAAATAATGTACCCTAAATCTACGCCTATAAGACGCACCTTTTTCGATTTTTCAAACGAGCCGCTCAGGCGCTCCACTGCATTTCTTAAATCCTTATGCCGCACGATTTTCTCAAGCATTATACAGCACTAAGGAGGGTCCAATGGTTGCGGAGTCTTTTGGCGTATCTGGCTGGTCGATTTTGGTGAAAAACTCCCGCGGCTTGAATGCGTAAGATTACGGCAATGATGAGCATCCAGAGAGACTGTATTCAGTGATGATCCCCTCGAGGAAGACGTATGATTTCAGCGACATGTAGTAACCATATGTGATGGGAAAACCATCTTTTCCGAGGAAATATTTGATGCATCAAGGTACAAATTATCCTGCTGATGGCAGCAAGGTGCAGCCGCACTAAATCCTACTGAAATGTTAAGTTTGAAAAGCAGGAAAGACAGTGGCAAAAACAAAGATGAAAACTTATAACTGCTATCAAAAAAAAATTACCATCTCTGAGGAAACTTTCGGAAGCTGCGCTGCAGTTCTTTCATCCTGTTAATGACGGCAAAGTGCAACCGCACTAAAATCGTACACTGAAAATAATGCTAACGTTGAGATGCAGCAGAAGACAGCAATAAAAATGAGGAAATTTCATATCTGACTGCATATCAGAAGAATTACCTTCCTGGAACTTTCCACAGTTGCGCTAAGTTCATCTTATCCTATTCACGGCGGCAGAGTGCATTGAAATCTCACACTGAAAAAAACATTGACTTGGACAGGTAGGGGAAAACAGTAATAAAAAACCAAGTTAAAATCTCATATCTAATTGCTTATCAGAAGAATTACCTTCTCGGACAAATCTTTCGTAGTTGACTTCAAATTTATCATCTCCTTGAGGTGACAATGTGCAACCGCACCAAAATTCCACACTGAAAAAATAGTACATATGAAATGAGAGGAAACGTGTCACAAAAGGTGAAGTTATAATGATACTAAACGTTTTCAAAAACAAATTCTCAATATCGCATGAAAATCTTTTATAACGAGATATTTTTCACAAACAGCAACCAAATAAATGTAGTAAAACGAGATCTCCTAAAGGCAGTGATATAGGTATTCTTCACGAATCGATGCAGCCAAACATGAAGTGGTTCAAAAGTTCGTGCCGTTTTTTTGACCTATCCTTAAACATTCAGAGAACCGATAGACAAGCATTCTAAGCATTGTCCTATGCAGAATCTCGATCTCTTTCCAGCTCTACGTACCCTAACTTCAGCTAGTTTTTGTACTTTTCGTTTTGGACTTTTGAAAACGCTTTGATGGCAGTTGACAGAATAGACAAATTGCAATGTAACACATTTGGCATCAACAGCTAGCTATTCAAATTTTCTAAAAGTATCATTTTGATGCTACCAAATTAGATATTTATCCATCCCAAACTTCGTAAAACATCAGACGGCAAACAGCTAGGGTGTCATTCAATGCACCATCACCTTCTCTTTTTATTAGATGTTTTTTACTGATTTGTAGTCCTCGAGTTAAATATAATTTTGATTACTTGATGAGTGTCAAGCTGCACTCGAAAATTTCAAAAATTAATATTTCGAGGTAGTAACTCACTAGTTTGATGGAATTAGTTTCAAACATAATCCATTTTTAAAGTCCCAATTTGCTACGATTTCACAGTGTTCGGAGCGTTTGTATGTTGTACGTTTTTCTAAAAAACGGCACGAACTTTCGGACCATCTAATAAATGCAATAAATTCCAATGAAACTCTAATGAGATATTCCAAAAATGCAATAATGAAGATATTCTTCAGAGATCGATGCAGCTAAATAAGTACAATAAATGGAAATTCCAAAAATGCAATAATGAAGATATTCTTCAGAGATCGATGCAGCTAAATAAGTACGATATTTGAAACATGCAAGAAGGGTGGTGAGCAAGAAAAACGATAGCGTTGGATATCGCTAACCAGCGTATTTTTTCCCTCATTTTCGTCCATTCGAATGCAAGAATTCAAGGCATAATCTCCTACGCTTTCATCTAGATCGAAAAGTTGAATCAATTTTGTTTGTTTGATCATGTGGTGTAAATGAACGTCGAGACAACAAGATAGGCGTTTCGAAACTTAAACTATAAGCATTTCGCGGTTTTCCTTGCGATTTCATCAGAAAGAGTGCGCTTATCATCGGCCCTCGTGCAATATTCATTGAGTAAAGAATTTATCACAACATTTCTCATTTTCAATGAACCTAAAATCCGTGATTCGTAGAGCAAATAGTGCATCGCTATGCGATGGAAACAGCGGCTGTCAACTGTTATCGCTACTCTTGCACCACACCCATGGGAACCATCTTCGACTTTAGAGAAGAAAAAAAGAGACTTCATCTAGAGGGAACAATTCAAAAAAGACAACAGTCAATGGAGAAAAATATCCTTGTAAGACGAGTTCTTACGAATTCTGCAAAGCTTGTTCTCTCTCTTCTGGTGACATTTCCGCCATTTGTTGACGAGAAAGCCCCGTATCATTGGGTGTTTTGCATTTCTAAAAGTGAGCATTGATGTTTCAAGATAATAAAGCAGTGAAAAATCACCTTGGGAGCGAATAGATGGCCGCGGTGCAGGCGGTAGGCACGGATGTCCTCTCTGTAAACAAACGCCAAAATTACGTCATCAAAACAATAAACTGGGGTCAGTGGCGGACAGAAGGGAAAGGGCAAAATTTTTGAAATTTGATTACATGTTATAAAAATGTGGAACTGACTCCCCCCATTTCTAAGTTAGGGGTTATGTACTCGCAGAAATTTCGAAAAGCACTCCAAAAATCTTTTTGAAAGAATGTTTTTCACCTTGATTTAGAAAAAATTCCCCTTCTTGGAAGGAAATCCTGCGACAGCCACTGTTTGGGACAAATATATAACTTAACTTACAGGGATCGCGTCATACAAGTTTTACAGTTGTCATACCAGGTCGTCTTCGCCCTTAAGAGTTGCTTGAAGCGTTTTTCTCTATTCTCTTCGGTGTCGCCAAGGGCCAACCAGAACCTGTACAGGTGACAGTGGGTAACTCAAAAAGTCTAATCTAAACAGGAAAGGTATATAAGTCGCAGTGCAGCTTGCCTATGAGAAGTAAATCAGTCGAAAGGTCTTTGAGCGTCTTTGAGCAAAAAACCCTCTATACATGCTTGCTATGCGATCATATACTTTCCTTGTAAGCATATTGATGCGAACCCGTCCTCGGAATTTCTCAGGTTTGCGAGTGTTCCATGGATTATATAAGGATGGGATAGGCCTACGGCATCAATTATGAATTCTAAAAAAATTCGATAAATACTAACAATAAGACAAATTTTAGGAAAAAAAGCGTCACCTGTGATGGTGCCACTGATGCCTTCCGGCAAATTCATCAAACTGTTTTCTCCTCGGGGAGAATTTGTGGCACGGTAGGTGTATTTCCATATTTCGTATGGCGGATCACAAATCTAAAAGGAATCATGAAAAGACTGACGCAATCTTGTTCACTCACACACCTCTTTGAAGATGTTTCGCAGAAAATCCGTAACTTGTTTGACTGCGCAACCCGCCAATCGTTTCGGAGCAGTGTAGTGACAGAGGGCTTCATTTAAATTCACCTTCTTGATAAGAAAGAAATTAATTCACTTTCCTCTCCCCCCCCCCCCCCTTTCTGCACACCTTAAATGGTTTTTGATAGCTCAATATATGATTTCCGGCAAGATTTTCGTATTTGAACTCTTGTACATCTGTGAAAGGCGAAGAGATATCTTGGGAACGACGCAGATGACTGATTTCCTCCTTACATTCCAGAATAATCGTGAGGATGAGGTTTGTCTGAAAGTGTTAATACTAGTCTAGAATTCCAGCTATTGAGACTTCCCTGGACTCGCTGGGCTACGTGATTTTCCGCTAGTAGCCGAAGTGTTTCAGCGTGGTCGTAAATTGTGCCAAAGCGCGATCTTTCTGCGCTTTGCACCGAGCGCATGACGTCTCGGAAATCAAAATACTTTACTGCGCTTGAACAATGATGTAAAACTTGCTGAAAGTTCCGAGATCTTTTTAGAAAGTAGTGGTGTAACGGTATACCTCTACAGAAACCCGACTTAACGTCGACGATTCCTTCGAGAAAAAAGCATACAGCACTGAAGCGAAGTCGGAAGTTCCCTCAGGCTTTCCAAGGGATTCTTTAATAGCTTCTAAAAAGAATACTACTCTATACCCGCTGCATACAGCGCTTCCTAGCCTCAGTTTCACTAACCCATAGGATCTCTAGTGTTCGTCAAGCGTTCACCGACCCTCGGCTGTTCGCGAATGTTGGGAGTCATTACCTCAGGAGCTCAAACCACCAACTACAGCAATGACCTTGAAGCAAAATTTAACTTACTTGTCGTGTAGTGCGATGACATGCTCGTCTCCGGCGTTAGGATTCCCGATACTTCCCCTGCATACGGATTTGATAAAACCGGGAACCCAGAGGTCTCTCTGTTTGCATAATCCTATAGAATCACTCACATCAACTATAAATTAAACCTTTTTCAGCTTTTCTTTTCAACTTTCTTCAGCGTCGATTGAAAAACATTGAATTCACCTGATTTTGAGGTCTTAAAGGGCGTAATTCTGCGTATGTAGGCGGAGACTTTAGTCTGGAAGTTGATGGTTGCGAAGTGGCAGCGCCAGCAATATTCTCGTTGCCTGGATCTGAAAATCACAAACTTCAAATTAGATTCCCTATTCGAAAATCTGAAAAGGTAGTGCTCACTTTGTGACATTCTCCTATACTTCGGCAGTTTTCAAGAGACCGGCTCGCCTGCACTGCGTTTCCTAGCCAGTAAACAAACTTCATGAGAAATATAAAGGCAGGAAAGATAAAGGCATGAGAGGATATCCTCTTCCCTTTAACATGAGAGATATAAACAGCACTTTATTCACATCTAAGATTTACGAAAACATATACGAATTAAATTTTCAATGCAAACATTCGAGATCTCATTTCCACACACACAGCTGGTCTAATTATATCTGTAACGTTAATCCACTTTACGCCTGCGAAGGACAATTCATGAGAATGAGATTTTTTTGGGAGAAGAGGTGCATGAGATTTGAAGCAGTATCACTGTTCGGACGGGAGTGCAAAGTTTCTACAAGATCAAGAAAGGGATTTGAGGCTGTGTAATGTTGGATAAGAGCAAATGAACTTCGCGTACATTCATGAAAACTAATCAAGACTAGTTTCCCGTATGAGTAGATCTGTGTAACGCCATCTTCCGTAGCTCTTATGCAAAAAGAAGAAGTATCCGTATCGCACACTCTCTGCCAGTCTATTCGAGCAAAAACCTTTCCATTTACGACAACACGTGAACTAAAAAACATGGCTTTTGCATATCCGCTCATTATTATTGCAAATCAAAGCTTTTGCAGAACACGCACTACAATTTAACACTGCTCATCCCTCTATGGTGTTGGTAGAACATCATCCGATGGTCTTCTGTTAAAGTGTTTATGGCCACTTCGCTGTTGTCGGCTACATAATAGCCGGCCGCCAGTTGCACCTTCAGGGGGAATCTTAACCGAGACATTCACTCAAAACAAATAAAAGGATATTTTTGCCTATACACGATGACAATTTTCGCTCGCCTTTCGCTTCGTTTTTCATAGCGCCTAATAAACTTTCGAATCTTCCAGAATGGTTTCTCAGAAAGGCTTCTTCCATGAGCACCGCAAGCTTTTTCATTTGGACAAATCTGTATTCACTAACATTCAAAATTTACCTATTGAAATTACTTCGTACCTATTAAGAATTCTGTCATTGGAGTTCGATACATACTGATTATGCGGAACTTGCGGAATGCGGTGAATAGATTCGAATGGGGCTGCGCTCCATACATAAGGACTGCCGTATAGTACAACTTCTTCGAGAACGCAATGGTCAAATAGATTCTGGAAGTGCCTAATTTCTCAATCCCTTGCAGAACTCCAAAAACCCACATGTGCTTTTCACGTAAACATGCTGTCTGACATTTCATGCCAGAGTTGCTTGACAAGACACATAGCAGTTTGTACGAACTCGATATTCACGGTGGTAAGATCTTCTACAGCTTGCAGTTCCTTTATGCAATACCAGTACCAGACGAGGGATGCAGTGCATAATGGAGATGGACAGAGAGCGGCGGCTCCGACTAGAGGGAAGATGATATTTGCCAGCTACAAAACGCCACGTCATACTTCAGACAACGGTTGAGACATATCAGGAGGATCTTATACCATGTCAACCTCTGCTCCAGTCATAGACGGCAGGTCCTCGAACCCAAGGATGAACTTCGAACTATAGGTATAATTTCTTACACCCCGCTAATACCTCCCGCAGTTCCGCAATCGTTTCTCGTGCCAGTCTCAAACCGTCGAACTTTGATGATCGAGACAGTAAATCTAAGAGACAGTCGGTCGTTGTAAAGCGTTACAGGTGTAATGGCCGAGAACAAACCTCGCAAGCGGTCCTGGGTAACTCCTTCACTAATCACGTGGAGAGCGTCGGCGCAGCACATTGCAAGCGTGAACAAGGTCATTGCCGAAGTTCTCCCTTAAAAAACAATAGCTTCGACACAATTAAGCGCACTTAAAGGCAGTACATCGGCAGAATGAGACCCGTGACAAAACAAGGTCACAGGATAGGGGCCCCCATATGGAACCTATCGGCCAAAGTCCGATCCTTTCTCTGCCACTTCTAACCCCCGAAATTTCAAAGCTAAAGCAGCGTTCATCTCCTGTCCTCTCCGAACCGGCCCACCCCATGGACGAGTGAACGCGAAGCCCGTCATGGCGAAGACGCAGAGTCGTTGCGGACCTCATGCTTATAGCATTGCGGCTGGCGCTCTGACCGCGGAAGTCACTCGTCCATGGAGTGGGCGGGTTCAGAGAGGACAGGAGATAAGCGCTGCTTTCGCTTTGGAATCTCGGGGGTTAGAAGTGGCAAAGAAAGATCGGACTTCGGCCGATAGGTTCCATATGGGGGCTCCTACCCTGTGACCTTGTTTTGTCACGGGTCTCATTCTGCCGATGTACTGCCTTTAAAGGAAAGCCCGAAAACAGCGAAAAACGGCTCTAACACACGAGGGAAATCTACACGTGGGCGGAGTCTTCCCCATTGTGAGTTCACGCTCCCAGCTTCCGGAGCGATCTTCTCGCTTCCGGCCTCAAGTCGATCATTCGCACTTGGCCGGTAGCGATGTTAAGACGGCTAGCGGACTCAAGGAGACCGCTCCGGAAGCTGGGAGAGTGGATTCAAAGTGGGGAGGACCCGCCCACTTGCTGTTTACCTCCTGCGTCGTTTTCGCGCAGTCCAGTGTGGATTCTCGGATTCAGCATGGCGAATAGGCTCGTATATGCACAAAGTGTCAGAATCAACAATTCGCCCGGACACTGCCTTCAAAGGCAGCGTCCAGGCAGATCTGGACCTATGGGGCTTTTACGTGGAAAGTCCTTTGGGGCCCTAATTAAGGCACTACCCAAGCGGCAGCTCAGGTAGTGCTCTAATGACTGAGATATTCTCCTCGAAACTGGCCCCCGCGAACGTATTCGCATGGATTCATGGCAGTTTCGAGCCAGGATCCACGCTTTGCGCCATGAATCCATGCGAAATACGGTCGCGGGGGCCAGTTTAGAGGGAAATATCTCAGCCATTAGAGCACTACCTGAGCTGCCGCTTGGGCAGTGCCTTAGTTAGGGCCCCAAAAGTACTTTCCACGTAAAAGCCCCATAGGTCCAAATCTGCCTGGACGCTGCCCTTTAAAGGCACCGTCCACCCAGATTTTCGACTTCCGCGTTTTTGCCGTTTCAGGGTCTTCTCGTGTCCCTCATTTCGAATATGTAGTCGAGAAAGCGCGAAAACTCCGACAATGCTCGTTCCGGAGGACCCACAGCCCGGCTTTCCCGAGCGGTGATTGGATGGGCGCGCACAAATGGGCGGGCGTGGATGGGGGAGGGCGGGCATGGATGGGGGTCCTCGCGCATTTTCGCTATTCCGAAGCGATTTTCTCGCTTACGAAGCAACATTTTGAGCCGCGACTTGGGCATTGGATTGACAGAGGGCCCTACTATCATATGCTGTAAAAAGCTCAACACCCTCAACTTAGGGTGAACGGTGCCTTTAAAGGCAGTGTCCGGGCAAATTGTTGATTTTGAGATTGAAATTCTTCGGTTCCCCTGGATGAGTTAGAGGTAGCAGCTCTGTAGAATTTCGTTTTCCGTTCTTCATCTTTTCGGAGCCTTCTCGCCATGTGGCACTTTTTAGCGCATGAAAATGACAAAAATGCGCTTCCGAGGCTTTTTAGGACCGCATTCAGTGTAGAAGGGGGAGGGGCCCGGAACGAAAAAAACCGACCCCTGTTGAATCCATTTGTCCTGCGCTCTGCATCACGCAGTATGTTTTCCGATGTTCTCTTAAGGCAATTCTGCGGATTTGCACAATACCAGTTGAGGTCTCTTGTTCCCGCTTGCCTGTTGCCACGATATAGACACTTGTGACAGCCATAGTAAGAGTTCCAGCATGGAATTCCAAAAATATCCTTTAAGCCCTGCGCTAGTTCAAATACAGCAATTATTGCAGACAAAACATTACGACTGACCAGTACCTGATAGTCCACAACACCATGTACCAAACGGAGGCTGACAGTCCACATATCCCCATTTCTATCACGCACTCGAAGGAATTCGTTGGCGTTCAAAATAGACAGCTCCGCCACCAAATGATTCCAAAGTCCCTCCCATAAGATCTCGGTAGGGGTTTTTGTTGTTCGCAAAATCCCAGCCAGGACTATATTCGAGTAGTTATTCCCGATTTTCTGGGGGAAATCATCAACTCGTATGTATAACGGCCACAGCTCTTGCCTAAATATTTGAAAACGCTCAACGGGTGGTGGAAATTCTCAAAGATGGGAAAAAGAATGAGAACACACTTGTTCAATCGAGAAGGTGTAAATCCGTCGGTAGCTAGCGTTAATTGAACGGTAATTTTGTGCATGTGAAAGTCAGAGGAAGACTCACAATTTCTCTTGAATTCAGGATAATCAGCAGGCTGTGAACGCCAACCATGGTCAATCTTAACAAGGACATTCACTTACTCAAATTTAAGAATGCAAAAGGGCTACTTGATCCTCGTGTAAGCGTCGGTGAATGCTGAGGAGTAGGGACAAGTGTTTTGTGAGGACTGTCTCAATCTGTGGGCGAACATCAAGCAATGAAAGCGTTGCTCTCCTTTGTGAATTTGATCGCTTAGGATTTTTCCTGAAGCTATTGGCTAAACATACCTGCTCATATGGTTCGTTCAAAGTTCCTGTCCTACCCTCTTAACTCGCACTGCGGATTATCACAAAGTGATCGCTGCTCGATCAGTGAATGGTGACAAGAGTTACAGAAGAAGTAACTTCTCGTGTTCAAATCACCTGTCAGCTCTTCGAGAAAGCTCCTAATTTGTAGCGCACTCTGCAATATTATTTAGTTGTTCGACTACTTATTTTAGAACTCATCAGCTTATTACTATGTCTGGTGTCCTTTCCGAAACCACTTCAATCAACAATATCAATCTTTTCAGTTCCTCGAAGGCGGTGGCATGGATCACTGTATAGCACGCAAAAAAAGAGGAGCTTGTCCTGCCGCCCTCAAAACGGAAGCAATTTTTGAAAACAGTCAGGTTAAATAAGGGGTCTTTGCTTACCATAGAGTAGGCGAATCACTGCAACAACTGATCTGAGGACAAACTTCTATTCCAAAGCATTGTTTTTTGTATCCTTTTGCTATCAAAACCGTACGGGTACATAGGCGATTCAGAACACGCAGAGACTGTGGACGTAACAGTGTCCTTCTGATCGAGCGCTGCTGTCTCTCCCGTCCAGGAAACTATCTTAGCCGGACACGACGGCGCCCGGTCTTCGTGTCATGAATTGCTATAGAAGATAGGCCGTGCTCCGCCTACAATATGGCAAGCGAGCAGACTATACCTAATTCAACGATAGGCTCCACTCTAATTCCATTGGGATTAGGCTCCACACCAGCATTCTCTTGAATGGCGTCTAAGTCCGATCCAGCACCAGCGTCATCAGGATTAGGTGGTACTATAGCACCAGCCCCATTAGGATTAAGTGGCACCATAGCGCCAGCCTCATTAGGATTAAGTGGCGCATTGACCTCTTCCTTTAGAATCCATCGTAAGTTCTCTCATCATCATTATTGGTAACATCATCATACTTTTGTCTTCATATTATTTTTAATTTGCTTTTTGGTTTTTCGAGTTGCTTTGCTTGTACCTCTTCTTTGTTCGAAGCTAAAGAATTTTTGTATGATAGAAGGGACTCTCTTATCATGTATAATATCAACATCATGCTATTGCCTTTCATGATTTCTAACTTTTCGCATATTTCCTTCCATTGTAGTTACTGGGGCCCAGCCTGTGACTGGCGAAAGCAAAGGCACTCAATTCCAAAACGTACATCTGAAAAGGTGATTTTTCTAGAACGCATTTTGATAAGGGATAAGCATACCTCACATAGTGCAACCGCACGAGCAAATGCTAGATTTGAGTAGAGGTTTTTTTTGACCTTGAAGAAAACAGAACTTCTATCTATGTGTGCTAATCGCCTAACTGCATATAAGAAGAATTACCTTCTTGGATAATCCTTTCTGTCCTGAGTTAATGCAGTTTGAAATTTTGTAGTTGAACCTCAATATATCCTGCTGATAATGGTGATGGTGATGTGCAACCGCACTGAAATACACCGAGTCTGAAAAAAAATTGAGGGGGAGAGAGAGATGGTGATCAAAAGACAAAGGTATGGTAATGAAACAGAACATAGTGCATATCAAAATTTCTCTTTAACATACGCAAAATACTTCATTATGAACCAAGCATTCAAGAAATATGCACGCAAGGACATAGTTGCCGGCAACTGTTGCCGAAATTGCCAGCCGTTTTAAAAGCTCACTGTGCATTCCGTGTGTTGAGGGCTCTCTAATTCCCCAGCAACATCGGCAACCGGGGTGGCAAGCTACAGGAACGATACCCGGAGGGTGTCAATAACCTGCGCGTTTCTTTCCCTGATTGCTGGATATCAGTAGGCGAAAATTTATAGGATTTCCTCGTTCCATCCTTTTAATTACACAGAAGAGTTGAAAATATAAAAATAAGCTGCAAAAATATGCAAATAGTGAAAAAAGGTTTCAAAGGTAAAACTTCTAATATTTCAGGTTTTTCTCTGCAGCAGAATTACCGAATTGCCCTCACATCGGGTTGCATGCAAAAATTACTCAGTATAGAATGTATTTCAACTCTACTCATTTCACTGAGTCTGAAATTTGCGCTTGGTGAGAAGAACAGCGCATCGCCGTACGTATGCATTGGCGGCTGGCAATTGCTTTCGTCCTTAATGCACCACAGGCAACCGTTGCCGGCACACCAAAAAATGAGGTAAAATAACAACAGAGATTACATCAGTTATAAGCACTTAGTGTCATGAGCTACAAATTATCATGATTAGTAATAAAAGGAGAGAAGAGGAGAGGATATGCAATAGAGCAAGTAAGCAACCTGATCAAAAGTGGCAATGAATGCAAACAAAGACATCTGAAAACAAAATATTAAACTGAGGCATATGTCAAACTGCTACAACTCGTTAAAAAAGACAAAAGCAAGAGATTCCCAAAAACTGCAAAATTGCTAAAGAACGTTTAAATATAGTGCGGCAGCCGTACATATGATAGAGTTTAGTATTCAAATGAGCGCATGATTAGGCCTAACCAGTTTAGCACGACTTGTGGTTGCCGTAAACAGAGAGGATTGCAGATACAGTTATTCACATCAATGAGTCAAGAAACTTAAGTGGAGTTTGGGTCCTTTATTCAGCGGAGTGCATGGAACAAATTCGATGATTTCAGGGGGGATTTCAAATAAGTGACCGAACGGAGCTATTCCTGGAAAACAAATATGAGATCTTGAGACAGGAGCGAGAAAGAATTTTCTCACAAATCCACAATCATACCTTGCGTTGAGTATCGTCCAGAGTAAACTCCAATTTAGCAAATATTCCAGTAGCTGTAAGCACGGAGCATCAACAGGAATATAGTTTTAAATACAATGGGAGATGAAAGCTACAAAGCATTCGAGTCGATTATTCACTTGGCAAAACTTGCAGTGGATCAGCAGAATGGACCCTTCTCGAATTTTGGTGTGTTTCGGTAGTAGACCCCCCCCCCAAGTACCGCATAAATTGGCAAGTGGTCCAAACCCCACTTGCCAATTCATGCGCTAAGTCCTAAAAAATGCGCTTCAAATTTCCTCCAGCCCCGCCCCCTTCCAGAGAGTGGGCGTGCTTCTGGAGCATGTCTTTGACATCCATAGGATGAGCTCCAAGATCATCGGAAAGAAGACGTCCCCGACAAGATGAATCTTATACATAGAGCGTGACCCGAAAAGAAGATTTTCGCGCTCTCTCAAAGCAAACTTACTTTATCGACGAGACGACTGTCAAGTTGATTATTCTCTCTTACCTCGATGTCGGCCATAAGATCAAGAGTAAGAAGCATCCCATGGAAAATGCGTTGAATAGCCATAGAAAGTTCGAGACAACACGATGAGCAAGAAGGAGCTGTAAATTACGTATCGAATGTCTCCCACCCATTATGATAGATTTCCTTGTTCACCTGGAAGAGGTAATTCCACAGCTTGAGCACATTCTCTTTCCGATTGTTGATCTCCTATTCCGTGGAAGTTCTCAGCTTCAAACTCTCCTAAAAAGATTAGATGAGCGCAAGACTGGTAATTACAAAAGAAGCCTCTGAGCAGAGAAACATTTTTCGGAAAAAAACCATATATATCGTAGACAAAGAAAAGGAAAGCGACAAGAAAAGCGAACCTGCAACAGCAACAACGGCTTGAACACGATCTTCGTATGCGAAAATGTCAGTTTGGATAGCTTCGTGCTTCTTGGTTGCAGCCTAGACGATGCATACCCTTTACGATCAAAAGCAACTTCCTCGATCCACTTACCTCAACACTTGCAAGCTCAGATCCGAGCTCAGATCTTCGGTGGTCTTTTCGAGTTCCTCCCATTGATGGGCTAAATCAGTGATTTGAGGATCGATGGTGTCAGCGATTTCTGGCTTCTCCTTCAAGATTAATGGCGGCGTTGGAGTTGGTCTAGTCGTTCCTAGTGCGAGCAGTATAAGCAAGGACAGAGCGAGCAAACAAAAGATGAACTTACTTTGTTAGCTTGTGGTTCACTTTGAAAGGCCTGGTGAAGCACACGCGGATCTTATCATAGCATACATATTGTCATGAAGTCCTGAAATGGAATAATGGCCTGGAAAAGTCCAGAACACTCAGGTTCAATCTTACCTGATCCCTCTTAAGCATATGTTCCGCCTGTTTTGAGTGCTGAGGTTCGTCTTTGGTAAGATAATTCTCTTGTTGGAATGGCATGACCTCTGCTTGTTTTGTATCGCGAAGGAACATCTTGAGAACATCCGATTAGAACACGATCAGAGGTATAAGCAACGAACCTGTAGGTTGAGTCCCTGGCTGAGATGCTGATGGTTGTCCCACATTCGCTGCAGCTCTTCCCAGCCTTCTTGAAGACAAGCCAAACACTGTTGGAGGAACTTGCACCTAAAATGAAATGACCCTCAGAACCTTGCACATTGATGACAACCTTTTTCATAGTTTTCTTTACATGAAGTTTAATATGAGCGAGTCTAACATACTGTGGATCAGTCTGATCTTGAGTGGCATCTCCCATGGCTCGCATTTTCTTGTAATCCTCAGTATAACCGTCAATCTCTTCACGAATAGCTGCATGTTGGTTGAGAAGCTGCTCAGCCTCAGCCAAAGATTGGGGCTCGTCTTCGGAAGCAACCTACAACGGGATTTTATAGAGGAGTAGACAACTCAGATCTTGCAACTTCTCCCTTCCGATAAAACGCATGTGCTAGTCCAATATCTGGGCAATTCATAAGTGACAGTTTGGACGGTTTTCAGCTCATCTCAAAAGAATTACGCACAGTGATGCACGTTTTTGTTAACAGCAAACATACTCTCACACTGTGGAAAATCTCTAATGAAAAAATTTTTCTAGAGCTTCTGTTACGTCACAGTCGTAACGCACTTAATTATATCGCAAGAAGTGCGATCAAGGTTTGCACCAACCTGCCGCTGTGTGGCAGTAAGCCAGGCCTGTAAGTGATCCAGATGGCGAAGGAAGCTCTCCAAATCGCCAGCCTTGTCCAATTCCCTCAGGCTCGCGTACTTTCTTCTTCAGGATATCCCTGACCTAAACAAAGACGATTATTTAGTCACACTTGAAGCGAAAATGTTGACCATACATAATGGATTCGCTTGATCCTCTCAATTTACTTGAGCTTCCTGTGGACGCTCACGTTCAGTCGAATCTGCTTCCCTATGGAGAGGATCCAGCTTAGCCTGGATGGCGCCGAGATCGCGTTCCATCATTGAAAGCCTAAATATGAAATAATCAGAATAGTATACAAAATTTATACTCACCTCCTTTGAGTTTCATAACTCCACTGAGATCAAAGAGCATCACTCGATCCAGGTAACAGTTTCTTGACAGTCGATTCTACGAACGAGGGTTGTGTGAACAAGGTAGACACAAGAATGGTGGAATCATACCTTAAGGTCTCGAGACGGTGAGCACGGTCAGGCTCAGCTCTTTTTTGGTCAACCACATCACCAGTTGTGCCCAACGAGCGTTGAGTTTGTTCTGTCATTGAAGGATGTTGTCTGAGTTTGGATGTTCGACAAGGAGCAGCTGACGTGCAAGTTTGTTGGCAGTGCCAACCTGAAAACAGAGACATTAACGAGGAAATCACAAAAATTCGCTCTAATCTTTGCAAACCTTAGTCTCCTAATTCTCCATGCCTTGTTCGAGTGTTTCGAAGCGATGTTTCATGATTTCAACTCCCTCGAGGTCTTTTTCAGGAATAAGAGTAGCCAACAGTTCCCTAAAGCACTTAAATGTTAGCAAATTTCTCAATGGAAACCGATTTTTGACCTTAACTTCTCATCAATCCAGGCTTCGACCGAGTCAGCATCGGCACAGATTTTGTAGAGCGACAAGGCGTCAACAAGACGTTGCTTTCGGAGTTTAGCTAAGTTCTCAAGTTCGGCCTTACATCAGATGGTCGAGTCCAAACGCTCGCCGATATCCGGATACTCACGAGCCTGGAAGAAGACTGATAGTACACTGACTGCTCCACAAAATTAGAGAAAACAGAAATTCAGAAATGAAACAGAGAAACAGAAATGGTATCTGAGCAGCGTAGCAGTGGTTGCTAAGCAAGACTAACAGTGAAGCTGATTTCAATCTTATATATAAAGCTGAACGTGTGTATGTCTGTCTGTCTGCCTGTACGTATGTGCGGAATAGAAATATTTATTTCTGACCGATCTGGACCAAACTTGGCACACGTACACTTCGGGGCAGGGAGCGTGTCATAGGCTACTTTTTGTATCGATCGATATCGATTTTATCGATTTTTCGCAAAATTTGAGCTACAGGGCTGGGAGTTGGCACAGGGGGTAATCGAGCTTGCTGATTACAAATATATTATTGACAGGCCCGGGCGGAGCCGGGTTTGCCAACTAGTTTTACATGAATAATGAATTACTTACTAGTTCTTGATCGATGTTTTCATCTAGATCAGCCACATCCCACCAGAACTGGCACAACCTGCGGTTGTCTTCAAGACGACGTTTGCGTGCAGCCAAATCAAGGAGCTCTTGGTACCTTCAAAATTTCAATTAGTGAGGGTTATCACCTGCGCTGCTCATTATTTGGCATGATTTCTGAAAAGCGCCAAAAACTATGCAACAAGCAGCTCCATAATATTTTGCACAAAATATTATTAACAAAGCAATGGGAAAAAGAGAAGTTTACATGAATTCGTATCAAAAGCAAAGAACAGCCACCTTTGCTGCAGAATTGACGAACGCTCATCGACAACAGCTGGTTCAACAAAAAGATACCCGCTTCCATCTGACCCTTCCGGATCGCAGAAGCTGCAAATGATCTCAGTGCATACACTGTTAGAAATGAGTGCTGGGAGGCTGTTCTCGAAAAATGCTACACTAACGTGAAGACAGAATGATGCTGCATTCCGCCAACGCCCAAATAAAAGAAAACGCGAGCATAAAACAAAAAAATATAATAAATCGGCAAGGATGAGATATCGCAGTATGAACACATACCGCAGAGCCTGCCCCACAGCATTTCGCACTCGTTCACCAATGATGTTGATGGCGGATTCTAGAAGGGCGTGCTTCTGGAGCATTGTCTTCCACATCCATAAGATGAGCTCCGAGATCGTCAAAGAAAACGCCTGACAAGATGAATCTTACACACAGAACGTAACCCGAGAAGAATATATTTTCGCACTCTGTCAAAGCAAATTAACTTTATCGACGAGGCAAAAACAGTTGATTTCTTGCCTTGATCGTCCATGAGATCGAGGGTAAGAAGCACGTCGTGGAAAATGCGTTGGATAGCCATAGGAAGTTCAAGACAACACGACAAGCAAGAAGAAGCTGTAAATTACAGATCAAATGAATCCCAACTATTATAAATGACTCCTCCACTAAGACCAACCTGGAAGAGGTAATTCCACAGCTTGAGCAGATTCTCTTTCCGGTTGATCTCCTCGATTCCATGGAAGCTTCAAGCTTCAAGCTCTTCCAAAGAATTGAGTAAGATCTGCAAAACTGGACAGAGTCTCCAAGAAAAGAAGCATGGTTAACCAAAACCAAACATAGATTGGTGCCGTAGATAAGTGAAGGGAGAAACGAGATACGAACCTGCAAAGCAACAACTGCCTGAACACGCTCTTCGTAAGCAAAGATGTCGGTTTCAATAGCTTCGTGCTTCTTGTTTGCAGCCTGAATTAGAAGTTACTTTGGTTCAAGAAAGAGGAATACTCACTTGTACTGTTTACCTCACTAGCAAGATTAGATCCGAAGTTATCCTGGCTGACAAGACGTTGGTTCTTAGTCAGCTATGTTTCTCTCATATCAGAACTGCGGTTGAATCGAGCAACCAACTGTTCGAGTTTCTCTTGACGAATCAACTCTTCCTTCACCGCCAGTTCACGTTCATGTTCGGCCTTTTGCAAAGTGTTCCATGCCTGAGAAGAAAATCATAAGAAAAAAAAATATATAAAGGCCTCATTAATTGAGAAAATAGAAGCGCTGAATGTCAATGAAATCGGCAAGGCAAATGTAGGCAGCTTCTATATGCTGCATTTTTCAACGTGCATTCTGTGCCCTTATCTATGGACTTTTCTGGTTTGCAAATAGCTTGCAAACTTCTGGATAACGTACTCTATTTATGTCTTCAATGAGTTTGCCCTCACGAGGAAATAGACGCTGAGTTGGCTCGCATTGCTGATTGCAGAGTGAACAGAAGCACTTCAAGCTTGCCTTTTTCTTCGAACCTATATGCAAAAGCTCCATTCATAATACAAAATAACTGTTCAGTAAACTAAAAAATTTTCAAGAAAATGCAAAAAATAACAAAACACTCACTTTGGAGGTTTCCCTTGAGTGCGATACTCAATGAACTCAGCAAATTAATGCTGCACTCCCTGTAGAGAGTTGGCAAATGTCCTAGAAAATATTGTTAAAATCAGCAAGACAACTGTAAAAACCAGTGAAACGTAAAAATGCGTACCTGTCGTTGAGGTTCTCAATCTTTTCTTTGATCCATTCAAGAAGATCGGAGGAGATTGTCTCATATTTGTTGATCATTTTCTCGTTCTCCATCAACTCTTTGATGACCTAAAGCACAGTTACAGTACGCCACACCACATCAAGAAACTAAAGTCCGTGTTAATCACGAGCTCCCCTTTCCGTATGCGCGGTGAGCTTCGCGCCACGTTCGCGCGCGTATGGCTCAGGCATTCAAACGGGCCTTATCGATTGGAGGTCCGCGCGCAGGGCCTTTGCGTTGCGCATGCGTACATCCCATGCGAAAGGGAGTTCGTAATTGGCATCGACTGTACCACACCTTTTCAATACATTTTCCCTGGATAGTCTCTTGCTTCAACTTGTTGAAGTAGTGATAGTAGGCGACCAAATAGGAAATGATGGATTTTTCATCGGGATCGCGTACGTTGACATCTGCATTTCAAATTTATTCTCTACCAGAATCTTTGGAATGCTTTAGCCTAAGCTATTGTTATCAAACCTTCCGCGTCCAGGAATTTCGGCAATTCAAGCTGTTGTTCAGCAGTATCAAAAGCATTTTGAAGATTGTAGATAGCTTCGACTTCTGCAGATTATCATAGTCTATGAGATCCGGACGATGGTTGTCGTTAAGGGCGTTGAAAGCAAGGGGCCATCACGTCAGCTAAATTTATAGTAGGAAAACATTCTTTTTTGAGAGAAAATCCAAGCGAAGAATATAGGTAGGTGTTGTCTATCCAGAAATTGCTGAGGAAGAAAAGTTTCAACATATACTGACCTTGTTGTGAAATTCCTAACATTCACATTCGGATAGCCAGTGCTTTCATCTGGCACCAAAGTAGTAACGCTTCCTTAGCGAAACGGGTTTCGAGGTTATCGGCGTCTTCAAAGGTGATATCTTGGATCTGTAAAAAAACTGAAATAGAAAAGCAGAACAAATAGACAATGAAAAAGATGAAAGATTCCGAGGGAAACCAAAACTAACTTGGAGCCTAAGGATAACAGTCCAAATAAGACCGAGAATGAGGCGTGGACTTCCGTCGACAATGTCATGACTACCGAGATTTTCCAAATCCACATGCTGACCTTTGAGAAACTGCAATCCTTTGTCGACATTTTCCAGTGGATTCGCATCTTACCGCGGGTAGGCTTCGGCTGAAAGATAATGTATAAATCTCAAAGAATAAATGGGGGTTCTAACATCTATACAACGCATCAATATACCGTTCAATGTTGCCTTGTCCGCGCGCAGGGCCTTTGCGTTGCGCATGCGTACATCCCATGCGAAAGGGAGTTCGTAATTGACATCGACTGTACCACACCTTTTCAATACATTTTCCCTGGATAGTCTCTTGCTTCAACTTGTTGAAGTAGTGATAGTAGGCGACCAAATAGGAAATGATGGATTTTTCATCGGGATCGCGTACGTTGACATCTGCATTTCAAATTTATTCTCTACCAGAATCTTTGGAATGCTTTAGCCTAAGCTATTGTTATCAAACCTTCCGCGTCCAGGAATTTCGGCAATTCAAGCTGTTGTTCAGCAGTATCAAAAGCATTTTGAAGATTGTAGATAGCTTCGACTTCTGCAGATTATCATAGTCTATGAGATCCGGACGATGGTTGTCGTTAAGGGCGTTGAAAGCAAGGGGCCATCACGTCAGCTAAATTTATAGTAGGAAAACATTCTTTTTTGAGAGAAAATCCAAGCGAAGAATATAGGTAGGTGTTGTCTATCCAGAAATTGCTGAGGAAGAAAAGTTTCAACATATACTGACCTTGTTGTGAAATTCCTAACATTCACATTCGGATAGCCAGTGCTTTCATCTGGCACCAAAGTAGTAACGCTTCCTTAGCGAAACGGGTTTCGAGGTTATCGGCGTCTTCAAAGGTGATATCTTGGATCTGTAAAAAAACTGAAATAGAAAAGCAGAACAAATAGACAATGAAAAAGATGAAAGATTCCGAGGGAAACCAAAACTAACTTGGAGCCTAAGGATAACAGTCCAAATAAGACCGAGAATGAGGCGTGGACTTCCGTCGACAATGTCATGACTACCGAGATTTTCCAAATCCACATGCTGACCTTTGAGAAACTGCAATCCTTTGTCGACATTTTCCAGTGGATTCGCATCTTACCGCGGGTAGGCTTCGGCTGAAAGATAATGTATAAATCTCAAAGAATAAATGGGGGTTCTAACATCTATACAACGCACCAATATACCGTTCAATGTTGCCTTGTCCGCGCGCAGGGCCTTTGCGTTGCGCATGCGTACATCCCATGCGAAAGGGAGTTCGTAATTGACATCGAACTGTACCACACCTTTTCAATACATTTTCCTTGGATAGTCTCTTGCTTCAACTTGTTGAAGTAGTGATAGTAGGCGACCAAATAGGTAATGATGGATTTTTCATCGGGATCGCGTACGTTGACATCTGCATTTCAAATTTATTCTCTACCAGAATCTTTGGAATGCTTTAGCCTAAGCTATTGTTATCAAACCTTCCGCGTCCAGGAATTTCGGCAATTCAAGCTGTTGTTCAGCAGTATCAAAAGCATTTTGAAGATTGTAGATAGCTTCGACTTTTGCAGATTATCATAGTCTATGGGATCCGGACGATGGTTGTCGTTAAGGGCGTTGAAAGCAAGGGGCCATCACGTCAGCTAAATTTATAGTAGGAAAACATTCTTTTTTGAGAGAAAATCCAAGCGAAGAATATAGGTAGGTGTTGTCTATCCAGAAATTGCTGAGGAAGAAAAGTTTCAACATATACTGACCTTGTTGTGAAATTCCTAACATTCACATTCGGATAGCCAGTGCTTTCATCTGGCACCAAAGTAGTAACGCTTCCTTAGCGAAACGGGTTTCGAGGTTATCGGCGTCTTCAAAGGTGATATCTTTAACCTGTAAAAAAACTGAAATAGAAAAGCAGAACAAATAGACAATGAAAAAGATGAAAGATTCCGAGGGAAACCAAAACTAACTTGGAGCCTAAGAATAACAGTCCAAATAAGACCGAGAATGAGGCGTGGACTTCCGTCGACAATGTCATGACTACCGAGATTTTCCAAATCCACATGCTGACCTTTGAGAAACTGCAATCTTTGTCGACATTTTCCAGTGGATTCGCATCTTACCGCGGGTAGGCTTCGGCTGAAAGATAATGTATAAATCTCAAAGAATAAATGGGGGTTCTAACATCTATACAACGCACCAATATACCGTTCAATGTTGCCTTGTCCGCGCGCAGGGCCTTTGCGTTGCGCATGCGTACATCCCATGCGAAAGGGAGTTCGTAATTGACATCGACTGTACCACACCTTTTCAATACATTTTCCCTGGATAGTCTCTTGCTTCAACTTGTTGAAGTAGTGATAGTAGGCGACCAAATAGGAAACGATGGATTTTTCATCGGGATCGCGTACGTTGACATCTGCATTTCAAATTTATTCTCTACCAGAATCTTTGGAATGCTTTAGCCTAAGCTATTGTTATCAAACCTTCCGCGTCCAGGAATTTCGGCAATTCAAGCTGTTGTTCAGCAGTATCAAAAGCATTTTGAAGATTGTAGATAGCTTCGACTTCTGCAGATTATCATAGTCTATGAGATCCGGACGATGGTTGTCGTTAAGGGCGTTGAATGCAAGGGGCCATCACGTCAGCTAAATTTATAGTAGGAAAACATTCTTTTTTGAGAGAAAATCCAAGCGAAGAATATAGGTAGGTGTTGTCTATCCAGAAATTGCTGAGGAAGAAAAGTTTCAACATATACTGACCTTGTTGTGAAATTCCTAACATTCACATTCGGATAGCCAGTGCTTTCATCTGGCACCAAAGTAGTAACGCTTCCTTAGCGAAACGGGTTTCGAGGTTATCGGCGTCTTCAAAGGTGATATCTTGGATCTGTAAAAAAACTGAAATAGAAAAGCAGAACAAATAGACAATGAAAAAGATGAAAGATTCCGAGGGAAACCAAAACTAACTTGGAGCCTAAGGATAACAGTCCAAATAAGACCGAGAATGAGGCGTGGACTTCCGTCGACAATGTCATGACTACCGAGATTTTCCAAATCCACATGCTGACCTTTGAGAAACTGCAATCCTTTGTCGACATTTTCCAGTGGATTCGCATCTTACCGCGGGTAGGCTTCGGCTGAAAGATAATGTATAAATCTCAAAGAATAAATGGGGGTTCTAACATCTATACAACGCACCAATATACCGTTCAATGTTGCCTTGTCCGCGCGCAGGGCCTTTGCGTTGCGCATGCGTACATCCCATGCGAAAGGGAGTTCGTAATTGACATCGACTGTACCACACCTTTTCAATACATTTTCCCTGGATAGTCTCTTGCTTCAACTTGTTGAAGTAGTGATAGTAGGCGACCAAATAGGAAACGATGGATTTTTCATCGGGATCGCGTACGTTGACATCTGCATTTCAAATTTATTCTCTACCAGAATCTTTGGAATGCTTTAGCCTAAGCTATTGTTATCAAACCTTCCGCGTCCAGGAATTTCGGCAATTCAAGCTGTTGTTCAGCAGTATCAAAAGCATTTTGAAGATTGTAGATAGCTTCGACTTCTGCAGATTATCATAGTCTATGAGATCCAGACGATGGCTGTCGTTAAGGGCGTTGAATGCAAGGGGCCATCACGTCAGCTAAATTTATAGTAGGAAAACATTCTTTTTAAGGAGAAAATCCAAGCGAAGAATATAGGTAGGTGTTGTCTATCCAGAAATTGCTGAGGAAGAAAAGTTTCAACATATACTGACCTTGTTGTGAAATTCCTAACATTCACATTCGGATAGCCAGTGCTTTCATCTGGCACCAAAGTAGTAACGCTTCCTTAGCGAAACGGGTTTCGAGGTTATCGGCGTCTTCAAAGGTGATATCTTGGATCTGTAAAAAAACTGAAATAGAAAAGCAGAACAAATAGACAATGAAAAAGATGAAAGATTCCGAGGGAAACCAAAACTAACTTGGAGCCTAAGGATAACAGTCCAAATAAGACCGAGAATGAGGCGTGGACTTCCGTCGACAATGTCATGACTACCGAGATTTTCCAAATCCACATGCTGACCTTTGAGAAACTGCAATCCTTTGTCGACATTTTCCAGTGGATTCGCATCTTACCGCGGGTAGGCTTCGGCTGAAAGATAATGTATAAATCTCAAAGAATAAATGGGGGTTCTAACATCTATACAACGCACCAATATACTGTTCAATGTGATAAAACGGCAGAAAAATAGTGCAAAGTATAGTGCCGCAGTCGTAACGATGAAGAAAGTGAACTGGTCAGTGCATAATCAGACTCAAACAATTTAACAACTTTGCAGTCGCTGTAAACATAATGGACACAGGGATACGGACCTAGATTTGAGGACGGATAGCTTACCAATAATTTTTATCGTATCATCCAAGGAGCCGCACGAACTTAGTGATAATGCCATCTATGTACCAAAGGGACGAAAACATATATGTCTTTTTCTACGCGAACTGAAAAAAAAATTGGAAGATAAACCTAGCGTTATACACGACTATAAATTACCTGATAAATGCAGAGAGGCAAAGAATAGATCATGGATAAATTGATAATGATAATGATCATAGTCACAGACGTGCTAGTATAAGTATCGAGCCAGTTGTCCGGGATTTATGATGGCAGAGATGGAATTGGCCCAGTTCACGACCTTGCTCCAGCTACGAACGTTACCCAACTTTTCCGCATTGCCGAGAATGAATTGACCATGGCGACATCGCGTTACGGCCACATTTAGTCGCCGATAATCATCGAAAAACTCCGTGTCCACGTTTTCCACTTCAGTCCGCGTTGTGAGCAAAATTACAACATCTTTTTCTCTCCCCTGAACTGAATCAACTGTGGCAATCTCAACATTTGGTCGGCCTATTTCGTCACGCATACGGCGATATTGCTCTCGATAAAAGGACACGATGCAAATAGAGTCTGCCGGAATTCCTTTAGCTATCAGGCGGCTCACAATTCTCCAGCATATATCTGCTTCTACAGGGTTGTAGAGCGATTTGCTCTGGGCTCTCGTCCCTGTCGATGAAAAGTTGATAAACATGAAGGGAATTCGCTCACAAGGGAAACGCATCACGTCGAGCAGCATGCGACGATGGCTTGGATGGATTGCGCTTCTAAGTTGTCCGTCGTAGGCTATTCTGTCTGGTAGTTCGATGAGTCCCGGATGCGATCTGAAGGTGGTGCACAAGGACGCAACCGGGACGGCCCGCGCGTTGTCAAGAACGCTCATAATACTTTTTGCACCGAAAATGACAGGATTTGTATCACGCGAGCATGTCGTGTGCGGCTGCAGTTGGTGCTTATCTCCGATGTAAACGTGTCGAACGTCTGGCAAGCGCATAGCCAATGCTGCCAATGCCGATTCCGGTATTTGCGACGCTTCATCACAAATCAATACTTTGAACGGATAAACGTGCATTTTAAGAAGCCCTTTAGAAGCTGTTGTGTTCAGTATGGAAGCAACGGTGGCGAGAAGAATTTTCGGCTTCCGCAGGCGGAACATAAGTCGAACCATTTTCTTCATGTTATGTGATACAAAACGGTCCGCGATCATGTACTCTTCCTTGTCTTCTTCCGTCATTTGCAGTGCAAAATCCAGGCTACTGATGTCCCTCTCAATCAATTCCCTTCCCTCACGGAACTCGCGGCACAATTCCAGCTCATCCGGGTTCATCTGGTCACTGTACTGAGTATCTAGTTGCTTTAGAATCACATTTAAATCCACTGGTGTTGTGGGAGCGTTTTCCATTGCTGCTGTATCGGCCAAATAGCGCACAGGAGACGCTGCTCTTCCGCCGACTGAAAGAAGAATGTTTGTGAAGTGAGCAACCGCTGCATTAGTTTGCGCTACTACAATCACAGGTGCACTCTTTGCCGATGTAGCTGCTATCAAAGCGCCGACTAGAGTTTTGCCTGTCCCAAAAGCTGCTTGGATTCCAACCAGTGGATAACGGCTTAGACCAAGTGCTACAGCCCGACGTTGTTCTAGAGTGAGCTCGACTATCCTTCCATTCACCACACACTCAACTTCACCATCGTCCGGATCGTACATGACAGGGTCGTCCTTGTTTGCACAACTCAACTTTCGAAGTCCGTAACCAGCATCGATGGCCTCATCTCCAAGGCTCCCATGTGTTAGCTGTTCGAGGAGGCTGGTACGTGAAATAATGTCATAGAGCGGATTGGAGGACGTAGACGGCGGCCCCAATCTGACGCACATCTCAACGTGTCCATCAACGGCGTGCTGGGTAACGGCACGTGTCAAAGCCTGGTGGCTCCTGTGAACTGCACAGATGGTGATTATAAGCGTCCGCTCGGCTTCTCGATGTTCCACAGCACGAATCTGAGCGTAAGTGATGAAGTCTGTGCCAATTACATAAACGATAACAGCTCTCATGATGGTCCATCCTGCTTCGCTAGTCATGTTGAAAAGGCGGAAGATGATACGCATTGGATATGCTGAGCTGTTTGGAATGATTCCATCTACTCGATGGCAGGAACGGTCTTCGTTTAGCCTAGCATTCGCCCCAAGAGCGGAGCTCGCTACATTCAAAAGTTTCGTCATCCTATGCTTGGAGTCCTTCGGATGCAAGGCAAAGTTCTCAAAACGGCCAGCACGATCCCGCAACCAATCTTGCTCTTCTTTGTTGAGTCGGTAAACTTGCAGTGGGACGACGCCCTGGTACGGCTCCATGGGAAGAAGATCTCGTATTTCTTCGCACAAAAAATCTCTCGCTTCTTGAGACACAGGTGGCTCCGAAAAGCGTACGGCGCATGAAACGTACGGCCGAGATTCCGCTATGAGAATTTCATCAAATCGTACCGTTTCGATATCGAACGCACATATCGAAGGTGTCACAGGCACCGCTTCCGGAAAGCCTTCAAAAACGGCTTTGAATGACACGATCCTTCCTTCAAAGGATTGGGTGCGGAGCACAATACCGTAAATCTTCTCGTCTAGTCGTTGAGGAGTCACACATACGAAGTAGGCAACACGGAAGAAAAATTGCGATGGTGCTGATGTAAATCCAGCTGCTCGCGGCAACCTTGAGTTCGCCAGTGTCTCATCGGGATTGTCTAGAGCCTGCAGAGTGGGTCGCACTTCATACACCCATACGAAATCCCTGACCGAAACCATTCCTTTATCGAATCCGCGGTAGCCGGTTTTGATATTGACAGCGAACTGATCAAGAATGATGCAATGCAGGTCTTTTCGATCTGGTTGAAAAGTGAAAAAATCCTTCGCTTCCAATATAACACCGGTACCCCACCCTGTGGCGACAACCTGGTACAAAACTGGATAGATATTGTTCCACTCTAACGGTACTAGAGAAGTCTCATGGGATCCGTCCGGTTCTCGCATCATGTACGCGTTGTCTTCATCATCGTAATTGCCACTGCACACTTGCCTCAGAATCTCCTCAGACCGTCTGCGAAAGTCGATGGAATTTTCAATGTGCTGCAGTTCGATAAAAGGCATTGCCTTCATGCGATCCTGTCGAAATGCCTTGGCAAACAACGATCGTGTAAGTCTCATTGATACGTAGGCGGCGTTTCCCAATGGTCGATATCGATCCGTAGAGAGTTTTAAGACGACCTCAAACTGTAGCTTTCTTAGGAATTCGACCGAGCGTGGCGAGATAAAGATAGCCCACGAATGCTGTTCGGAATAACGGTTACGGTAGTTCCTAGGGGTAGTTAGTGGAAGCTGATTGGGGTTCAAGGGAACTCTCGGGGGTGACGGTGACCTGCCAACATAACGCAGAGGTGGGGATGCACGTGGCCTCCGATACTGCATAAATCTTCCTCTGAGACGAGGGTCATTTCGTACACCTCCTTCCGGGATTGGGAATCCACCATCTCTTGCATCCATTGCTGATCACTGGTGGAACCTGCAACCTATTATAGATGCAAAGTGCTTATATGTGCGGTTTCCAATCAGATGGTTTGAGGCTTTTATAGCTAACAAGAGTTTTTTTCCTATTGCGCCTTCAAAATGACTTTTTCCAAGCGATGTCTAAAGTTGTACGCAATGGCAATGCTTCTCAATGATGTCAATTTTCGCAGCACTCGTGGCATATGTCTTCAAAGATCTCAAAATTCTTTTTTTTTTGTGGTGATCTTAGCTCATGTCTGCAAAATGATTTTCTTTCTTAATTTTCCAGTGAATAGCGCTTAGAAAGCACGATCTGAACGTGTAATATATCAGAAGAAAAAATTTGACCACTAGGTTTGTATTTTCGCACCCACTCTTTTTGTAATCAGTAAGCTCTGCGGCAGCACTCCAAATGTGTGGGTCATTGGCGAAAAAAACTGCCAAAATATTTGAAACAAAAGTCTGCATTACAACGTGGCTTTCGCTCGTCCAGACAGAGCTAAGTACACAGCATCTGTAATGATACTGCTATTGGAGGCTTTTTTTGGAGTTTTAAGAGGGAAGTAATCTTCGCGATGAACACCTCTCCAAAATTTCACCTTTTTTCTCTTAGCAAAGGTCGTATTGCATACAACTTTTCGGTATTTAGATTGAAACTCAAAGCCATTTCAAACAAAATGCAGATATCTGGAAAAGGATCATGTGCAAAAAGTTGTATTTGTCCATAACGCTGGTTTCTTGATCAGTGCTCCTAGTCGTCTCTCTTATTAAAATAGTAAACCATCCTCTGCTAATGCTGGATGCCAGCGTATATTTCATCCCAGTTGCTTAGGCAGTCAAGCTTTCCATTATTATTGACATTAGAGCCTTAGCTGAACCACTATTGCATTCGAATATCTAACCGTAAGAACTGAGGCTGGTTCTGTGCAAAATGATAAATCAACTTACTTTTTAGACGACTACTACATTTTCGAAAGAAGATTTGTAATTTCAAAATGCGAATTTCTTGATCAAAAACAACTTATACTCTATGCACGAACGATGTAAAATTAGCTAAGAACCGATCACTGCAGATTTTCGAATGTAAACTGTTCAACAGCGCAGTATCACATAAGAGTGGTAATGGATTTTTGTAAAAAGTCAATGAACCGAGCAGATCGGCTTAAAAGTCTTGGGTGACATTCGAGGAATGCGTATAGATGAAGGTAAGCTCAAATGGCCTTCCAAAAAGCAGGGTTTCGGTATGGTTTTGTCCAACAACGCCTATTGATATGGAAGCAATGTTTGAAGTGAGATCAAAACAGCCGATATTTCAAAAAAGCAACAAAGTCATTTCAAATTCTGGCAGATGCAAAAACTGTCAGGCAAAGTTTGCTCTTTTGATTCTTTGTAAGCTTTCGACCGTTCCGGTGCTCATAAACCCAAAACGGTAAACATGTGGCACCCTTTGTGGTGACGTCATCGCTGCACATAGCCACATGTTTACACTTGATGGGGGGCCCTGCGAATTATTATAGTAGACCAGACCAAAGTGCCGCTTCGCGGCACTTTGGTCTGGTAAGTGGGTGTGAGCAATGCTTCGAAGCGGTACTGTCTCTATTGGATGTTTCATTTTCATCGTATCTTTATCAAAAGGAATTGTATCTGCTATAGATTAGATGAGAACGCTTTTTAACAAAATGTCTATGGTTCAAATGAATTAGGGTTTGTAATCAGTCCGATGCAATTGATAATTCTCATTCGGAAAGAGCTTAGTGCTCACATTCCTGGGCTTTCAAACGAGTGGGATTATTACTGTAGAGATGTCCCAAAAAGTTTGTACTCGCAAAAACTTAGTCGTCCTACGTAAAAGAGAACGTATCTTTTTTTTTTTTGAGAGAAGTTATGCGAGATCCGATCAACTCACAAATTCCTGACGTTTTTGAAGCATGATAGAAGACGGAGCTGTGGTCTCAGCATTGAATAGTTAGTCAGCCGATCAAGTCCGCTTTTGAAGAGTTTTTTGAAACTTGCAGTCTTTTATCATATGACTTGGTCAAAATTTCGTTTTCGACTAAACTCGAGTTTGTCATATCATAGAGTCGGTCTCAGTTTTAATTAGTCCGAGATCGGGAGGGAGTCCGTGTCATGAGGGTAGTGCGTCATGTCTACTCTAGCTTGTCTCTCTCCTCATTTGCGCTCCCTCAAGGAGCGCATATGCAGTGCAGCGCTACCCCCGAGCACTGCTAGCCGTAAATTTAGCCAACGGTTGGGCCTGATCCCCATTGGGACAAACTGTATGTGATTGTGCGGAATGTGGGCCGTGATTATTGCTAGAACTGGTCCGAAAGTAGAGCTGCTCTACTCATCACTCAGAGTTCTCATGAAATCTGAACGACTCTCATGAATTTTCCAAGTTTTTGCAAAATCCACTGAAAAGCTGCAAAATGTTCTCGCAAATGCAGAGCTCGTATAATACCCATCTGTGGTTGCGGGTTGAGCAGTATGTTTTCCCCAGTTTCTCGCACTAAGTTCTGGAAAACATAGTGCTTTGCGCATATGGATGTTTTGTGAAAGCTCATATGCGGCGCCTCACGGATGACGACAAACTGAACTTAGGGTAAGCTAAGCCAGTCGTCAATGGTTTGGTGCGCATAATTCTCAAACATCGATGGCATCATCACGCGAGGTCATGTTCAACTTATTGGAAACCTCATCTTCGATCAAAAGGGCAACTTTCCACACTGTTTACCCTTAGGTGGCGCAGGTGATGAGTCATCAACCCTGTACGCCTGCAGCGGCACGCAACGACAGACCTGTAGACGTCTCACGAGGGGGGGGGGGGAATGCTTCAGAGAGACACCGTGCGCTTTATTATATAGAGAGATAGCTTGTCTCTCTCCTCATTTGCGCTCCCTCAAGGAGCGCATATGCAGTGCAGCGCTACCCCCGAGCACTGCTAGCCGTAAATTTAGCCAACGGTTGGGCCTGATCCCCATTGGGACAAACTGTATGTGATTGTGCGGAATGTGGGCCGTGATTATTGCTAGAACTGGTCCGAAAGTAGAGCTGCTCTACTCATCACTCAGAGTTCTCATGAAATCTGAACGACTCTCATGAATTTTCCAAGTTTTTGCAAAATCCACTGAAAAGCTGCAAAATGTTCTCGCAAATGCAGAGCTCGTATAATACCCATCTGTGGTTGCGGGTTGAGCAGTATGTTTTCCCCAGTTTCTCGCACTAAGTTCTGGAAAACATAGTGCTTTGCGCATATGGATGTTTTGTGAAAGCTCATATGCGGCGCCTCACGGATGACGACAAACTGAACTTAGGGTAAGCTAAGCCAGTCGTCAATGGTTTGGTGCGCATAATTCTCAAACATCGATGGCATCATCACGCGAGGTCATGTTCAACTTATTGGAAACCTCATCTTCGATCAAAAGGGCAACTTTCCACACTGTTTACCCTTAGGTGGCGCAGGTGATGAGTCATCAACCCTGTACGCCTGCAGCGGCACGCAACGACAGACCTGTAGACGTCTCACGAGGGGGGGGGGGAATGCTTCAGAGAGACACCGTGCGCTTTATTATATAGAGAGATAGCTTGTCTCTCTCCTCATTTGCGCTCCCTCAAGGAGCGCATATGCAGTGCAGCGCTACCCCCGAGCACTGCTAGCCGTAAATTTAGCCAACGGTTGGGCCTGATCCCCATTGGGACAAACTGTATGTGATTGTGCGGAATGTGGGCCGTGATTATTGCTAGAACTGGTCCGAAAGTAGAGCTGCTCTACTCATCACTCAGAGTTCTCATGAAATCTGAACGACTCTCATGAATTTTCCAAGTTTTTGCAAAATCCACTGAAAAGCTGCAAAATGTTCTCGCAAATGCAGAGCTCGTATAATACCCATCTGTGGTTGCGGGTTGAGCAGTATGTTTTCCCCAGTTTCTCGCACTAAGTTCTGGAAAACATAGTGCTTTGCGCATATGGATGTTTTGTGAAAGCTCATATGCGGCGCCTCACGGATGACGACAAACTGAACTTAGGGTAAGCTAAGCCAGTCGTCAATGGTTTGGTGCGCATAATTCTCAAACATCGATGGCATCATCACGCGAGGTCATGTTCAACTTATTGGAAACCTCATCTTCGATCAAAAGGGCAACTTTCCACACTGTTTACCCTTAGGTGGCGCAGGTGATGAGTCATCAACCCTGTACGCCTGCAGCGGCACGCAACGACAGACCTGTAGACGTCTCACGAGGGGGGGGGAATGCTTCAGAGAGACACCGTGCGCTTTATTATATAGAGAGATGATGATTACAGTTGCCCATTTTTCACTGCGGTAATTCACAAACGCACCCACAAAGCGAAACGAGATGGTGGCTACCTCACACAAATTACCTAGTTACTTACACCGATCAAACTGCATAGACAGCCTACTAGAAATCTTTTAAAATCATAGGTACCGCGGTACATAACCCCTCTCCCCACAAAATTAATTGCTATAAGTAGCTTGAAAAAGGCGCTGAAACTTACGTTGATCGAGTCCGATTTTCAAATCCAAGTTCTCGAAGGCTGAGTTGTGCAACCGCACGCACTATGGGTTACTGAAAAAACATCTTTGAGTGGGTATGCTGATTGCTTATTATGATGCGTTCTAAAGAATTACCTTTTCAGAAAGTACGTTCTGGAATTGAGCGCTAGTTACTAGTTGGGTCCCAGTAACTACAATGGAAAGTATAACATGTGAAGAGCGAGAGACTCACAATGAAAGGCAAAAGTACGATAATGATATTATACATGATAACAGAGTTTCCTCTATCATACTAAAATCTTTTTCATTAAACAAAGAAGAGGTAAAAGCAAATCAACTCTTAACAAAATATATACCTCTGGACAGTCAATAAAGCAGGCGATATAAGGCAAGGTAACAACTTTCAATGAAGAATTGAGACAGGTGCTCAAGTCAGGCATGAGCGAGCAGTTCAAAATTAGGAGAAGATTATCATTGTTTGAGGTACTTTCTTATAAGAAAAAATATTCACAAAGATTATTGATCGATAACAATATGTCAAGAAATTTTGTATGGGAAAAGGCTAAAGGGGAGCAACTTTTCAGCGTGCACCGCTTCCGTCTAGGGCACCGCCTCCCTCAGTGTCAGTTGTCTCCACGCTTCAGGTGTCATTGCTTTCTTATCAGCCCATCGCAGACCATCCTCATCACCATTCTGTAACAAAGTGACCGACGTTGCGCAGTGATGACTAGAATGGGAGCAAACGAACCACTGCAGGGACCAAGCGTCCTTCACACATGCAATAGCCACGAACATCCTCTCTAACAATAAAGTTATTCAATGCTGGAAGCACAAACCAAACATAGAAGTGAAGGCACTCACAGTGCTTTTGCTATGCACGATTTCGATATTCGGACCCAGTTAAGTTTGGCTTTCAGAAGACGTTTGAATTCGCGTTCTCGCTCCTCTTCACAATCGGCCAAGCTCAGCCAAAACCTAAACATTTTTATTATGACGACCGACGCAGAGACATCTACACAAACACATACGCGTTATCAGAACACTTCAGACCTTCAAACCTCCAACTACTGAGCTCTCGTTGACCTAGCCCCCTTGCTTCCACTATGAAATCTGAAAAAGTAAGACTAATGCAACGAATGTGATGTACAGGATCACCAATCAGTGGATGAAGGATTGTCCCCGGTAATTCTAATAGGCCTCTGTATGCCCTATGTGAGTAATACCAAATCTCTGATGGGTCGGGGTAGCATATCTGGAATGAATCATATGAAAAACTGATAACATATCATTTATTAGTGGATAATTCACCTGAGAAAAGAGCGATCGTAAGAAGCAGGTAATTTCATCGAAGGCATCCTTTGCTACTTTCGCTACCTGTACGTGATGGTGCAAAAACAAGTTCAAATTCATACTCTACAAAAAAGGCAGTCAAAATCTTTTTGCAGATGACCCCGTCATTCATACCTTGAACGGCTTGCGGAGATCCAAAACATATACTTTTTCCAAATTCTCATAATTCAGAGCCCACCGTACTTGATTAGAAACAGTGGGCGCACGGGTTTTAAAGGCTTTGATCAAGCGCACCTCATTCTGAAGCCCAGCCAATTCTTTTAGTAGCAAGTTCTTCTGAACCGTAGCTTATATAGGATCCTAAGTCTACGTTGACTGTGGTACCTGAAGCCTATGAGCGATGCGGACCCCTGCTAGGGAGCGAATAGCCTCGGCCTGGTTAGATGATGTGTTCAGTTGAGATGTTCTTGCCATATGTTGAAGGTCACTCATGTCGAATTGAATTTCGTGGAGACACTCACAGGTAATTCGCTGGAAAAACAAACTCAATTTGTTTTTAGTGAGGCACTGCTCGCATTTGTACCTCCAGATCGGTGCTACTGAGCATGCCCTTGGCGACTTGATCATATAAATTCCTTGGGAAATCGCTAACATCAATGACATTTCTAAGGCAGGTTCTCACAGTTTCTGAAGCAACTTTCTCCCGTTGTTTTGATGAGTGTTATTTGTTTCGTGAAAAAGATACCTGGTGAGTCGGGCAACGTGCTTGATGGAGTTTCGTTGCGCACTGTCTGACCCTCGTGCTGCTGCTCCTCGGGCACAAAATGCTTCTCGAGCATTATTGGCTGTTCCTTGCGCATTGGCTGCTCTTCGAATGTTACTGGGTAGTTCGAAGGTAACGGCTGTTCCTCGTACATAGGTTGCTTTTCGCGCATCGACTGCTCCTGCTCCTGTTGCGTACGCAGCTCCTCGCACATCAGTTGCTTTTCGCGCATCGGCTGACAAACCTCGTCAGCTTCCGCCATCCCAGCGCACCGTTCCTTCTTAGGTGTCCTAGTGATGAGATGAGAAAGTAGAGGAAAACGTAAGTAAATGCAAACTAACGAGTGATACACAGGTGAAAATGACGACGAACATGAAGAACGCTTTCGTTTCTGATCCTTGTGCACAGGCTTCCCTTCGTGCAATAACTGCCCCGGCTGCCTTTCCGATTGTTGTTGTAGTGCCAGCAAGCACTCGCTTCCAAACTTCTGAATGAGGATAAAATTAAGAAATTAGAGTTGAAATACATCGTTCTGTGATGAATGGGAGATAACATGAAAAGAACGGGACAAGACCTCTTTGACTTCTACGATTCTTTCCTCAGTGCATTGTTTTTTATGAAAGGGAAGTGTCTCAGCGAAGAGGTGAGGAGGTACGTGACGTTCAGATGAAGACGACGGTGATCTCAAGCGCCGTTTCGATCCCCTCTTCTTGTGATCTCCTATCACTCTTTCAGGCTCATCTCGACGAGAAGGTACATTGATGTTCTCTCGACTTGCCTCCTCCACAAGTGAAGCTGTAATATAAAAATACCCATTACCAAACTATGAAACCTACAGCCAAAATGATTGACCTAGCGAACTAGAAGATGAGTTTTCTTCCCAAAGAAAATCCGCCTTGTCAAGGAAACCGTCCTTTAGATGAAAATACTTGATAATGGTATCCTTCGACCAACCTTGTATGTTTATAGAAGGAACGCTCTAAAGTCCATATTTCTAACACTTTAACGCAACAGCCATCATGTCACGATAAATCGTAAGTTGTATATTTGCAGGCAGAATCGTACCTGTTTCGTTTCTACCGCGGCGCTCGTACTTAAAATCTCTTTTGCTTCTGCGGTGCTTGCACCTGGAAGTTCTTCTTCCTTCGTAATGGTGCTTGTACTTCTGGTGTTCCCTCCCTGACTTCCGTATCGCCGTGAGTTGCTGCAAATGAAATCTTCAAATCACTTCAGTAGAGCCAACAGCTTGGTTGGTAATAAAGTCTATTTGAGAAGCGGGCAGACTCCTCACGTTAAAGAAACTGGAAGGTGGGGTCGCGTGGGGTCAATGGCGCTGGTTGGCACGGTGCCTGCTTTGATCTTATAATCGTCCTGGAAAAGAAGCGACATTGGTAACTTGGGAAAATGTACACACTAGAAAGTAGGAAGATGGAAAAGCTAGTCCTCTTCAAAGACATTGATTTTACCTTTTGACATCGTTAATCATACACAGACAAATACCTCGACAACTTCAATCCCGTATCTTCCCATTTCTCCTTGCCGTGGTCAATCCTGATTGACTTATCAGTTGTGTATTGAGAAGAGATAGACTTATTGGAGAGGCTAGACTTATTGGAGAGGCTCGGAGAATGCAGTACGGTTTCAAAATGCAACCGCACTAAAACCTTGCACTAGAAGAAATAACGTTCGTGTAGAAAGAGGCGGAAAAATAATATTAAAAGTTGGTGATAAAAATCAAAAGGTATGAAAGTGGTAGCAAGCACGGTAATTGATAAAACTTTAAAATGTACGAGAAATCTTTTATTTGATGCACAAAACAAAACTAGAATTATCTAGAGACGATTATGTTTCAAATAATGCATCCAAACGCGTAACTGTAAGGGTTTTTCAGAGTGCCGCACTGAAGGCAGCAGACTGCAGCAGACTGCAGCTGACCGCACTGACTGCAACGGCCGCAGCGGCTGTAGCCTAATGTTGGAGATGATAAATGGTTGTGGCTCAAACAAACAGCAATCTTATATCTTACTAGTGAACCAGTAATCTAAAGGTACTTTTTGCCTCCGATACTCTACGGCAAAATCTCTGTTTCGCATTTCGCAACAACGCGGGGGGTGAAGGTCCATTCGTCAGCTTACGTAAAATAATGGGATTGTTCCCAACACAAGCAAAACACTGAACACGATTGCATACAGTAATAGGATCATTCAAACACAATTGTTCAGATAATACAACTGATTGTGTGATTACACGTATTGAGGACAAAATTAGCAGGGTAACGTTATCCCTGGCGACAAAGTTCTCAGGAGAGTCCAGTAAAGTGAACAGAATAACAAGGAGAAGCTTATGAAACAGAGCTGCTTGCGAGTCAATTATACAACGCAACTATCAACCAATCAATTCTAAACATGTACACTAAACATGTGTTGGTAGACGATGCTGACCATACGATGGGCGCCATCACTGCCCATTTTGAATGTGGACCATCTCCTAGGGGTGGAAAGCCATGCCATGTTGCACTCTGCCTGACGTCACTTAAGGGATCGTTCATACCGCGCACAAAGGCGGACGAAGCCGGACGAAGCCGGACAAAGGCGGACGAAGGCGGACGAAGCCGGACAAAGCCGGACAAAGGCGGACGAAGGCGCGGTCTCGTCTCGTCTCGTTTCTCTCGACAGCACACACACACTCACACGCGCCTTCGTCCGCCTTTGTCCGGCTTCGTCCGCCTTCGTCCGGCTTCGTCCGGCTTTCCGCCTTCGTCCGCCTTTGTGCGCGGTATGAACGATCCCTAAGTGATCCTTCCATCGTACATCCGAATCGCCTCTGTGGCTCCGCGGACCTGAAGAACCTGAAATGGAATTTTGCAATTTCGCAACACGGTTGTTGTGCCAAGCACGCGGGGCGGGGTTTCCGTGAGGCGCGTGCTTGGCACTGTTTTGACCATTCCGGTCTTTCGTCAGCTAAGGACCCTCCCACCCACCCGGAGTTGGGACCGCTGACGTCACGGGCAGAAGCCGCATGATTAGGACTTGGAGATCCTTGCAGGAATGTCAAAAATAGTCTGACGATTGGATAGCAGCGCTGTCGAGAAGAAATGGGCAAGTCGCGCTGAGCCGCTTTCCAGAAGAGAAGTCCGCCAAAGGACTCGTGATAATTCTGAGAAACGCGTGCACGCGTTATGGTATTCGTTTTACGGACTTTTACCGCTTTCATCCTCGGGGTTGAGCACTACTCTGCCATTTATGACTAAAGAGTGTAGTCCCTCGAAGGGCCGAATATTTTAGGTTTTGGATAACTGATCCGACTATGGTTTGGCATCGCGTGGCAATGCGATATACAGACAAAGGATCCCACGACGACCCGCTTTCAACGAGTTGATGCATCTGCGAGATGGGCAAATGGCGACTTTGCATAGGCACTCGTAGATGAAGCTTTTTATGCACTCCGACCATGACGTGTAGTCTATCACGCATACTTGCCACCACCGAACGCATTGATATGTTAGCGATTCCCAGTCTTCCGGTAATCCCTGTGGTTACTGAAGGAATGATTGTTCAAAAAGTTTCCATGAGTTGGGTCGTTATCATAATGTTCTGACTTGTTACTGAATATCTATGTTTGTTGGTTATGCAGTGGTATATGTATCAGTACCATGGCATATGTCGGGATGAGTCCCATCATTGTACGTAAAGCTGACGAATGGACCTTCACCGCCGCTTGTGCTGCGAAAGTGCAAAACAGAGGTTTTGCCGTAGTTTATCGGAGGCAAAAATTCTATTTTGTTGTCCCTAAGGGACCTTCTACGATTTGTAGCAGCTGAGGGCTAAGCAAGGGTGAGTGGGTGGGCCCTCAGCTGACGAAAGACCGGAATGGTCATCCAAAGGCCAAGCACGCAGCTTGGCTCAAGCTCCGCCCCCTAATGCGTGCTTGGCCAACTGCCAGAGCACGTCGCGAAATTGCAAAACTCCATATTTGGAGGAGAGTTCGCTTCGGGACCGCCACGCGGTTTCCCGCTAGTTGCATGTTTTTGAATTGAGTTAACGATTCTTTATAAATCCTTACTATAAAGCTGAATGTCTGTCTGTCTGTCTATATGTCTGTCTGTCTGTACGTATGTTCCGAATAGAAAATTCCATTTCTGAACCGATCCGGACCAAACTTGGCACACATACACATCGAGCCCCGGCGGGTGTCATAGGCCACTTTTCGTCATCGATCGATATCGATTTTATCGATTTTTTGCAAAATTTGAGCTACGGGGCTGGGAGTTGGCACAGGGGAGTAATAGAGCATGCTGTTACGAGTATAGTAATGGCAGGGCCGGGCGGAGCCGGGTAAGTCAACTAGTTCTTATATATAAAGCTGAATGTCTGTATGTGTGTATGTCTGTATGTCTGTATGTCTGTACGTATGTGCGGCATAGAAATTTTTATTTCTGAACCGATTTGGACCAAACTTGGCACACATATACTTCGGGGCAGGGAGCGTGTCATAGGCTACTTTTCGTTATCGATCAATATCGATTTTATCGATTTTTTGCAAATTTTGAGCTACGGGTCTGGGAGTTGGCACAGGGGGTAATCGAGCATGCTGATTACGAATATAATAATGACAGGCCCGGGCAGAGCCGGGTTTGCCAGCTAGTTAATCTTATCTGTAAAGCTGAATGTGTGTCTGTCTGTCTGTCTGTCTGTACGTATGTGCGGAATAGAAATTTTTATTTCTGAACCGATTTGGACCAAACTTGGCACACATACACTTCGGGGTAGGGAGCGTGTCATAGGCTACTTTTTGTATCGATCGATATCGATTTTATCGATTTTTATCAATTTTTTTGCAGAGTTCACCTACGGGGCTGGGAGCTGGCACAGGGGGTGAGCATGGGGATTCCGAATACAGTATTGGTTTTCAGAATTATCGATTACATACTTTTATCGATTTCATTGATTTTTTGCAAAGTTTGAGCTACAGGGCTGGGGGTAGGCGCAGGGGGATAATCGAGTATGCTGATTACGAATACAATATTAGTTTTCGGTACCTATTACTTTCATCGATTATATCGATTCACTCGAAATCTGAGCTGAAGGGCTGGAAGTTGACGCAGGGGGTATGTGGGCATGCTGATTTCGAAAACAACACAGGGAATGGGAAATGAAGTGTGGAAGTGGATATACAGGAAAAGGCTGTACAGTATACTTTGGACCGAATCGATCAAATATTCGAGTATTCGAATAAGTATTCGAATAAATTTTATTCGAAATTCGATTATTCTAAAACTCCAAAATCTCGAATATATTCGATATTCGCTTATTCGAAATTTGCCACTTTCGAATTTATTCGATTATTCGGTTATTCGAAAAATTTGATTTTCCAAAATATTCGATATTCGGTTATTCGACATTTTTATTTTTCGAATATATTCGGTTATTCGATTATTCGAAAAAATCTCGAATATTCCAAAGTATACTGTACAGGGATAGGGACCTTTATTACAGTGTTCTGACAGAACCGAGCGGAGCCGGGTAAGCAAGCTAGTATATACCTAAAAGCAAAAGAAAACACGGCCTAGAATATTGCAAAATAGGTATACGTAATGATAGGAGGAATTAGAACAAATACGAACATACCAAAGAAAAGCTAACAAGGAGAAGATACTTAGTCGAAAGCACCAATCCGGATGATACATATATCATCTTGAAGCGCTTGAAACTCTTACTCCAAATCTGTAATTTCTAGCAGCGGAGCAGTTTTATAGAGGGAGTTATGAGGGTTGTTACCCTCTGGTGCTGAGGCGCCCTCCAGCAAGTCTTCCTTTACCTATGAGCATTGTAGAGGAGTACCAACTGCTGGCAAGTGGCCTAGTGCAGTGGCGTACCCAGGATTTCGGCTCGGGGGGGGGGGGGCGCGACAAAAATTTTTTTCTAAAGAAGGTGCGTGGCGTTAGCCACGCACTCCGAAAAATTTTTTCAAGTGCTTCTAAGAACTTTTGCGGGTCCCCGACCCCTAAAATCTGGAAAAAAGGGGCGTGGCGTCAGCCACGCTCCCGAAAAAAAATTTTTTACAAGGCTAATTAGAATTTTTAAAAATTTTTAAAAATTATTTTATTTATTTACAAAAATAAACAAGTCACTTGCACATTTTTATAACCCATATAAGTAACTTTCAAAAATTTCGCGACCCATTCTCGGGGGGGGGGGGCGCGCGCCCCCCCCCGCCCCCCCCCCCCTCGGTACGCCACTGGCCTAGTGATATGTGATTTTGCTTGATAAGAAAAGCATCAAGGTTTCAATCCCCTTCGCATGCAACTTTGTCGCACTTTTTGCAGAATTGAGCTTTTAAATAGCTTCAGAGCCCTAAAGCTTGGAATTTTTTATTATACTGATGCTAATCGAGGTTTGAAGTGTCAAAACCAAAATAATACGAGTATTATGAAGCGTATGGTAATCTTCACTCAAATTACTTACCACTAGGCCAGTTGCCACCAGATGGTACTCTTCTACAGTGCTCATAGATAAGGGGAGACCTGCTGAAGGGCGCCTCAGCCCCAGAGGGAAAACCCCTCATAACTCCCACAAAACCGCTCCGCTGCTGGAAATTACAGATTTGGAATCACCGTTTCAAGCGCTTCAAGACGATAAATGTCCCATCCGGATTGGTGCTTTCGACTAACAAAGGAAGAATACTAACTTAGATTCTTCTTCTGAAATGAGACACATATTTTTGGAATCAGCTTAAAGGCAGCGTCCAGGCAGATCTGGACCTATGGGGCTTTTAGGTGGGAAGTACTTTTGGGGCCCTAACTAAGGCACTGCCCAAGCGGCAGCTCAGGTAGTGCTCTAATGGCTGAGTATTTCCCTCGAAACTGGCCCCCGCGACCGTATTTCGCATGGATTCATGGCAGTTTCGCGCCAGGATCCACGCTTTGCGCCATGTATCCATGCGAAACACGGTCGCGAGGTCCAGTTTCGAGGGGAATATCTCAGCCATTAGAGCACTACCTGAGCTGCCGCTTGGGCAGTGCCTTAGTTAGCGCCCCAAAAGTGCTTTCCACGTAAAAGCCCCATAGGTGCAGGTCTGCCTGGACGCTCCTTTAAAACGCTGATTTTAAATATGCTATTTCTAGCTGCTTAGCATTATTCTAAAGCAAGTTGTGGTCTCTTTTCTATGCAAAGTTTGCGTGCTTCTTGACCTACAGATGCTACGATGTCGACGTCTAGGTGGTTTTATAATTGTATAATGCTACCTTTCAAGGTCGAAAGAATTAATGTGATGCTAATTTAACATCCTAGCACTTTTTTCGAGCAGATTCTTATCTACACGCCGCCTTACGACATTCAGAAGTTTGTTAATTACTCACAACACCAAGCCCATAACTCGCTCCGGAATAATGCTAAGCAGCTGGAGGCAGCATATTTGGAATCAGCGTTCAAAGCTGATTCCAAACATATGTGTCTCATCTCAAGAGGCGAATCTAAGTTAGTATCCTTCCCTTGTAAGTATCCTCTCCTTGTAAGTAAAACCAAAATGACAGAAGAATTGTGGTGGAACTTATGAGCTTCTTAGGCGTAAATCACGCTGTTTTGATGTCGCGGTTTTTTCTTATAAAAAGATGCAACGACCGGTGCGGTCAGTGCGGTCAGCTGCACAGCTGCAGTTTGCTGCGGTCAGTGTGGCAGTCTGAAACGATCCTAGAAGCGGTGCACACGCGCCGCTCCTCGTGGAATCTTCCGTCTAATCCAAATGAACTCGACTGTACACTTCAAATGGTGCCCGCAGCCCAAAGCATGCTGATTCCTCAAGCTGTCGTACTTAAAATTGCAGCCACGAGAGAGGGCGCACAGCCATTGCAGGAACAACATAAACAAAAGGTTCCATCCTCGTGTGCTCTAACCTTCATGAGTAGAAGATTTGTCTGAAGTGTCAATATAATCAAGAATTCAGCTGTTGAAACTTGCCTGAACTTATTGTACGATGGCCTCTCCCAGGAGTAGCCGCATTGTCTCAGCTTGGTAGAAACATAAGCCTAGATGCAATTTTTTGCGCTTTGCACTGCCCTTTCAATGCCTCGAAGATCGAAACGTTTTCTGCGTATAACAATGATGTAAAATTTCCTGAAAGCTAAAATCTTTCCGATAAATAATGTACCCTAAATCTACGCCTATAAGACGCACCTTTTTCGATTTTTCAAACGAGCCGCTCAGGCGCTCCACTGCATTTCTTAAATCCTTATGCCGCACGATTTTCTCAAGCATTATACAGCACTAAGGAGGGTCCAATGGTTGCGGAGTCTTTTGGCGTATCTGGCTGGTCGATTTTGGTGAAAAACTCCCGCGGCTTGAACGCGTAAGATTATGGCAATGATGAGCATCCAGAGAGACTGTATTCAGTGATGATCCCCTCGAGGAAGACGTATGATTTCAGCGACATGTGGTAACCATATGTAATGGGAAAATCATCATTTCCGAGGAAATATTTGATGCATCAAGATACAAATTATCCTGCTGATGGCAGCAAGGTGCAGCCGCACTAAATCCTACTCAAAAAAAATGTTAAGTTTGAAAAGCAGGAAAGACAGTGGCAAAAACAAAGATGAAAACTTATAAGTAACTGCTAACAAAAAAAATACCGTCTCTGAGGAAACTTTCGGAAGCTGCGCTGCAGTTCTTTCATCCTGTTAATGACGGCAAAGTGCAACCGCACTAAAATCGTACACTGAAAATAATGTTAACGTTGAGATGCAGCAGAAGACAGCAATAAAAATGAGGAAATTTCATATCTGACTGCATATCAGAAAAATTACCTTCCTGGAACTTTCCACAGTTGCGCTAAGTTCATCTTATCCTATTCACGGCGGCAGAGTGCATTGAAATCTCACACTGAAAAAAACATTGACGTGGACAGGTAGGGGAAAACAGTAATAAAAAACCAAGTTAAAATCTCATATCTAATTGCTTATCAGAAGAATTACCTTCTCGGACAAATCGTTCGTAGTTGAGTTCAAATTTATCATCTCCTTGAGGTGACAATGTGCAACCGCACCAAAATTCCACACTGAAAAAATAGTACATATGAAATGAGAGGAAACGTGTCACAAAAGGTGAAGTTATAATGATACTAAACGTTTTCAAAAACAAATTCTCAATATCGCATGAAAATCTTTTATAACTAGATATTTTTCACAAACAGCAACCAAATAAATGTAGTAAAACGAGATCTTCTAAAGGCAGTGATATAGGTATTCTTCACGAACCGATGCAGCCAAACATAAAGTGGTTCAAAAGTTCGTGCCGTTTTTTTGACCTATCCTTAAACATTCAGAGAACCGATAGACAAGCATTCTAAGCATTGTCCTATGCAGAATCTTGATCTCTTTCCAGCTCTACGTACCCTAATTTCAGCTAGTTTTTGTACTTTTCGTTTTGGACTTTTGAAAACGCTTTGATGGCAGTTAACAGAATAGACAAATTGCAATGTAACACAATTTTTGGCATCAACAGCTAGCTCTTCAAATTTTCTAAAAGTATCATTTTGATGCTACCAAATTAGATATTTATCCATCCCAAACTTCGTAAAACATCAGACGGCAAACAGCTAGGGTGTCATTCAGTGCACCTTCACCTTCTCTTTTTATTAGATGTTTTTTACTGATTTGTAGTCCTCGAGTTAAATATAATTTTGATTACTTGATGAGTGTCAAGCTGCACTAGAAAATTTCAAAAATTAATATTTCGAGGTAGAGACTCACTAGTTTGATGGAATTAGTTTCAAACATAATCCATTTTTAAAGTCTCAATTTGCTAGGATTTCATAGTGTTTGGAGCGTTTGTATGTTGTACGTCTGTGAGTGCCGTTTGCCGTTTGTGCCGTTTTTTTTAAAACGGCACGAACTTTCGGACCATCTAATAAATGCAATGAATTCCAATGATAATTCCAATGAGATATTCCAAAAATGCAATAACGAAGATATTCTTCAGAGATCGATGCAGCTAAATAAGTACAATAATTGAAACATGCAAGAAGGGTGGTGAGCAAGAAAAACGATAGCGTTGGATATCGCTAACCAGCGTATTTTTTACCCTCATTTTCGTCCATTCAAATGCAAGAATTCAAGGCATAATCTCCTACGCTTTCATCTAGATCGAAAAGTTGAATCAATTTTGCTTGTTTGATCATGTGGTGTAAATGTACGTTGAGACAACAAGATAGGCTCGAAATTTAAACTATAAGCATTTCGCGGTTTTCCTTGCGATTTCATCAGAAAGAGTGGGCTTATCATCGGCCTTCGTGCAATATTCATTGAGTAAAGAAATTATCACAACACTGCTCATTTTCAATGAACCTAAAATCCGTGATTCGTAGAGCAAATAGTGCATCGCCATGCGATGGAAACAGCGGCTGTCAATTGTTATCGCTACTCTTGCACCACACCCATGGGAACCATCTTCGACTTTAGAGAAGAAAAAAAAGAGACTTCATCTAGAGGGAACAATTCAAAAAAGACAACAGTCAATGGAGATAAATATTCTTGTAAGACGAGTTCTTACGAATTCTGCAAAGCTTGTTCTCTCTCTTCTGATGACATTTCCGCCGTTTGTTGACGAGAAAGTCCCGTCTCAAGGGTTGCTTTGTATTTCTAAGAGTGAGCATTGATGTTTCAAGATAATGCAGTGAAAAATCACCTTGGGAGCGACTAGCTGGCCGTCGTGCATGCGGTAGGAACGGATGTCCTCTCTGTAAACAAACGCCAAAATTACGTCATCAAAACAATAAACTGGGATCAGTGGCGGACAGAAGGGAAAGGGCGAAATTTTTGAAATTTGATTACATGTTATAAAAATGTGGAACTGACTCCCCCCATTTCTAAGGTAGGGGTTATGTACTCGCAGAAATTTCGAAAAGCACTCCAAAAATCTTTCTGAAAGAATGTTTTTCACCTTGATTTAGAAAAAATTCCCCTTCTTGGAAGGAAGTCCTGCGACAGCCACTGTTTGAGACAAATATATAACTTAACTTACAGGGATCGCGTCATACAAGTTTTACAGTTGTCAAACCAGGTCGTCTTCGCCCTTAAGAGTTGCTTGAAGCGTGTTTCTCTATTCTCTTCGGTGTCGCCAAGGGCCAACCAGAACCTGTACAGGTGACAGTGGGTAACTCAAAAAGTCTAATCTAAACAGGAAAGGTATATAAGTCGCAGTGCAACTTGCCTATGAGAAGTAAATCAGTCGAAAGGTCTTTGAGGGTCTTTGAGCAAAAAAACCCTCTATATATGCTTGCTATGCGATCATATACTTTCCTTATAAGCATATTGATGCGAACCTTTCCCGGGAATTTCTCAGGCTTGCAAGTTTTCCACTGTAAATATAAGGATGGGATAGGCCTACGGCATCAATTATGAACTCTAAAAAAAATTCGTTAAATACTAACATAAGACAATTTTTAGGAAAAAAGCGTCACCTGTGATGGTGTGACTGATGCCTTCCGGCAAATTAATCAACCTCTTATCTGCTCGGGGAGAATTTGCGGCACGGTAGGTGTAATCCCATATTTCGTATGGCGGATCACAAATCTAAAAGTAATCATGAAAAGACTGACGCAATCTTGTTCACTCACACACCTCTTTGAAGATGTTTCGCAGAAAATCCGTGACTTCTTTGTCTGCGCGATCCTCCAATCGTTTCGGAGCAGTGTAGTGATAGAGGGCTTCATTTAAATTCACCTCCTTGATAAGAAAGAAATTGATTCACTTTCCTCTCCCCCCCCCCCTTTCTGCACACCTTAAATGGTTTCTGATAGCTCAATATATGATTTCGGGTAAGATTTTCGTATTTGAACTTTTGTACACCTATCATAGGCGAAGATCTATCTTGAGAACGACGCAGACGACTGATTTCCTCCTTAAGTTCCAGAATAATCGTGAGCAGGAAGTTTGTCTGAAAGTGTTAATACTAGTCTAGAATTCCAGCTATTGAGACTTCCCTGGACTCGATCGGCTACGTCATTTTCCGCAAATAGCCGCAATGATTCAGCGCGGTCATAAATTGTGCCATGGCGCGATCTTTCTGCGCTTTGCACCGAGCGCATGACGTCTCGGAAATCAAAATACTTTACTGCGCTTGAACAATGATGTAAAACTTGCTGAAAGTTCCGAGATCTTTTTAGAAAGTAGTGGTGTAACGGTGTACCTCTACAGAAGCCCGATTTAACGTCGACGATTCCTTCGAGAAAAAAGCATACAGCACTGAAGCGAAGTCGGAAGTTCCCTCAGGCTTTCCAAGGGATTCTTTAATAGCTTCTAAAAAGAATACTACTCTATACCCGCTGCATACAGCGCTTCCTAGCCTCAGTTTCACTAACCTATAGGACCGCTAGTGTTCGTCAAGCGTTCGACCCTCGGCTGTTCGCGATTGTTGGGAGTCATTACCTCAGGAGCTCAAACCACCAACTACAGCAATGACCTTGAAGCAAAATTTAACTTACTTGTCGTGTAGTGCGATTCCATGCTCGTCTCCGGCGATAGGTTTCCCGATACTTCCCCTGCATACGAACTTGATAAAGCCGGGATCTCAGACGTCTCATCCTCTGCATAATCCTACAGAATCACTTACATCAACTATAAATCAAACCTTTTTCAGCTTTTCTTTTCAATCTTCTTCAGCCCCGATTGAAAAACAATTAAACTCACCAGATCTTGGAGACTAAAAGGGCTTAGTTCCGCGTATGTATACGATTTTAGTCCGGATGTTGATGGTTGCGAAGTGGCAGCGCCAGCAATATTCTCGTTGCCTGGATCTGAAAATCACAAACTTCAAATTAGATTCCCTATTCGAAAATCTGAAAAGGTAGTGCTCACTTTGTGACATTCTCCTATACTTCGGCAGTTTTCAAGAGACCGGCTCGCCTGCACTGCGTTTCCTAGCCAGTAAACAAACTTCATGAGAAATATAAAGGCAGGAAAGATAAAGGCATGAGAGGATATCCTCTTCCCTTTAACATGAGAGATATAAACAGCACTTTATTCACATCTAAGATTTACGAAAACATATACGAATTAAATTTTCAACGCAAACATTCGAGATCTCATTTCCACAAATACAGCTGGTCTAATAATATCCGTAACGTTAATCCATTTTATGCCTGCGAAGGACAATTCATGAAAATGAGAATTTTTTTGGGAGATGAGATGCATGAGATTTGAAGCAGTATCACTGTTCGGACGGGAGTGCAAAGTTTCTACAAGATCAAGAAAGGGATTTGAGGATGTGTAATGTTGGATAAGAGCAAATGAACTTCGCGTACATTCATGAAAACTAATCAAGACTAGTTTCCCGTATGAGTAGATCTGTGTAACGCCATCTTCCGTAGCTCTTATGCAAAAAGAAGAAGTATCCGTATCGCACATTCTCTGCCAGTATGTATTCGAGCAAAAAACCTTTCCATTTACGACAACACGTGAACTAAAAAACACGGTTTTTGCATATCCGCTCATTATTATTGCAAATCAAAGCTTTTGCAGAACAAACGCACTACAATTTAACACTGCTCATCCCTCTATGGTGTTGGTAGAACATGATCCGATGGTCTTCTGTTAAAGTGTTTATGGCCACTTCGCTGTTGTCGGGTACATAATAGCCGGCCGCCAGTTGCACCTTCAGGGGGAATCTTAACGGAGAGATTCACTCAAAACAAATAAAAGGATATTTTTGCCTACACACGATGACAATTTTCGCTCGCCTTTTCGCTTCATTTTTCATAGCGCCTAATAAACTTTCGAATCTTCCAGAATGGTTTCTCAGAAATGCTTCTTCCATGAGCACCGCAAGCTTTTTCATTTGGACAAATCTGTATTCACTAACATTCAAAATTTACCTATTGAAATTACTTCGTACCTATTAAGAATTCTGTCATTGGAGTTCGATACATACTGATTATGGGGAACTTGCAGAATGCGGTGAATAGATTCGAATGGGGCTGCGCTCCATACATAAGGACTGCCGTATAGTTCAACTTCTTCGAGAACGCAATGGTCAAATAGATTCTGGAAGTGCCTAATTTCTCAATCCCTTGCAGACCTCCAAAAACCCACATGTGCTTTTAACGTAAACATGCTGTCTGACATTTCATGCCAGAGTTGCTTGACAAGACACATAGCAGTTTGTACGAACTCGATATTCACGGTGGTAAGATCTTCTACAGCTTGCAGTTCCTTTATGCAATACCAGTACCCGACGAGGGATGCAGTGCATAATGGAGATGGACAGAGAGCGGCGGCTCCGACTAGAGGGAAGATGATATTTGCCAGCTACAAAACGCCACGTTATACTTCAGACAACGGTTGAGACATATCAGGAGGATCTTATACCATCTCAACCTCTGCTCCAGTCATAGACGGCAGGTCCTCGAACCCAAGGATGAACTTCGGACTATAGGTATAATTTCTTACACCCGCTAATACCCCGCGCAGTTCCGCAATCGTTTCTCGTGCCAGTCTCATACCGTCGAGCTTTGATGATCGAGACAGCAAATCTAAGAGACAGTCGGTCGTTGTAAAGCGTTACAGTTGTAATGGCCGAGAACAAACCTCGCAAGCGGTCCTGGGTAACTCCTTCACTAATCACGTGGAGAGCGTCGGCGCAGCACATTGCAGGCGTGAACAAGGTCATTGCCGAAGTTCTCCCTTAAAAAACAATAGCTTCGACACAATTAAGCGCACTTAAAGACAGTGTCCGGGCAAAAACTCGATTTTGAGATTTTGTGCTTACTTGGGCCTATTCGCTACGCTGAATCCGAAAATACACATTGTAGAGCGCGAAAATGGCGAAAAACGGCTCTAATACAGGAAGGAGATGAGCAGGTGGGCGGGGTCCTCCCCACTGCGAATTTACGTTCCCGGCTTCCGGAGGGACCTTCTCGCTTCCGGTTTCAAGTCAATCATTCGCATTTGGCCGGTAGCGATGTCAGGCCGGCTAACGGATTCGAGAAAATCGCTCCGGGAGCTGGGAGCGTGAAATCGCATTGGGGAAAGCCCCGCCCACCTGCTGATTTCCCTCCCGTGTTAGAGCCGTTTTTCGCCGTTTTCGCGCTTATGAATGTGCATTTTCGAATTCAGCATAGCGGATAAGCCCAGGTAAGCACAAAGTCTCAAAATCGAGTTTTTCCCGGACACTGCCTTTAAAGGCAGTGTCGGGGCAAAAACTCGATTTTGAGATTTTGTGCTTATACGGGCCCATTCGCTATGCTGAATCCGAAAATCCACATTAGAAAGCGCGAAGGCGAAAAAGAACTCTAACGCAGGAGGGAAACCAAAGGTGGGCGGGTTCTTCCTCACTGCGGATTCACGCTCCAAGCTTCCGGAGCGATCTTCTCGGTCCCGATTTCAAGTCATGCGTTTGCACCTGGTCTGTGGAGGGAGATCTAGAGGGCTAGCGGAGTTGAGAAAATCGCTTCAGAAGCCGGGACCGCGAAATTCACAGTGGGGAAGACCCCGCCCAGTTCTGATTTCCCTCCTGCGTTAGAGCCCTTTTCCGCCGTTTTCGCGCTCTCCAATGCGCATTTTCGGATTCAGCGTAGCGAGTAGGCCCGGGTAATCACAAAATCTAAAAATCGAGTTTTTGCCCGGACACTGCCAATAATTGTTGATTTTGAGATTGAAATTCTTCGGTTCCCCTGGATGAGTTAGAGGCAGCAGCTCTGCAGAATTTCGTTTTCCAGTTCTTCACCTTTTCGGAGCCTTCTCGCCATGAGGCACCCATATTTGGGCTTTTTAGCGCAAGAAAATGGCAAAAATGCGCTTTTCGGAGGCTTTTTAGGACCGCATTCAGGGTAGAAGTGGGCGGGGCCCGGAACGAAAAAAACCGACCCCTGTTGAGTCCATTTGCCCTGCGCTCTGCATCACGCAGTATGTTTTCCGATGTTCTCTTAAGGCAATCCTGCGGATTTGCACAATACCAGTTGAGGGCTCTTGTTCCCGCTTGCCTGTTGCCACGATATAGACACTTGTGACAGCCATAGTAAGAGTTCCAGCATGGAATTCCAAAAATATCCTTTAAGCCCTGCGCTAGTTCAAATACAGCAATTATTGCAGACAAAACATTACGACTGACCAGTACCTGATAGTCCACAACACCATGTACCAAACGGAGGCTGACAGTCCACATATCCCCATTTCTATCACGCACTCGAAGGAATTCGTTGGCGTTCAAAATAGACAGCTCCGCCACCAAATGATTCCAAAGTCCCTCCCATAAGATCTCGGTAGGGGTTTTTGTTGTTCGCAAAATCCCAGCCAGGACTATATTCGAGTAGTTATTCCCGATTTTCTGGGGGAAATCATCAACTCGTATGTATAACGGCCACAGCTCTTGCCTAAATATTTGAAAACGCTCAACGGGTGGTGGAAATTCTCAAAGATGGGAAAAAGAATGAGAACACACTTGTTCAATCGAGAAGGTGTAAATCCGTCGGTAGCTAGCGTTAATTGAACGGTAATTTTGTGCATGTGAAAGTCAGAGGAAGACTCACAATTTCTCTTGAATTCAGGATAATCAGCAGGCTGTGAACGCCAACCATGGTCAATCTTAACAAGGACATTCACTTACTCAAATTTAAGAATGCAAAAGGGCTACTTGATCCTCGTGTAAGCGTCGGTGAATGCTGAGGAGTAGGGACAAGTGTTTTGTGAGGACTGTCTCAATCTGTGGGCGAACATCAAGCAATGAAAGCGTTGCTCTCCTTTGTAAATTTGATCGCTTAGGATGTTTCCTGAAGTTATTGGCTAAACACACCTGCTCATATGGTTCGTTCAAAGTTCCTGTCCTACCCTCTTAACTCGCACTGCGGATTATCACAAAGTGATCGCTGCTCGATCAGTGAGTGGTGACAAGAGTTACAGAAGAAGTAACTTCTCGTGTTCAAATCACCTGTCAGCTCTTCGAGAAAGCTCCTAATCTCTAGCGCACTCTGCAATATTATTTAGTTGTTCGACTACTTATTTTAGAACTCATCAGCTTATTACTATGTCTGATGTCCTTTCCGAAACCACTTCAATCAACAATATCAATCTTTTCAGTTCCTCGAAGGTGGTGGCATGGATCACTGTATAGCACGCAAAAAAGAGGAGCTTGTCCTGCCGCCCTCAAAACGAAAGCAATTTTTGAAAATAGTCAGGTTAAATAAGGGGTCTTTGCTTACCATAGAGTAGGCGAATCACTGCAACAACTGATCTGAGGACAAACTTCTATTCCAAAGCATTGTTTTTTGTATCCTTTTGTTATCAAAACCGTACGGGTACATAGGCGATTCAGAACATGCAGAGACTGTGGACGTAACAGTGTCCTTCTGATCGAGCGCTGCTGTCTCTGCCGTCCAGGAAACTATCTTAGCCGGACACGACGGCGCCCGGTCTTCGTGTCATGAATTGCTATAGAAGATAGGCCGTGCTCCGCCTACAATATGGCAAGCGGGCAGACCATACCTAATTCAACGATAGGCTCCACTCTAATTCCGTTGGGATTAGGCTCCCCACCAGCATTCTCTTGGATGGCGACTAAGTCCGGTCCAGCACCAGCGTCATCAGGATTAGGTGGTGCCATAGCACCAGCCTCATTAGGATTAAGTTGTGCCATAGCACCAGCCTCATTAGGATTGGGTGGTACCATGTAAGGTTCATTAACCTGATCTGGATCCGGAGCAGGATTCATTCCGTTCTTGAAATATTCTCCTCGAGTTATACGCACAAGAGTTTACTCCGATAAGTTCCAAGTGATCGAAGCGATACACCTACCGGAATGTATTGCAACGCTGCTGGTTGATCCATGAATATAGCATCGAGATTGCGCTGGAGCTGATATAGTCTTCGTCTATGATCCCGCTGCACATGCGAGTTCAATAACCGATCCAGCGCAAATAGATTCAGCCGACCCAGCGCATCCATTTTCAGTTATAACTAGGAGTGGGAAAAATCAATAAAATAATAAACCGCCTAATCATGATTATTAAAACTTATCCTTGACTTAACAAGATACGTACTCGCCACTCACACTGGTGACAACTCACCCAATAACAATGAAAATGATATTGACCTGATAAAAAACAGCAAGTTTTAGAAGAATGCAACCGCACAAGGTGATGGTTGGAGTACTGACACTCTGAAGTCGCAGACCTCTAAAAAGCAGTCAAATCAAAACAGATGCCTATACCTAAGGTTTTCACCAATTTCACCTTTCTCTTCTTTGAAGTACTGCAATTCTTGAGGCAGTGCGTAACTTTCCAACTGAGATTTGAGATTAGCAGTCGCTAATGTTTACCCTGGAATAAGAATTCATCTATCATTGCTGGCACTTCTCGATTAACATCATCTAAGACAGGCACTACTATCATCATAAGCCACAGCTCGGTGCATCTGCACCGGTACATAAAGACAAAGTTGTTGACATCCGAATCGCGACCACGAAGGGGGGGGGAGGGTTTCTTACATGCATGAGTCATCTCTAGCGCTTTATTATAGAGAGACTCCTCCGATAACGCGAAGGCCTCAGCGGATGCGGCATTGCGCCACGTGAGAGATCCATGCGAGTCGGTTCGCAGGAACCTGAGACACGTTAACCGTGACACTCAGATTGAAAGCCCCTGTACCTTGATATAGTCCGGAGAATTAAGGCTGCTTTATAAGGTGGGAAAGTGCAACCGCACGCGCCAGCAATGCTGAAAAAAAACACTTTCCAGTGAATGGTAATCTCATCTCTAATCGTATATGAAAAGATTACCTCCTCAGACGAAACGGTCTGAAATTGAAAAGAAGTTCACGCCAGCTTTATGGTGGTGAAGCGCAGCCGCGCTGGATCTTACACTGGAAGAAAACTTTGTAAAAACTAAAAGGCAGAGTCAGTATAAAAGGCAAGGGTCGAAAATGATACAGGCAAACGTAAGTAAACGGCATGTAAGGCAAATGTATAAAGATGATATTAAACATAGCTGATTATACATAACGTTCTGACACGTAAATAAATCCTTCATTACGACCAATAAAACTAGATCAGACCTACTTAACGATAGAAAATGAGAAAAAGTAGTCAGAAAAACTATTAGAACTAGAGTATATCAGGTGATTACTTCAATAATGTGAAAAAAAGGACATTACAAAACATGGTCCTCCGAGAAATAGTTGAGAGAGATAAGTATGTATCTATGTGATTAAAATGCATAGTGGAAACGGTCACAGGGCATTCGTTGTGGGACCTGTCGCATTTTCGGAGCATCGTGCGTATTTACGACTCTTTCAACATTAAGCTTGAAATTCTCAGATTTACAAACTAAAATTCCGAGATTGAAATAAATTGTTTGAAATATGTACTTGCCCGTACTTGCATCTATTCGCACCTCTTTGAATCTTCTATCTACCTCACTAGACAAAGCATTCTTTTTAATGGTGCTCTTTCATCCATTTCAAACTGATTTCTCATGGCTAACTCTGTCTTTTTTCATCCTTCGTCTCATTTTTTGTTGTAAACTTGCTCTGGATCGCTAATATGAAATTATCGAGGGATATCAACGGCATAATTCGGATTTGTTAACAGTGCGATGGAAGTAGTACCTGAATTCGAAACAAATGCCCTGATTCAGTCGAGTAGCCGACAGGTGATGGTTTCTGGGAATAGTGGAATATTCAAATTACTGCATGCGGCCCTGAGATCAAACTCTGCTAAAACAATATAGAATGAGTATGATGCAGGGCGAACACTCAGCAAAAATTGCAAAAAACGTCCACTGATCCGGCAACCAGTAGGAGAAGGGATAAGGATAGGATATCCTGCAGTTCTTTCATCCTGTTAATGACGGCAAAGTGCAACCGCACTAAAATCGTACACTGAAAATAATGCTAACGTTGAGATGCAGCAGAAGACAGCAATAAAAATGAGGAAATTTCATATCTGACTGCATATCAGAAGAATTACCTTCCTGGAACTTTCCACAGTTGCGCTAAGTTCATCTTATCCTATTCACGGCGGCAGAGTGCATTGAAATCCCACACTGAAAAAAACATTGACTTGGACAGGTAGGGGAAAACAGTGATAAAAAAACCAAGTTAAAATCTCATATCTAATTGCTTATCAGAAGAATTACCTTCTCGGACAAATCTTTCGTAGTTGAGTTCAAATTTATCATCTCCTTGAGGTGACAATGTGCAACCGCACCAAAATTCCACACTGGAAAAATAGTATATATGAAATGAGAGGAAACGTGTCACAAAAGGTGAAGTTATAATGATACTAAACGTTTTCAAAAACAAATTCTCAATATCGCATGAAAATCCTTTATAACAAGATATTTTTCGCAAACAGCAACCAAATAAATGTACTAAAACGAGATCTTCTAAAGGCAGTGATATAGGTATTCTTCACGAATCGATGCAGCCAAACATAAAGTGGTTCAAAAGTTCGTGCCGTTTTTTGACCTATCCTTAAACATTCAGAGAACCGATAGACAAGCATTCTAAGCATTGTCCTATGCAGAATCTCGATCTCTTTCCAGCTCTACGTACCCTAACTTCAGCTAGTTTTTGTACTTTTCGTTTTGGACTTTTGAAAACGCTTTGATGGCAGTTGACAGAATAGACAAATTGCAATGTAACACATTTGGCATCAACAGCTAGCTATTCAAATTTTCTAAAAGTATCATTTTGATGCTACCAAATTAGATATTTATCCATCCCAAACTTCGTAAAACATCAGACGGCAAACAGCTAGGGTGTCATTCAATGCACCATCACCTTCTCTTTTTATTAGATGTTTTTTACTGATTTGTAGTCCTCGAGTTAAATATAATTTTGATTACTTGATGAGTGTCAAGCTGCACTCGAAAATTTCAAAAATTAATATTTCGAGGTAGAGATTCACTAGTTTGATGGAATTAGTGTTCAAACATAATCCATTTTAAAGTCCCAATTTGCTAGGATTTCATAGTGTTTGGATACAAACGCTATGAAAAACGGCACGAACTTTCGGACCATCTAATAAATGCAATGAATTCCAATGATAATTCCAATGAGATATTCCAAAAATGCAATAACGAAAATATTCTTCAGAGATCGATGCAGCTAAATAAGTACAATAATTGAAACATGCAAGAAGGGTGGTGAGCAAGAAAAACGATAGCGTTGGATATCGCTAACCAGCGTATTTTTTACCCTCATTTTCGTCCATTCAAATGCAAGAAATCAAGGCATAATCTCCTACGCTTTCATCTAGATCGAAAAGTTGAATCAATTTTGCTTGTTTGATCATGTGGTGTAAATGTACGTTGAGACAACAAGATAGGCTCGAAATTTAAACTATAAGCATTTCGCGGTTTTCCTTGCGATTTCATCAGAAAGAGTGGGCTTATCATCGGCCTTCGTGCAATATTCATTGAGTAAAGAAATTATCACAACACTGCTCATTTTCAATGAACCTAAAATCCGTGATTCGTAGAGCAAATAGTGCATCGCCATGCGATGGAAACAGCGGCTGTCAATTGTTATCGCTACTCTTGCACCACACCCATGGGAACCATCTTCGACTTTAGAGAAGAAAAAAAAGAGACTTCATCTAGAGGGAACAATTCAAAAAAGACAACAGTCAATGGAGATAAATATCCTTGTAAGACGAGTTCTTACGAATTCTGCAAAGCTTGTTCTCTCTCTTCTGATGACATTTCCGCCGTTTGTTGACGAGAAAGTCCCGTCTCAAGGGTTGCTTTGTATTTCTAAGAGTGAGCATTGATGTTTCAAGATAATGCAGTGAAAAATTACCTTGGGAGCGACTAGCTGGCCGTCGTGCATGCGGTAGGAACGGATGTCCTCTCTGTAAACAAACGCCAAAATTACGTCATCAAAACAATAAACTGGGATCAGTGGCGGACAGAAGGGAAAGGGCGAAATTTTTGAAATTTGATTACATGTTATAAAAATGTGGAACTGACTCCCCCCATTTCTAAGTTAGGGGTTATGTACTCGCAGAAATTTCGAAAAGCACTCCAAAAATCTTTCTGAAAGAATGTTTTTCACCTTGATTTAGAAAAAATTCCCCTTCTTGGAAGGAAGTCCTGCGACAGCCACTGTTTGAGACAAATATATAACTTAACTTACAGGGATCGCGTCATACAAGTTTTACAGTTGTCAAACCAGGTCGTCTTCGCCCTTAAGAGTTGCTTGAAGCGTGTTTCTCTATTCTCTTCGGTGTCGCCAAGGGCCAACCAGAACCTGTACAGGTGACAGTGGGTAACTCAAAAAGTCTAATCTAAACAGGAAAGGTATATAAGTCGCAGTGCAGCTTGCCTATGAGAAGTAAATCAGTCGAAAGGTCTTTGAGCGTCTTTGAGCAAAAAACCCTCTATATATGCTTGCTATGCGATCATATACTTTCCTTGTAAGCATACTGATGCGAACCTTTCCTGGGAATTTCTCAGGCTTGCAAGTTTTCCACTGTAAATATAGGGATGGGATAGGCCTACGGCATCAATTATGAACTCTGAAAAAATTCGTTAAATACTAACAAGGGGACGGTGTCGAGTCGAAGTGGCCTTTCCAGATGAGACCCATACTGCTTTGAAGAGCATGAAGCGGTGATTCCAAATCTGCCTTCCAAATCTGCCAAGCGCCTCTGGACGCCGAGTTATGACCGTTCTTCGGAACGAAAAATGAATGCAGAATTTAGGTAAAATTGATTGTTACAATCTTTCCAGCGCTTAGAAAATGTATCCATTGTATAAACAGTTCTGATACTTGACACTGGACCATTTGAGCAAACTTGGGCAATTTTGCTTCAGTTTTGCTTTCAATTTTTTGAGCTGAAAAACAAGCATAACTCGGCGTCCAGAGGCGCTTGGCAGATCTGGAAAGCAGATTTGGATTCGTCCATTAATGCTCTTCAAAGCAGTATGGGTGCCATCTGGAAAGGCCACTTCAACTCGACACGGTTCCCTTGTAAGACAATTTTTAGGAAAAAAGCGTCACCTGTGATGGTGTGACTGATGCCTTCCGGCAAATTAATCAACCTCTTATCTGCTCGGGGAGAATTTGCGGCACGGTAGGTGTAATCCCATATTTCGTATGGCGGATCACAAATCTAAAAGTAATCATGAAAAGACTGACGCAATCTTGTTCACTCACACACCTCTTTGAAGATGTTTCGCAGAAAATCCGTGACTTCTTTGTCTGCGCGGTCCTCCAGTCGTTTCGGAGCAGTGTAGTGACAGAGGGCTTCATTTAAATTCACCTCCTTGATAAGAAAGAAATTGATTCACTTTCCTCTCCCCCCCCCCTTTCTGCACACCTTAAATGGTTTCCGATAGCTCAATATATGATTTCGGGTAAGATTTTCGTATTTGAACTTTTGTACACCTATCATAGGCGAAGATCTATCTTGAGAACGACGCAGACGACTGATTTCCTCCTTAAGTTCCAGAATAATCGTGAGCAGGAAGTTTGTCTGAAAGTGTTAATACTAGTCTAGAATTCCAGCTATTGAGACTTCCCTGGACTCGATCGGCTACGTCATTTTCCGCAAATAGCCGCAATGATTCAGCGCGGTCATAAATTGTGCCATGGCGCGATCTTTCTGCGCTTTGCACCGAGCGCATGACGTCTCGGAAATCAAAATACTTTACTGCGCTTGAACAATGATGTAAAACTTGCTGAAAGTTCCGAGATCTTTTTAGAAAGTAGTGGTGTAACGGTGTACCTCTACAGAAGCCCGATTTAACGTCGACGATTCCTTCGAGAAAAAAGCATACAGCACTGAAGCGAAGTCGGAAGTTCCCTCAGGCTTTCCAAGGGATTCTTTAATAGCTTCTAAAAAGAATACTACTCTATACCCGCTGCATACAGCGCTTCCTAGCCTCAGTTTCACTAACCTATAGGACCGCTAGTGTTCGTCAAGCGTTCGACCCTCGGCTGTTCGCGATTGTTGGGAGTCATTACCTCAGGAGCTCAAACCACCAACTACAGCAATGACCTTGAAGCAAAATTTAACTTACTTGTCGTGTAGTGCGATTCCATGCTCGTCTCCGGCGATAGGTTTCCCGATACTTCCCCTGCATACGAACTTGATAAAGCCGGGATCTCAGACGTCTCATCCTCTGCATAATCCTACAGAATCACTTACATCAACTATAAATCAAACCTTTTTCAGCTTTTCTTTTCAATCTTCTTCAGCCCCGATTGAAAAACAATTAAACTCACCAGATCTTGGAGACTAAAAGGGCTTAGTTCCGCGTATGTATACGATTTTAGTCCGGATGTTGATGGTTGCGAAGTGGCAGCGCCAGCAATATTCTCGTTGCCTGGATCTGAAAATCACAAACTTCAAATTAGATTCCCTATTCGAAAATCTGAAAAGGTAGTGCTCACTTTGTGACATTCTCCTATACTTCGGCAGTTTTCAAGAGACCGGCTCGCCTGCACTGCGTTTCCTAGCCAGTAAACAAACTTCATGAGAAATATAAAGGCAGGAAAGATAAAGGCATGAGAGGATATCCTCTTCCCTTTAACATGAGAGATATAAACAGCACTTTATTCACATCTAAGATTTACGAAAACATATACGAATTAAATTTTCAACGCAAACATTCGAGATCTCATTTCCACAAATACAGCTGGTCTAATAATATCCGTAACGTTAATCCATTTTATGCCTGCGAAGGACAATTCATGAAAATGAGAATTTTTTTGGGAGATGAGATGCATGAGATTTGAAGCAGTATCACTGTTCGGACGGGAGTGCAAAGTTTCTACAAGATCAAGAAAGGGATTTGAGGATGTGTAATGTTGGATAAGAGCAAATGAACTTCGCGTACATTCATGAAAACTAATCAAGACTAGTTTCCCGTATGAGTAGATCTGTGTAACGCCATCTTCCGTAGCTCTTATGCAAAAAGAAGAAGTATCCGTATCGCACATTCTCTGCCAGTATGTATTCGAGCAAAAAACCTTTCCATTTACGACAACACGTGAACTAAAAAACACGGTTTTTGCATATCCGCTCATTATTATTGCAAATCAAAGCTTTTGCAGAACAAACGCACTACAATTTAACACTGCTCATCCCTCTATGGTGTTGGTAGAACATGATCCGATGGTCTTCTGTTAAAGTGTTTATGGCCACTTCGCTGTTGTCGGGTACATAATAGCCGGCCGCCAGTTGCACCTTCAGGGGGAATCTTAACGGAGAGATTCACTCAAAACAAATAAAAGGATATTTTTGCCTACACACGATGACAATTTTCGCTCGCCTTTTCGCTTCATTTTTCATAGCGCCTAATAAACTTTCGAATCTTCCAGAATGGTTTCTCAGAAATGCTTCTTCCATGAGCACCGCAAGCTTTTTCATTTGGACAAATCTGTATTCACTAACATTCAAAATTTACCTATTGAAATTACTTCGTACCTATTAAGAATTCTGTCATTGGAGTTCGATACATACTGATTATGGGGAACTTGCAGAATGCGGTGAATAGATTCGAATGGGGCTGCGCTCCATACATAAGGACTGCCGTATAGTTCAACTTCTTCGAGAACGCAATGGTCAAATAGATTCTGGAAGTGCCTAATTTCTCAATCCCTTGCAGACCTCCAAAAACCCACATGTGCTTTTAACGTAAACATGCTGTCTGACATTTCATGCCAGAGTTGCTTGACAAGACACATAGCAGTTTGTACGAACTCGATATTCACGGTGGTAAGATCTTCTACAGCTTGCAGTTCCTTTATGCAATACCAGTACCCGACGAGGGATGCAGTGCATAATGGAGATGGACAGAGAGCGGCGGCTCCGACTAGAGGGAAGATGATATTTGCCAGCTACAAAACGCCACGTTATACTTCAGACAACGGTTGAGACATATCAGGAGGATCTTATACCATCTCAACCTCTGCTCCAGTCATAGACGGCAGGTCCTCGAACCCAAGGATGAACTTCGGACTATAGGTATAATTTCTTACACCCGCTAATACCCCGCGCAGTTCCGCAATCGTTTCTCGTGCCAGTCTCATACCGTCGAGCTTTGATGATCGAGACAGCAAATCTAAGAGACAGTCGGTCGTTGTAAAGCGTTACAGTTGTAATGGCCGAGAACAAACCTCGCAAGCGGTCCTGGGTAACTCCTTCACTAATCACGTGGAGAGCGTCGGCGCAGCACATTGCAGGCGTGAACAAGGTCATTGCCGAAGTTCTCCCTTAAAAAACAATAGCTTCGACACAATTAAGCGCACTTAAAGACAGTGTCCGGGCAAAAACTCGATTTTGAGATTTTGTGCTTACTTGGGCCTATTCGCTACGCTGAATCCGAAAATACACATTGTAGAGCGCGAAAATGGCGAAAAACGGCTCTAATACAGGAAGGAGATGAGCAGGTGGGCGGGGTCCTCCCCACTGCGAATTTACGTTCCCGGCTTCCGGAGGGACCTTCTCGCTTCCGGTTTCAAGTCAATCATTCGCATTTGGCCGGTAGCGATGTCAGGCCGGCTAACGGATTCGAGAAAATCGCTCCGGGAGCTGGGAGCGTGAAATCGCATTGGGGAAAGCCCCGCCCACCTGCTGATTTCCCTCCCGTGTTAGAGCCGTTTTTCGCCGTTTTCGCGCTCTCCAATGCGCATTTTCGGATTCAGCGTAGCGAGTAGGCCCGGGTAATCACAAAATCTAAAAATCGAGTTTTTGCCCGGACACTGCCAATAATTGTTGATTTTGAGATTGAAATTCTTCGGTTCCCCTGGATGAGTTAGAGGCAGCAGCTCTGCAGAATTTCGTTTTCCAGTTCTTCACCTTTTCGGAGCCTTCTCGCCATGAGGCACCCATATTTGGGCTTTTTAGCGCAAGAAAATGGCAAAAATGCGCTTTTCGGAGGCTTTTTAGGACCGCATTCAGGGTAGAAGTGGGCGGGGCCCGGAACGAAAAAAACCGACCCCTGTTGAGTCCATTTGCCCTGCGCTCTGCATCACGCAGTATGTTTTCCGATGTTCTCTTAAGGCAATCCTGCGGATTTGCACAATACCAGTTGAGGGCTCTTGTTCCCGCTTGCCTGTTGCCACGATATAGACACTTGTGACAGCCATAGTAAGAGTTCCAGCATGGAATTCCAAAAATATCCTTTAAGCCCTGCGCTAGTTCAAATACAGCAATTATTGCAGACAAAACATTACGACTGACCAGTACCTGATAGTCCACAACACCATGTACCAAACGGAGGCTGACAGTCCACATATCCCCATTTCTATCACGCACTCGAAGGAATTCGTTGGCGTTCAAAATAGACAGCTCCGCCACCAAATGATTCCAAAGTCCCTCCCATAAGATCTCGGTAGGGGTTTTTGTTGTTCGCAAAATCCCAGCCAGGACTATATTCGAGTAGTTATTCCCGATTTTCTGGGGGAAATCATCAACTCGTATGTATAACGGCCACAGCTCTTGCCTAAATATTTGAAAACGCTCAACGGGTGGTGGAAATTCTCAAAGATGGGAAAAAGAATGAGAACACACTTGTTCAATCGAGAAGGTGTAAATCCGTCGGTAGCTAGCGTTAATTGAACGGTAATTTTGTGCATGTGAAAGTCAGAGGAAGACTCACAATTTCTCTTGAATTCAGGATAATCAGCAGGCTGTGAACGCCAACCATGGTCAATCTTAACAAGGACATTCACTTACTCAAATTTAAGAATGCAAAAGGGCTACTTGATCCTCGTGTAAGCGTCGGTGAATGCTGAGGAGTAGGGACAAGTGTTTTGTGAGGACTGTCTCAATCTGTGGGCGAACATCAAGCAATGAAAGCGTTGCTCTCCTTTGTAAATTTGATCGCTTAGGATGTTTCCTGAAGTTATTGGCTAAACACACCTGCTCATATGGTTCGTTCAAAGTTCCTGTCCTACCCTCTTAACTCGCACTGCGGATTATCACAAAGTGATCGCTGCTCGATCAGTGAGTGGTGACAAGAGTTACAGAAGAAGTAACTTCTCGTGTTCAAATCACCTGTCAGCTCTTCGAGAAAGCTCCTAATCTCTAGCGCACTCTGCAATATTATTTAGTTGTTCGACTACTTATTTTAGAACTCATCAGCTTATTACTATGTCTGATGTCCTTTCCGAAACCACTTCAATCAACAATATCAATCTTTTCAGTTCCTCGAAGGTGGTGGCATGGATCACTGTATAGCACGCAAAAAAGAGGAGCTTGTCCTGCCGCCCTCAAAACGAAAGCAATTTTTGAAAATAGTCAGGTTAAATAAGGGGTCTTTGCTTACCATAGAGTAGGCGAATCACTGCAACAACTGATCTGAGGACAAACTTCTATTCCAAAGCATTGTTTTTTGTATCCTTTTGTTATCAAAACCGTACGGGTACATAGGCGATTCAGAACATGCAGAGACTGTGGACGTAACAGTGTCCTTCTGATCGAGCGCTGCTGTCTCTGCCGTCCAGGAAACTATCTTAGCCGGACACGACGGCGCCCGGTCTTCGTGTCATGAATTGCTATAGAAGATAGGCCGTGCTCCGCCTACAATATGGCAAGCGGGCAGACCATACCTAATTCAACGATAGGCTCCACTCTAATTCCGTTGGGATTAGGCTCCCCACCAGCATTCTCTTGGATGGCGACTAAGTCCGGTCCAGCACCAGCGTCATCAGGATTAGGTGGTGCCATAGCACCAGCCTCATTAGGATTAAGTTGTGCCATAGCACCAGCCTCATTAGGATTGGGTGGTACCATGTAAGGTTCATTAACCTGATCTGGATCCGGAGCAGGATTCATTCCGTTCTTGAAATATTCTCCTCGAGTTATACGCACAAGAGTTTACTCCGATAAGTTCCAAGTGATCGAAGCGATACACCTACCGGAATGTATTGCAACGCTGCTGGTTGATCCATGAATATAGCATCGAGATTGCGCTGGAGCTGATATAGTCTTCGTCTATGATCCCGCTGCACATGCGAGTTCAATAACCGATCCAGCGCAAATAGATTCAGCCGACCCAGCGCATCCATTTTCAGTTATAACTAGGAGTGGGAAAAATCAATAAAATAATAAACCGCCTAATCATGATTATTAAAACTTATCCTTGACTTAACAAGATACGTACTCGCCACTCACACTGGTGACAACTCACCCAATAACAATGAAAATGATATTGACCTGATAAAAAACAGCAAGTTTTAGAAGAATGCAACCGCACAAGGTGATGGTTGGAGTACTGACACTCTGAAGTCGCAGACCTCTAAAAAGCAGTCAAATCAAAACAGATGCCTATACCTAAGGTTTTCACCAATTTCACCTTTCTCTTCTTTGAAGTACTGCAATTCTTGAGGCAGTGCGTAACTTTCCAACTGAGATTTGAGATTAGCAGTCGCTAATGTTTACCCTGGAATAAGAATTCATCTATCATTGCTGGCACTTCTCGATTAACATCATCTAAGACAGGCACTACTATCATCATAAGCCACAGCTCGGTGCATCTGCACCGGTACATAAAGACAAAGTTGTTGACATCCGAATCGCGACCACGAAGGGGGGGGGGGAGGGTTTCTTACATGCATGAGTCATCTCTAGCGCTTTATTATAGAGAGACTCCTCCGATAACGCGAAGGCCTCAGCGGATGCGGCATTGCGCCACGTGAGAGATCCATGCGAGTCGGTTCGCAGGAACCTGAGACACGTTAACCGTGACACTCAGATTGAAAGCCCCTGTACCTTGATATAGTCCGGAGAATTAAGGCTGCTTTATAAGGTGGGAAAGTGCAACCGCACGCGCCAGCAATGCTGAAAAAAAAACACTTTCCAGTGAATGGTAATCTCATCTCTAATCGTATATGAAAAGATTACCTCCTCAGACGAAACGGTCTGAAATTGAAAAGAAGTTCACGCCAGCTTTATGGTGGTGAAGCGCAGCCGCGCTGGATCTTACACTGGAAGAAAACTTTGTAAAAACTAAAAGGCAGAGTCAGTATAAAAGGCAAGGGTCGAAAATGATACAGGCAAACGTAAGTAAACGGCATGTAAGGCAAATGTATAAAGATGATATTAAACATAGCTGATTATACATAACGTTCTGACACGTAAATAAATCCTTCATTACGACCAATAAAACTAGATCAGACCTACTTAACGATAGAAAATGAGAAAAAGTAGTCAGAAAAACTATTAGAACTAGAGTATATCAGGTGATTACTTCAATAATGTGAAAAAAAGGACATTACAAAACATGGTCCTCCGAGAAATAGTTGAGAGAGATAAGTATGTATCTATGTGATTAAAATGCATAGTGGAAACGGTCACAGGGCATTCGTTGTGGGACCTGTCGCATTTTCGGAGCATCGTGCGTATTTACGACTCTTTCAACATTAGGGAACGGCCATAGGTTGTCGGTGTTGTCGGTGTTGTCGGTGTTGTCGGTGTTGTCGATGTTGTCGGTGTTGTCGGTGTTGTCGGTGTTGTCGGTGTTGTCGGTGTTGTCGGGGTTGCCGAGGTTGCCGGTCGTTGCAGGACCTCATGATAGCCTCCACGTTTCGCGCGCTCTCTAAACTGTCTCTAACCCCGACAACCCCGACAACATCGACAACACCGACAACACCGACAACACCGACAACACCGACAACACCGACAACATCGACAACATCGACAACACCGACAACACCGACAACCTATGGCCGTTCCCTTAAGCTTGAAATTCTCAGATTTACAAACTAAAATTCCGAGATTGAAATAAATTGTTTGAAATATGTACTTGCCCGTACTTGCATCTATTCGCACCTCTTTGAATCTTCTATCTACCTCACTAGACAAAGCATTCTTTTTAATGGTGCTCTTTCATCCATTTCAAACTGATTTCTCATGGCTAACTCTGTCTTTTTTCATCCTTCGTCTCATTTTTTGTTGTAAACTTGCTCTGGATCGCTAATATGAAATTATCGAGGGATATCAACGGCATAATTCGGATTTGTTAACAGTGCGATGGAAGTAGTACTTGAATTCGAAACAAATGCCCTGATTCAGTCGAGTAGCCGACAGGTGATGGTTTCTGGGAATAGTGGAATATTCATATTACTGCATGCGGCCCTGAGATCAAACTCTGCTAAAACAATATAGAATGAGTATGATGCAGGGCGAACACTCAGCAAAAATTGCAAAAAACGTCCACTGATCCGGCAACCAGTAGGAGAAGGGATAAGGATAGGATATCCTGCAGTTCTTTCATCCTGTTAATGACGGCAAAGTGCAACCGCACTAAAATCGTACACTGAAAATAATGCTAACGTTGAGATGCAGCAGAAGACAGCAATAAAAATGAGGAAATTTCATATCTGACTGCATATCAGAAAATTACCTTCCTGGAACTTTCCACAGTTGCGCTAAGTTCATCTTATCCAATTCACGGCGGCAGAGTGCATTGAAATCTTACACTGAAAAAAACATTGACGTGGACAAGTAGGGGAAAACAGTGATAAAAAAACCAAGTTAAAATCTCATATGGGCTATCTCATACCCATTCAATGGGAGACGGTCAAGAGGCGCGATTTCTCCGGCTGTCACCAACTTAAAACTCCAGTTTAGTGCTATGCGAGTCTTCGAATAGTATCACATAAAGTGCATTGGATTACTATCTGTCTGAGGTTACCACTTGCCGACTTTGATGGCTTTTGCTGGAAAACGGACCGGAATATTTACGAATTTGCTCTTAGCTGCATTTTCATTGGTTTTGACCTTTAAAACTGCTCTATTGAATTGATTTCAATTAGCAAGATTGAGCAACCCATGCAACTCCTAAATACATCTCCTTTTAAAATTTCAGTACTTTTTGAATGCTATAAAACACTTATTATGTGCTTTTTGGTGTCCATCTGGCAATAAAAATCGCGCCTCTTGACATACACCCTCATTCAATGCACCATCACCTTCTCTTTTTATTAGATGTTTTTTACTGATTTGTAGTCCTCGAGTTAAATATAATTTTGATTACTTGATGAGTGTCAAGCTGCACTCGAAAATTTCAAAAATCAATACTTCGAGGTAGAGATTCACTAGTTTGATGGAATTAGTGTTCAAACATAATCCATTTTAAAGTCCCAATCTGCTAGGATTTCATAGTGTTTGGATACAAACGCTATGAAAAACGGCACGAACTTTCGGACCATCTAATAAATGCAATGAATTCCAATGATAATTCCAATGAGATATTCCAAAAATGCAATAACGAAGATATTCTTCAGAGATCGATGCAGCTAAATAAATACAATAATTGAAACATGCAAGAAGGGTGGTGAGCAAGAAAAACGATAGCGTTGGATATCGCTAACCAGCGTATTTTTTACCCTCATTTTCGTCCATTCAAATGCAAGAATTCAAGGTATAATCTCCTACGCTTTCATCTAGATCGAAAAGTTGAATCAATTTTGCTTGTTTGATCATGTGGTGTAAATGTACGTTGAGACAACAAGATAGGCTCGAAATTTAAACTATAAGCATTTCGCGGTTTTCCTTGCGATTTCATCAGAAAGAGTGGGCTTATCATCGGCCTTCGTGCAATATTCATTGAGTAAAGAATTTATCACAACATTTCTCATTTTCAATGAACCTAAAATCCGTGATTCGTAGAGCAAATAGTGCATCGCTATGCGATGGAAACAGCGGCTGTCAACTGTTATCGCTACTCTTGCACCACACCCATGGGAACCATCTTCGACTTTAGAGAAGAAAAAAAAGAGACTTCATCTAGAGGGAACAATTCAAAAAAGACAACAGTCAATGGAGATAAATATCCTTGTAAGACGAGTTCTTACGAATTCTGCAAAGCTTGTTCTCTCTTCTGATGACATTTCCGCCGTTTGTTGACGAGAAAGTCCCGTCTCAAGGGTTGCTTTGTATTTCTAAGAGTGAGCATTGATGTTTCAAGATAATGCAGTGAAAAATTACCTTGGGAGCGACTAGCTGGCCGTCGTGCATGCGGTAGGAACGGATGTCCTCTCTGTAAACAAACGCCAAAATTACGTCATCAAAACAATAAACTGGGATCAGTGGCGGACAGAAGGGAAAGGGCGAAATTTTTGAAATTTGATTACATGTTATAAAAATGTGGAACTGACTCCCCCCATTTCTAAGTTAGGGGTTATGTACTCGCAGAAATTTCGAAAAGCACTCCAAAAATCTTTCTGAAAGAATGTTTTTCACCTTGATTTAGAAAAAATTCCCCTTCTTGGAAGGAAGTCCTGCGACAGCCACTGTTTGAGACAAATATATAACTTAACTTACAGGGATCGCGTCATACAAGTTTTACAGTTGTCAAACCAGGTCGTCTTCGCCCTTAAGAGTTGCTTGAAGCGTGTTTCTCTATTCTCTTCGGTGTCGCCAAGGGCCAACCAGAACCTGTACAGGTGACAGTGGGTAACTCAAAAAGTCTAATCTAAACAGGAAAGGTATATAAGTCGCAGTGCAGCTTGCCTATGAGAAGTAAATCAGTCGAAAGGTCTTTGAGCGTCTTTGAGCAAAAAAACCCTCTATATATGCTTGCTATGCGATCATATACTTTCCTTGTAAGCATACTGATGCGAACCTTTCCTGGGAATTTCTCAGGCTTGCAAGTTTTCCACTGTAAATATAGGGATGGGATAGGCCTACGGCATCAATAATGAACTCTAAAAAAATTCGTTAAATACTAACAACAAGACAATTTTTAGGAAAAAAGCGTCACCTGTGATGGTGTGACTGATGCCTTCCGGCAAATTAATCAACCTCTTATCTGCTCGGGGAGAATTTGCGGCACGGTAGGTGTAATCCCATATTTCGTATGGCGGATCACAAATCTAAAAGTAATCATGAAAAGACTGACGCAATCTTGTTCACTCACACACCTCTTTGAAGATGTTTCGCAGAAAATCCGTGACTTCTTTGTCTGCGCGGTCCTCCAGTCGTTTCGGAGCAGTGTAGTGACAGAGGGCTTCATTTAAATTCACCTCCTTGATAAGAAAGAAATTGATTCACTTTCCTCTCCCCCCTCCCCCCTTTCTGCACACCTTAAATGGTTTCCGATAGCTCAATATATGATTTCGGGTAAGATTTTCGTATTTGAACTTTTGTACACCTATCATAGGCGAAGATCTATCTTGAGAACGACGCAGACGACTGATTTCCTCCTTAAGTTCCAGAATAATCGTGAGCAGGAAGTTTGTCTGAAAGTGTTAATACTAGTCTAGAATTCCAGCTATTGAGACTTCCCTGGACTCGATCGGCTACGTCATTTTCCGCAAATAGCCGCAATGATTCAGCGCGGTCATAAATTGTGCCATGGCGCGATCTTTCTGCGCTTTGCACCGAGCGCATGACGTCTTGGAAATCAAAATACTTTACTGCGCTTGAACAATGATGTAAAACTTGCTGAAAGTTCCGAGATCTTTTTAGAAAGTAGTGGTGTAACGGTGTACCTCTACAGAAGCCCGATTTAACGTCGACGATTCCTTCGAGAAAAAAGCATACAGCACTGAAGCGAAGTCGGAAGTTCCCTCAGGCTTTCCAAGGGATTCTTTAATAGCTTCTAAAAAGAATACTACTCTATACCCGCTGCATACAGCGCTTCCCCCAACACCCCTCATAACTCCCTCTACAAAACCGCTCCGCAGCTAGAAACTGCAGATTTGGAATCAGCGTTTCAAGCGCTTTAAGATGATATATGTCCCATCTTGATTGGAACTTTCGGCTAGGTATCCTCTCCTTGTAAGTACCGTAGAGAGACGCATGTCCTCCCATGAGCGACATCGGCTCAAACCAGTCATGGCCCAGGCGTGCTTATAAGGAGTGTTTCCAAACAAGAAGTACAGTTATAGCGGCATATATATGTACCTTGATATAGTCCGGAGAATTAAGGCTGCTTTATAAGGTGGGAAAGTGCAACCGCACGCGCCAGCAATGCTGAAAAAAAAACACTTTCCAGTGAATGGTAATCTCATCTCTAATCGTATATGAAAAGATTACCTCCTCAGATGAAACGGTCTGAAATTGAAAAGAAGTTCACGCCAGCTTTATGGTGGTGAAGCGCAGCCGCGCTGGATCTTACACTGGAAGAAAACTTTGTAAAAACTAAAAAGCAGAGTCAGTATAAAAGGCAAGGGTCGAAAATGATACAGGCAAACGTAAGTAAACGGCATGTAAGGCAAATGTATAAAGATGATATTAAACATAGCTGATTATACATAACGTTCTGACACGTAAATAAATCCTTCATTACGACCAATAAAACTAGATCAGACCTACTTAACGATAGAAAATGAGAAAAAGTAGTCAGAAAAACTATTAGAACTAGAGTATATCAGGTGATTACTTCAATAATGTGAAAAAAAGGACATTACAAAACATGGTCCTCCGAGAAATAGTTGAGAGAGATAAGTATGTATCTATGTGATTAAAATGCATAGTGGAAACGGTCAAGGACAGGGCATTCGTTGTGGGACCTGTCGCATTTTCGTAGCATCGTGCGTATTTACGACTCTTTCAACATTAAGCTTGAAATTCTCAGATTTACAAACTGAAATTCCGAGATTGAAATAAATTGTTTGAAATATGTACTTGCCCGTACTTGCATCTATTCGCACCTCTTTGAATCTTCTATCTATCTCACTAAACAAAGCATTCTTTTTAATAATGGTGCTCTTTCATCCATTTCAAACTGAATTCTCATGGCTAACTCTGTCTTTTTTCATCCTTCGTCTCATTTTTTGTTGTAAACTTGCTCTGGATCGCTAATATGAACGAATTATCGAGGGATATCAACGGCATAATTCGGATTTGTTAACAGTGCGATGGAAGTGCTTGAATTCGAAACAAATGCCCTGATTCAGTCGAGTAGCCGACAGGTGATGGTTTCTGGGAATAGTGGAATATTCATATTACTGCATGCGGCCCTGAGATTAAACTTTGCTAAAACAATCTAGAATGAGTATGATCAGGGCGAACACTCAGCAAAAATTGCAAAAACGTCCACTGACCCGGCAAGCAGTAGGAGAAGGGATAAGGATAGGATACAAGGAAAAGAAAGAAACACATAAAGAACACAAATGGTAGAAAATTTGATATGAGTAAGCTAAGGCAACAATCTAAATATGCAACTGGCATCAATCGTACAAAAGCTAAATAAAATCACCGACAATTAGTAAGTCTCATCATTTTGGTAAGGCTGTTTTGGTCCTCGCTATCAAGTAAGATACAACCAAGACTAAGCAAAGAGGTATTCCGTCGAGGAAAGTGGTTGACGTTTTGTTTCTATGACTGGTAAATGTGCAACCTGCCTTCGACGTCCTTCCGCTTTGATGAAGCACCATCGCGGCTTTAGATGGTGATTTGTACAGTAAACATCAACAAAGTACCGCGACAGCTACAAAAGAATATCGTGAATCTATATTATATGGATATTAATGTACCATTTCTTCATAGTCATGAGGATAGCCATTTGTGATAACTAGGTTGATATTTTGCAATCTTCTGAAGATCCTGCTGTCGACAATTGAACGCAGCATAGCTGAATTTACGGGGACAGAGCAATGCAATTCTTCTAGATTTGGAAGACCAGAGATAGCCTGCAAAATAGGTAGTGAGTCGAGAAATTTTATAAGGCAAGAACCGCAGAAAAAAAGCTCACTTGGTAAATTCCGCTAGAAGAAACTCGAGGTAATTTGTACAGTTTGAGTTTTTTGATTGCTGTGAGTTCCTGTAAGAGTCTTATCGCATCAACAAACGCAGCGATCTAGTTAAATGATACCTTAAAGATAAACAGATCCGAGTCGGTAATAGAAAGACTTCCAAGAGATAGTGACTTGACGCTTCGGGGAATTGAAGTTAATAAATTGCCAATTTCGTCAGGACCAGTTTCGATTATATTACTAAAGTGAGTCCTTACAGCAATTAGCAGAACGTGATACAACAAAAATTGACCTTATAATCAAATCTTCAAGAAACCAGCAACGAAGTAGACCATTCTGTAATGCAATAGACATCCCATTACATTTCCAACCACCGCATGAAATCTTTCGCAAACAGGGAAACTTCCCAAGACCTAAATAAAGGATGGGCTTATTTCAAAGGCAAGAATTACAATCCTTAATCAATCTTACAACTGATTATGTTACATCATGCCCTATAAATGGGGGGTCCCAGGATGTTGGCACGAAAGTTCTGTCGCACCATTTGCAAAAATTCATAACTTCTGATTTTTCCAACCGACTTGACTCTCTTAATTTTTGTATGAAAGAGTAAGTCATGCACTTTATAATGACATCTTATCGGTTACTGGTCTTCTGCTGCATAGATAGAAGCGGTAGAAGAAAATTATTGAAAATTCGAATTTTCTGTGTAGAGTCATAAAAAATCGGAAACTTGCAACAGAAATCGGAGCAGTCGGTATTGTAGGTTCTTTCACGCTCTTTATAACTGTACAAAATCTGCGCCGATTGAGCGTCTCTATGAAAAGTTACGATTTCCCTGAAAAATGCCAAAATAAATCAAATTCGCCTTTTTGTATTGCTTGCTCGAAAATCGTAACTTTTCATAGAGACGCTCAATCGGCGCAAACTTTGCATTGTTAGAAAGAGCTGGTGAAAGAACCTAAATTTCCGACTGGTCCGATTTTTGTTGCAAGTCTCCGATATTTTATGACCTTACATAGAAAACTCGAATTTTGACTAGTTTTATTCTACCGCTTCTATCTATGCAACAGATGGTCATTAGCAAGCAGCTAAGACGTCATTTTGAATACCGTGACTTACTCTTTCACATAAAAATAAGAGCAGCCAAATTGGTTAAAAAAATCAGAAGTTGTGAATTTTTCAAAATGGTGCGACAGAACTTTCGTGCCAACCTAATAATTATACCAAGTCATCTGTCTCTTGAATTACAGCTGGCTTCGGAGGTTGCAGCTCATGATTTATCGACCAATTTGAAAAAACCGTATCTCTTTGCCTCTTCCCTTCAATCGTTCAAAGTTTCCGTTTGTCATTTGATCAACTTTTCTGTTTAGCATTCCTTTTGGCTCATCTCCATACAGGTGATCATGGTTGCTTTGACGACAACGCAAATTGGAAGAGATAGTTCATCAGAATGCTTATTGAATTATTTCCACAACAGCATAAGTCGGACTGCTCTAATAGATGGCAATTTTTGATACTACACGAAACATCAGTCTTATGAATGAGATTTGCTGATTGAACTTCGTGTTTCCCAATTCCCCCTCAATTCTTCGCATCTACATCTACATAAGGTACTACATCTACATAGGTACTTCTACTTTCAGACAATCTGTACCTATGATTTTTCTTCTGAATGAGCACTTCGTTTGAAGTGTTTATGTGATCCAAAAAATTGTCAGGTATATATTTCAGCAGAACATTGCAGTCTTTCGAATTTCAAGTGCTTTACTTCTCACAAATATCGATGCTGATCCACTCTCGAAAGCAACTTTATTCTGTGATTTTAGCAGTAATTTGAGCACAGTTTTGATCGTGCAACGCCTTGTTGGACAGCGCGACACTGAGTTTCCCTAGAAAGCATTGTTGACTCTGAATTGTAACATGCCATTCAACAGGTATTTACAAACATCATTTATTCTGGAAATGTCTACTAATCAAAACGTGTTAAAGAGTGCATTTTAGACTATTATGGTTTTCACTCGCCTTAAATAGCTAAAAAAATTCGCGCTCTTCAAAAATCTTACATGCTTTTGTACTGACTTTGTGAGTATTTCTCCTACAATTGATGTATGAGAAATTTTCCGCTCAAAAATTTCTGCTAATGAAAAAGCTCTGAACAGTCTAGCCAGAATCATAACTTTTTGGGCGTCATATGCGCTACAAATGTGAATGACCTCAAATTTATTTGAGGAGCGAAGATTTTAGGTGAGCAACTAAAAGATAACGCCTTTGAGTAGGTCCTCTCAAGAACAGCTAGCTTCCTAACAATAAGATAACCTAAAAATTGATGGATTTTGGGGCACCTATGGATGCCTTGCAAGGATGCTGGACAGTTCGGAAGCCCTTATGAAACGTGATCGAGAGTTGTCAGGAAATTTCTTGAAGTGAAAGAGGAATTGTGACGTTTCCAAAAAGACTACTTTATGAAAAGAAAGTGGGAGTATTTGAATTTGAAGAACTCTAGATTTGGTTTGCATTTTGGCTACATTATCAAGAATGCTAATTCGAATCTTCTCGCTATTTCAATCTCGGAAAAAGATAAGAGCGGTTTGGGGAAGAACTTTTGTGGTGGGGGTTCTAAGGCAGCTTGGAAAGTCACTCAGTGTGGAAGCAGGGACCCGGAATGGGAAGAGTGCACGTGGCTGATGAAACTTTGTCGGGTATGGGACAGGTACTTGCTCCCTCCAAGCTTCTCTGCTTGGAGAAACATGGAGGGAGCAATCATAATTCTGTTGCCACTTTTGACAAGAAAACTTTCAAAATTCGAAAGCAGGAAAGATCGAATTTAGCAAATTATAAGGTTGTTACGTTTTCGAATCTGTGCCATATTTTCGCTACAAATTTTTGAAAGTTCTAACTTTTAGCCACAACGCACTTCACACACAGCCAGTCCAAAGCGCCGCGAAGCGTTGGACTGGTAAATTTATAAACTAGCAACTGCCGTTGTCAACTGTAAACTCGAGATGCTAGACACAGAATTTGCTATGGCCGACAATCCGTTTGTAAGTTATTTACAGATAAACTCTTGAAAGCTAAAACGAACAACATGGAAATAAACATACTGTGGAGAACGAAGGCCAGATCTTCGACTTCTCGACGATTCTCGGGCTGAACCATCAGCTGCAGTTCGGTGATCTATAAGGCATTACATCAGGTAAAGGCGAACTAGCACATAAGATCTGAAATGCTAATGCCAACATCTAAAAAAACCAACATTTCTGAGTGTTGGTAGCCCGCGAAGTGCTAGGAATAGAATGCCGCCTCTTTTGTTTTGCGAGCAAGCTATGTCGACTCGAAATTCACTGGTAGCTCTAGAGACGGTCTCCAAAAAAGAGCGGACGTCTTGTAAAGTCAAATTGCTGAAATAACGAACTGCTTGCACATAATTCAGGCAGCAAAATTTTAGAAAGTATAATAATGAGAGGATGAAAGATTTGAGTTCGAAGTCCAAACTAACTAGGTATTAGCAAAGGTGAGGCGAAGATAAACTTCATCAAGAACCATCTTCAACTCCCGTATGCGACTGAAGAGCTCCACACCAAAAGGCAATATTTTGAAGTTCTCCAGCTTTAGCTTTCGTAAACCAGAGCATAACGACAACTGAAAATTCTTCGTATTTGTGTGCCATGATAGTAAGGTTCTGACAGACGGGCAAATTGCGCCCAGCAAGAAAGACTTCTTTATCCCGTTTGCTGGGACTATCAAGACAATCTCGCATTCTATAAACTACCCTTCAACATTACAGGTGGCAAGACTTCCCCTTGATCCTACTTCTGACTAAACTCTCGTAAGCTTGTTTCTCAGATGTGAAAAACCCTACGATTGTGGCGTTTCTGCGAGTCTTTCGGTCTCACGACTCAAAGTCCGCACTCGGCTTTAGCGCGACGAAGACCCACAATTGCACTTATGTGGAGAGGAGGTCTGACAAGACTCTCTCTTCGAATCGCAATAAGAAATTCCATGAACGCTCACAACAACCCGAAATCAAAGAGTATATCCTACCGTGAAATTCCTTATCAATCTAGTGGAGTCAAACCATATTCCGTCAATACTGAGATCGTTAATTCTTTTCGACAATGCGCACGCATCAGAACTCACTGAAAAGCGTAGTAATGAGGTGAAGCTACAAAAAAAATTTATGAGCATACGTACGTGGAGCATGTCGATCTAATAGAAGGCATACTGGAGGTTATTGAAAGCTAAGAACAAGACTCGATTACTTCGGGGTGACGGACATCACTAACCTCAGCGATGTCCGTCACATCCGTGCGGACTAGACAACTACTTCATTGTGAATTAGAGTTTGGTGTATCCGTTCTGGACTGTTCTCCAGCACGGCGCCTAGACGCGGTTCAAACGACGGAGCCTGATGAGGCGTTTGGTTATGTAGACTAACAGTTGATAAAATGCAATCTTTCAGACTTCCGGGGAAAACGACTGTCAAAACTTGAGCTCAATAAAGATCCACCATAACAGGGGCATAACAGCACTATACATGTCCAATACGACATGATGTTACTACACTAGATGTCAATCACGTGCTCCCTTCTCTATAAGCGCAATCGCTACGCTAAAGCCTCCCGCCATGTTCGCACGCGCATGGTTCGCGCATTAAAATTGGCCTCATCGATTGGAGGTCCGCATGCAAAGCTCCCGCGTTGCGCATGCGTAAATCCTATGCAAAAGGGAGTACGTAATCGACACCGACTGTAGATGAGGAGTACATGGAAAATCTGAATTCAGTAGGGCCGCTTTGAAAGTCAGTTTGTACAAGTGTAGTATACCAGTGGCGTGCCCAGATTTTCGGCTCGGGGGGGGGGGGGGGCGACACAAAATTTTTTCCGATGAAGGTGCACGGCGTCAGCCACGCACTCCGAAAATTTTTTTGGCATGTTCCCGAAAATTTTCGCGGGCTTGGAACCCCGAAATTTCAGAAAAAGGGAGCGTGGCGTCAGCCACGCCCCCGAAAAAATCCTTCTATATATATAAAACCGAATAGTGTACTTGTCTGTCTGTA